AAAATTGCAGTTGGCATGAAGTTCTGTAACTGGATGCTTAATGGCAGCTCGATGCTAGGTGACGAAATTGAAAACGCTTTGAGTCACACAGTATCCTCTTATCTGCGCAGTGTCGTGTAGGCCTGCCACTCGAAGGTAGCCGCTGGTGCTTTACCAACGCCTTGTCACAACGTGTATTCCCGTCGAATTCATGGCAGGACTAGTTAACCAAGTGATATGCCATGCAGGAAGGAATAAATCCTGCCTGTTTATCGGTTCCTGACCACCAATGTGCTTTTTTTCAAGAAAAGTGGAAGGCCGAAATTAAAGAATTACTATGCTATGAATCTCGTGGATATTGTTGCGGAAGTCTTTGTCATTCTCGTTCTCAGGCCACCTCCGACTATGTTTGGGGACGAGAGCCAGGCAGGAGGGGTTCAGAGCTGGTCGTCGATAAGCCTACCCAATGTTTCTACTGCGATACCTTTCCAAATTCCGCCCGTAACGACGGCCGTCTGCCATGTTGACATGCTGCATATATTCGATTCTGATCATTGTTATTCTCTGTCTGTGTTACTTTGCCTATCAACTGCCCTTATGCATCTACCTCCTGGAGATTGCCCCTTTTGTGGGTAATGCCTGTTAGCTTCAGGAGGATATTACATTTGCTAAATGGTCAGAATAAGAACGGCGTCGTCGTTCGAATCAATCTTAAGCGTGGGGTTAATGCAACCGTCCTGTATTTTTGGACCCATCAAGTCGCCTTGGTCGTCAGAGCGTTTGGTGTTTGACTGGAATCATCCTGACCTGTCTTTTGTGGTTACGAATGCAACGAGGCATTCTGCGCTGGACAACAGGGCGTTTTTACTCACCCTGGCTCTCCAAGCGTGAGAGTTGATTTTGTTGGAGAATGACGTTCGTTGTACCTCTTGTAGGTACAGTTGCACTGCCTCAAGTCCAACACCGATACGATCCGTCAAAATATGAAGGTTGTTTTTGGATAAATATAAGGTCAATCTACAGTAAAATCTCATGCTCACTAGATTCAAAGCAGTGTGTGGAGACAAGCTGCATCTGTATTTTCTACCTGTTGTAAGCAGTTCCAGCGCCCTTTTCCCGCTCAGTAGAACATAATGAACGAAACCGAATTATTTGCATTTCAGGGACTTATGTCTTTTAACAGACCAACTGAACATCGGTTGCAATGGCCGCAGACTGCAGCTCGCAGCTCAATTTGTCCGCTTTTGACGGACATTTCTTGTTTGCTATAAGTTTTTTTCTCTTTACACCTCTCGTTTCCCCCGAATTGCTGCACCAGAAACGGGTTAACCGCTAAGCTTAAGTCAGTCTGCTAAGGGTTAACTTGCGATTTCAACTAGCAACAGCTAAATTAAACTGTATCCTCTCAGACAGTAAGTCAGCATTTCGGCTCGATCGGTAAGTTTTTACCATATATCACTTCCAAACAAAAATATTTCACTTATCTCAATAGTGAACTTTCACTAATCCGCCTTAACTTGTTGCCTTTAATTTCCGTCTTCTAGAATTACGTACCGACCAATGAGGACATTGTATGGTCGCGGCGCCCCACAAATTACATAAGCGAAGAAGAGATCTGTGTCCACGGCGTCCCTATCACCTTCATCGACGTGGGTGGTCAGACAAAGGAACGCAGCAAATGGTGCCATACCTTCAATGATATGACCTCCGTCCTCTTCCTTGTCGCCTGCTCGCATTACGATGAGTTCTACGTGGATAGAGTGACCGAGGAGTATCGGAACAAGTTGCGCGAGGCCATGGATGTGTTCGAATCTCTGGTTAACCACGTCTCCTTCCGCCGTGTTTCGATCATCCTCTTCTTCAACAAGACTGACATACTCAAGGAAAAGCTTGCCTCTGGTCTCTCCAGCATTCGTTCCTCCTTTCCCGAGTTCCCATCTGAAGCCGACGAACACAAGTTGGGGGATGTACAAAACTTCCTAGTCACCCTTTTTTCTAGTCTTATTGATCTCAATCCTGATCCAACCCTGCCAGAAGAAGGCGAAGCCCTGCAGAGGTTGAGCGGATTACAGAGACTCCTTCATTCAAAATCCCTCTCACGACGCGACTCCGGCAGTAATACCTCGTCTCAGGGCTTTGAGAGGGCTCCGAGAAGGCGAACTGTGTATCGTCATTTTACCACCGCCGTAGATAGACGCAACATCGAGACCGTCTTTAATGCAATGCAAGACACTATACTGCAGTCCAATCTTAGACGTCTGATGATGAGTTAATGTCTACTCCCAGATTACGACACGCACTTGTGTACGTATTTGCATATTTTTGCACAATTCTAAAGCTCAGACTGGTGGACACCGTTCAGTCCATTTTGAAAAGCCTGCTTGCGCTCCTTATAAACTTTCTTCTAATTACTGCATAAGGTTGTCGTCCTCCTTACGTGTAAGCCTCACTGTCCTCTGCATAAAACATAATTTCTTGATGCTCACTGACCGTACTTCTAGATTACGCATTTCTCTCCCTCTTTTTGGTTCCTCCCTGCCTTCTCTCTTTTTATTTTGCGAGCAAGCATACCTTTATAAAGGTCTCAATTCACTAGTTTAGAAGGTGTTTTCGTAAGTATGTGTTTTCAAAGCATATGCTTGCCAACTTGCCTTCTAGATGTACTTTCCAATGAGCAGTTTTCCATTTTCAAAAAAACTTCTATTGAGGGCGCCTGCTGGCTGTGGCCTGGATGTTAGCCTCCGGTGATTATTGTACGACTTGGGTGACTTAGTGTTCTACCCACACATCCGCTTATCATAACTATGAAATGTGCTTCAAAACTGGATATTTACGTTAACTGCCGACAAATTCTTTTTTTAGATTAACGTCGGTGCTGATATCTAGGAATTTCGGCACCTACTTATTCCTCCCAACTACTAGCGGTTTTAAATATTTCTTCATATTGATCTATCTCCTCATCTAGTAATTCCTACGTTGACATGGATTACGTACTTTAGGTGATTATCTGACCTAATCTATCTGCAATGAGAACTTTAGATGTGCGATCATATTGTACTATTTTTCTGGGAGAGAATCAATGTGCCAACTATCCAAACAACAGCGGATGAATACGATCTTAGCGCAACTGACACCCGACTTTGTCGTTTGGTTGGAAGTCGAATGTGAACTCTGTCTGGCCTTAACTGTAACCCTGAGGATACTTGTCAGAGGAATCGGGTAAGTCGGAATCGCACTAACGGTGTACAGGCAATTCTGGGACTATGGACTCCGCTAAGGCACGCATAAACCACGCGCTGCGTTGGAACATATTGTATTTACTGACTGACCAGTGAAAATCGCTCGTCTGCGCGTGCAACGCGCGCTCTAGTTTCCAGCACAAACCAGTTCCGACTAAGGGTTTGCACACCGGTGGGAAGTTATTCTAGCCTGGTTCCAGTCTGGAGGATGACCGATTTATTCCCTTAGCTGGTAGGTTGTTAAGTCAGGGATTTCAGAGTGTCAACCTTTCAATGGTAAGGAAAGTAAGACTCGATATGTCTTCTACGACTTACGAGACGGTAAAGTCGACTGGAATGTAACCGGGGAAGACAGAAGGATGTACTCTTCGATTGCAAACCATGTAAATTGGTAACATTTTCTGTTATTGGACGCTTCTATTATCATCATCTTTACAACGGCCTTCTGCCGAAATATCTTGAACTTTTTAATGGCGACTATAGAACCAAGAAAAGCGTATAAGTAAGAAAACCTGCCACAGTTTGAAAGAAATCAGGTGGTCTTCCCACTTGAAGAAACGTTAAACAGAACCGCAGTTACCGGTAAATTTAGCTAACAGAGACCTGGCTGTTTAAACCAAGTCTTTCAAAAACCTTGGAAATGTTGCCTGCAACTGTGTACGCAAGAAACTGCTTCGAAAAAATTCCCAACTAAACTAGTTTCAGCCAACAGGACCAAGGGGACGCGTCGGTGTCCCATATTTGTCTTTACGTTGAAGCACACTATATATATTCTTCCAAAATAACTCCTATGGTCTTTTGATGACCTGGTCTCCTGAGGAGGGTAGAGCGAATTCAGAAAGTTACGTTCAGACTTCTCGTTGTTCCTTTCTATAGCGTGCATAAGCAAGGTTTAATGACTGCGATCTAGAATGTGGGACGTTTTCGACGCCCTACCATAGTTCGGTGTCAGTTCACGGAGAGAAAGACATTTTCTCGGAGAATCAAAGGTCGTAAAAATCGACGAAAGCAAAAATCCCTAAATTCATGTGCATTAGGCGTCAAAACCCCCAGCATCTTAATCAGAGGGATAAAAGTCGACCAGGGAGAAGAAGTCCGCTGTCAGCTCTCAATTGGATAGTCTGCCCTAAAAGCCCAATACTTTCTTGCCAGAATTCAGTGAGGTAGGTGCATGGCGAAACTGGTTGTTGGTGACGTTTAGCCACAATGTCTGCGCATGTGACTCAAGGTTATCGAGTGCCAAACAAGCAACGTTGGGTAGCATGCTGTCGCTAAAGAAAAACCTGACTTAAAACGATGTTGATTGTCATTTCTCCCCCCATCCTCCTCTGCGCATTCACTAAAACGTGTTTAATTGGCGACCGTTCCGACAAGTTTCGCAAAGACTCGTCTAATTAAAATCATTTTTTATTCCCACACAGACAAGAACAGTTAAAGCTGCTCACCGGTAAGTAAACCCCACGCTGTCCCCGCGTGTCTCCTCATGAGCGACGAGCTAGATTATCCGCCTGTCCCATTAGTGAACCCACAATTCACTAAATAGTCACCTGAATGACTGTTTCTTCCATCCCGGAACTCCATCTAAGCTGTGACAGCGTGCAACGCAACGGACCCCCATCCCAAACCTAAGCAAGAATTAACGGGGTCTTTTTCAAATTCCTTTGTTTAGTAAATGCAGGGTTTATTCAGAGAAAAAAGCAAAAAGGGTCTCTACACTACGCTCGTGCTAATTCCAATGATAGAAGTGGTTGTGCAAACTGCAAGCCTTGCCGGGTTTCTTGCTCAACGAGAGAGACTTTCTGAACTGCAGTAGAAGTAGACGATGACCAAGGGGGTACATCCGGAGATTTCATCTGTCAGAAACTGGACATTCAGAAATAGGAGAGAAATGCCTTGTATTGATGCTACCTAGGTGAGTGGAGGCAAACATCTAAAGGACCTAACACAAGAAAGAGAATTACTTCGTTCTACATGCCCGGTTTATAGTATGAGTAGGAGCACTCCTCGCAACATATACCACAATGCCCAGTTGGACCTACCAGAGGTCAGCATTGCCGTCACATGAATTTTTAATCGCCTTACGTCAGACTCGGTGCAAAGAGCTTAATCAATTTGTCTGCGATAGAAGACACAGAATATGCCGCCTGGCTGTTGTGAAAGTTATATTCGCATTTTTACTGGATATGGCTATAGAAATGGTGATATGATTGAACTTCTAAACCAGCGTCTTCAAAATTAATGGAAACTTAACAACCCGGATATTCATTGAAATAAAAAAACTCCAGTCGCAGCCAGATTCACTAGACCACCGCAGTTAGCTTACAATACCTAGGTTAACGCAGAATTGAAGCAAAGTCGTTCGTTTGATAGCAGCATTTTTGAGTTACCCCGGTTTCACTCGAGATGGCCAATGCTATGGATTGCACTTGACACCCGCAGGGAGTATTCGAATGTAAGTATGCTACCTGTTCATTAAATATAATTTTTTTAGGAAAAGTTTCCTCTGCAAATGACGATTCTTAACTTAATATTTGTGAAGAGTGTGCTGAGGTCATCGCGTGGAAACATCATATTTCACGTATCGGACCCATCAGGTAAATTTGTTATTGGAAGGGACAGCCTCCTGAGGTAAAGCATTTATTTTTTAAGAAACTAAAATCGTGCGATTGTCAGCGCATTTGATTTCAATCGTTGCCAAACATAAATATTGGCAAGGGTAGAATGGGAAACATCTGAAATAGGCCTGAGTGATTTCTTGACTTTCCTTGCAAGTGATAAGCACAGGTCAAAGACGTAGTTCTATGGGTAGATACAAAAGCATAAACTTCTTTCCTCTCCGAGGAGAAAGATTGCAATCAACCAGAATATGTGAACATTTCTGAGAGAAGTCTCTTCCAAAAAAGCTGACTAAAGCGGAAATTCCTGGCTGTATTATTTCCCCGTGCTCCATCAGTGATCCGTTTTTTTAAATAGCACATGTGGTCATGTCAGTATAATATTCATGACAGACGGCAGCACTCACTAGTGTGTCAAGATAACGGCAGGTGTGGACACTTCCACAATAACCCGATGGGTCCTAACGGCGCGCTGTTATTCTTCCTCATTTCGATCACGCTCCCGTCACGCACGCATCAAGTGCATATTAGTTACTACGTCGTCATTCTTATTTTGGACAACTGTCCGACCTGACAAATTCCGCATGCTCTTGTCTAAAAAGGCAATTCTCGGAGATCTACAAAAGGAAAGTCTGCTATCGATCAAATTGGTTTGCCCTGAGGAAACGGCAGTAAGATCCGAAACAGTCGAGTGGATTAGGCCCTTACTGCCTTCAACTGTTACCCAGTTATTTTTCATATCCACGCCTAGTGAAGTCTGGCATTGAGGATTTCTGGGAGTCTTCTGTGAGATACAACACAGGAAGAAGGTATGCGGAGAGCCTGACTGGAACCCCTCGAACAGTTCCCGTGGTTCAGTTTGTCAATTCACGACCTAAAAAAGGTTGCCTAGAAACACTGCCGAGCGTGGTAGTGGTAGAAGTCGCTGGTAGGCATAACTGAAAATTAGTCCCTTTGCGGCCTTACTCCAAATAGTTACATGCATCAAGGCTCCGAAAAGTATGCGGTAAGCATTGATCTGTCTTCAGCCGCTTCAGTCACTCTGCATGCGCCCCTCTGCCATCATTTCGTATCTGTCTTGCCGTTGGAGAATTTTGGGTGAGGGAAGGGAATGAGACAGACTGAGCTCATCCGACTTTACTATAAAAATGCCTTTACATGCTAGTTAACCCTGTGTCCTCTTCGGGGACTGTGATGGTCTTCTTCGCTGTGAGCTGAAGAAGTGTCATTCCTGCCCGTAAGTGAGTGAGAAAACAGTCGGCTCAGACAAAAAGCCATTAGTATTCTTGTAGCATTCATCTACCCTACATGCATTCCGAAGTCCCGTTATTCGTATCGTTCCGGAGGAAAGGAAACTTTCGATCATCAGAAAACACCCTTGATAGCTAGCGAATTATTCATTACTTTTATAAGCTTAAAGAAAGAAACAAAGGTAAGGTGTAAAGTCAGACCTGTGCTGTATATATGTTGCGCAGCACACGAGGATCGCGGTTATGCGGTAGACGCGAGAGAAGACGTCTCAGAAACTTCGCCTGAAATCTATTCAGTCGAGGTTCTTCAAAGTTCAAGAGAGTGCAATCGTCCGATAAGGTCGTTTGCAAAGACATCTAGGAATAAGTTGAGAGAATAGTCAACTGTGGTGAGTATTTAGTATGAAGATTAGCAGATTTTAAAACTATTCATTGAGGACTCACCTCGCGCAAACACATAATGTTACCACAGTCACTAACGTACGAACCTGACTTTGTAAAATCACCTTCTGCATGGATATTGTCAATTTATGGGGCAATAGTAGCGGAGAGGAATACAGATTCTGAATGTTCTTTCGAGGCTCTTGCCTGGAGCTCTCAGGGGTGATCGCATAGCAACGAGCAATCAGTGGTCACTCATTTTTTACGTGAGGCAGACTGAACACGGGTACATAGCTCAGTTCATCCTACCCGCTGTTTTTGGGATACGGTTGCTGACCTAGAAACGACAACTCCGGCCTCCCTTTTTCAGCAGGTAGTAAATTATAGCTCCAGGGCAAAACGGTATCACCCGTATTCATTTTCAAAAGCATGTCTTATAAGTTCCTGTCATTTACATGTGGCTTCTACCTAGACCATCTTCGAGGGTTAGACAAAACGAATTGGCAAAAACAGATCCTGCACATCCAGACCTTGAAATCGTTTGAGATGCTCAGTGTCAGAAATGTGGAAATAACATAGGCAAAGCGGTTACGTTACGTGGACAACCGATGAGTGCCTAATGTAGTGATAGTATCAGAAGGATGATACGAATAACGTCTGAAGTATTGCAATGCTTCCGAATCAATAAAGAATCCTGGGGAACAGGATCAATGCGTGTGGAGGTATACTATAAAAACCAAAACAGCGAACCTCATAGCCGATGCACTGCGAAAGGTTGGGAGAGGTGGTATGTCCGTGGGACTAATGTTTTGCAGGCCAAGGATGCCGACATGCAACGTCTTCGAACATGCGTGATTGTCTGCTTGCAGTCAAGACACAGATCCACCTCTTGAAGAGCCTTGGCATCCTCCCTAACGTCAACAGCACAAACTCATGTCCTACCTCCCGAACACCAACGCTGACGAAGGAGGCTCCTTCCTACCTGACACTCGTTGTAAGCATACGTTCCGATCTCGAGTGACCTTGCTGGACAATTTACTAGCCAAGGCAACACAAACGCCGTCAGGGCACAGAGGTCAACTGTCACCAACGCTAGCCTGTCTTACTGTGATCATATATTTCAGTCGCAGGTTGGCCTACTCAGTTACTCGCGCATCCAATGCGATGCAAATGAAGCAAGGCTGCCAAATTCGTTCTCTGCTGCAAAAGACATAATTACTAACCGTCGGTCACGCCTGCGTAAAATAGGCGTAAACGTGCGTGTCTCAAGCAAAAACCGTCCTCATCACGAATCTGAGCAAAAGACGTGGATTTAATCATTTATAACAACAGGCAAATGAGGAATCTCTAAGTGGCTGTTCAGCAATCCTTTTCTTGTGGACTGAGGGATTTTCGGCTTTTCATATCTACAATGCAACGAACTACCTGATGTTCCTAATTCCGGAAAGAACAGTTTTGATTTAGTTCCAGGTTTCCGGCTATTCGACATTCCTTTCTCAAACTGCATGAGAATCAAGTGATAAATTACATTCTGGGGATCTAAACTCTAATAATAGCGGGCATTTTCTCGGCTGCCAAAGAAAATCCCTACTAAGTATTTGCTTTACGGTACACTTACGCAAAAATACCTCTGAAATGCCTTCCGAAAACTTAAATTTGGGCTTCTCTTCTATGTCTTCTTGAATGATAAAGGATCATCTTCCGCATAGTACTCCGAAACACCACCGTTCTCCCATTTAAGGAGGGTGCATGAATTGCTGCGGGTTTATGCCATAAATGCCCTTGTTTCCTCGCCTCAACGGTCAGAACTGCTCCGGAAACTCCACTTTACTGCATTCCACACCGAAGCCCCATGAATCCTGACGGTTAGTTTCTACCGTCCATAATTGCCTACATTCGGAGTTTACTTATAAACAGACGCTTAACACCAAAGTTGATCTATTTTTCTAGATGGTCTTCGTGCTTCCGAATCGATTTTACCTTCAACGAAATATCCCTGATCGTCAGAGCTCGAATTTGTCTATAGAACTACGTCAAGCAACTCCACGGCGTTACCTAATGGACACAGAAGACGACAGGTTTGGTATTCGCTACGCCGTTAAATTGGGTTTATTGCCGTTTTATTCATTTGAATCCTTAGATAATTTACGGGACCAGCTGATGCCCCACAGAGTTCGGATGTATAAAAAGCAAATGGTGTTCTAACTCGAGAATGCTCACCTGGTGACTTTCGCACATTTTGGTTCCGAACGCGTACACCTGCGTTGTAAGCCGGAACTGACGTTGAAGGCCACCCGTAACCTTGAAACTAGGGGCGGAAGGTCGAGAAAACGCACGTTATTCTACTGCAGAGAATAGCATAAACTAAGGTAACTATGATCGGATCTGCCGAATGGAAAGAACACTGACGTAGAACATAGTTAATCGGACTTTTAGAAAAACTTGATTTCGGAGCCAGTAAATTCTCTCCTATCTATGAAAACGACCAAAACGCCTCGAAAAAGTTGCCAAATAAAACGGTGACTTCATCCATAACGTTCTTCCAGGCTAAGAACCCTTGCAACAGTGTCAGCTCACAAGGCAATCTCAATAAGAGCAAACTGGATTAGCCACCCCTATTATATTTTGTCACTTAGATTTAACCGGCATCTCCAGTCTTATGTTTTTATAAGATATTTAGACAGGAAAGGTTTACTGTGCGACAGCACTCACACCAAGTCCGCTTTATCGTGTAAATACTCGAGACTGTCTCAACTCTGTTGAAATTTGCCGACGACAACCGGTTAGATTCTAACTTCCTTGTTGCCTGGTTCCATGATATGAAATACATGTTTTTCAGAATATATCTTTTACTAAGCCTTGAGTTTCGTAAAAATTATAAATAAAACAAAGTGTAGGTAAGGAATACACCAATTATGGGATTAACTACTTGGCAATATAGACAGTTGTAATAACTTCGAATAATGTTACGTAGCGGATACCGGCCTGTCACTCGGAAAAGAAAATCCACTTCCGAATAAGGATGGTAATATTTTGTGTCGTATTTCAGTTAAGAATAACATCAAAATAAACGTTTTATGATGCTTACTTCATCCAAACTTTAGGCTTGGCTCAGATGTAATAAGATGGTGAAAGGACTCCCTATATACAGCAAAAACGGTTCATGTGCCTAGGAAAATCGTCAATAATTAAGATATCAGAATGCTCTAAAATAACCACAAACGGTAATTATCCAAATGGCATTACTTTAATTCTCATAAATGGCCTAAAAACGAACTCTGCAGTGGAAATGATCATCATTGATTATTAACTATTAAATCAATTTTCGCAGAGTAAGCAGTACGGTTGACCTTTAACTGTGTTGCCTTTTAACTGTTGTCCATGAGAACCTAAAGCAATAAAGTTGTTCCCTTTTTATGCCGAAAACTAATGCAGATTGTAACCCAAACACGATCAGCACGCGTCGTATTCCCTAATCTGCGTAATGCGCAAACCCTCAAAGCCAAAAGTAGAATAATTCGGGCATAGTTACTAGGTAGAATTCAAAACTCGATGCGAAATCTACATCGCGACAATTACAAGGATTTTGCTCCTGGTTTACCCATTAATCCCTGTAAAGTGTCTAATCTTGGTCTTGAAAGAGCTGGTTTAGACGCCACAGAACTCACTATGTGTGCTGAGAGACCCCACGGATAAGCCGGAATTCTCGCTATTGCTTCCTGCAACCCATCTCAGGGTGTTTGGCCGACGCGATTGCCATATGAAATTACGTTACTAATGTTATTTCTCATTTGTAGAATTGGCCTCGGGCGTTTACATAACCCTCAGCTCAAATGTTGGTTTAGATTTTGGAGCCGAATGTGAAAAGATGTTCCTCCAAGTTCGCACACAAACTGCTGGCGAGATTGTTATCTGGGGACTGGAAAACCAGAATACATGCCAGAAATCACATGAGGGACATAGAGGAGGCAACCGATTGGTCGAGCCCCATGTAGTTGCATCATACAGCAGCAGAACATTGATGAAAAATGTCACTGAGCTTTCAGCTAGCGCCTAAATTGTAAGTGTGATGATACGGTGACTTGTAAACTGGAATTAAGTCTAACCCAAACTGGCCTGCTTAGCGGCTAAAAGTGTGCACGTGAAAGTTGTTACAATCAAGCCAAACTTGAACCTAGCATGGTAACCACTTGCAGCGGATGCAATTACTATTTGGAAATTTCGATTCGCATGTAAGAATAGGACGTTAAACCGAAAATGCCTCATTTAAAAAAGAAATAATGGCTGCTACCGTGTTTCGTTCATATGCTCGGACACCTAGACGTTCGAAACCAGTTTTAAGTGTTGGCGCATTAAATGGAACAATTTTCAAAAGCGAAAAACTGGAATAAAGATATAAAAAACACAAATGTGGTTTTACGACTGCTTACCAAGTTTTTGAACCAAATGAACCGGCATCATATTCGTACACTCCCTCGTCTGTAATCTAAAGTACATAAAAACGGCTAAATAACGTGTTTTATGCATGAGCAACACCTATCATAGAAAATAGGGATAGGGAAAAACTTCTAACCAAAATAAGGATTCGAACAACATTTGGCATTACCACCGACCTCCATTCAGCCTGCTCTCATGCTCTGATATCTGCAACGCCCCAATTTAACAAAGCGAATCGGGTTTACGGGACAAAGCAAATTACCTTTTTACCTTCCAACTGAGGACTAGAAGAACATCATTAGTAACAAAACTTCAACGGAAACGCGAACTCGTATGAATATTGGGTACGTTGTTTTTGTTGCCATTTTTAGAATGCAAATCACTTACTGTCATGTAAACTATCCATCTTTGCCTTCAGTGTCTGGTTGTCAGCGTTTTTTTCCTCAACACAGTTGTTGCTGTTTTATAAACTCTTGTTCGGTTTTAGACAGTAACGGGGATGTGCAGTGCCGTGCCCGCACGGGGCACACTCGCTGATCAGCTGCCGCGTGCAGGCTCCTTCAAAGTCGCGTTAAGGCAGACCGATTTTACACAAGTCCTCGTTTCTAATTTAACCCACGCGTAAATCCTCTTAGTCACCAGCGGGCCAACTCACCAATAGAGATGAGCCAAAGTGGCAGGTGTGGAGACGCAGCGCGCCGTAGTGACAAACTAACACATCAAGACGCGGATTATTTGGGTCATCTGAAACTGGCAAACAACACTTAGCAGCAGTGGAACTCGGTAGCCATCCAGAGACTTTAGCAGCCTTATTTGGGGACATCTTTTCGACATCCAAGGGAGGGAAGGTCGAATAGGTACCTTAGAAAAAAACCGCCAGAACTACCCTAGCCAGTCCATCGCAGCCAACGGGGCTGTGAAGGGCCGCTATAAGAATTAGAAGAAGAAGGAGGAGGAGGAGGAGGAGTAGGAGAAGGAGGAGAAGAAGAAGAAGAAGAAGAAGAAGAAGAAGAAGAAGAAGAAGAAGAAAGAGGACTTCCCCGTGTCACACGTGGTCTTGCGCTAAATTCCAGGCGGGTTAGGGTAATAGGTCGGGTTAGGAAGGTTTGGGATATACATGGTAGGACCGAGGTTAGAGCGCGCGAACAGGTACCATCCTGGAACTTAGCATAAAGCCGCCTGTAAAACGGGAGGTCCTTTTTCCCGTGCCTAAACTAAAATTCAAATAAACAATCAATCACCTTCTCTCGGAATAATTTAGATCGCGCTGTGAGCCCAGAAAATGTTTTCTCAGCTTGTTAACCCAATCAAACAGAAAGAGCACCTCTACACATCACCACCACGATAACCACTTCATCGTTATGTTATGAACAGACGACTAAAAAAGAACCAGAAGCTGGCCTCGACCCGGCTATGAAGTACTCGATCGCATACAGCTTGACGGAATTTCTGACAGCCAGAGAGAACAGCCTCACAGTGATTCTCACTCGTAGGAAGGAAGTTCGTCATAGTTATGCGCACCCACATAGCTAAAAAAATTAGTAACAATGATGGACACAAACAATTGTACAGGACACCTTTGTTTGCGTTGAAGACGGGGAGATTTGTTGTCCTTGCGGGCTTCAATGATTGAATAAGCCTAGCTCCTAAAGGCTGTAAGAGGAATGATTGGTCGCCATGTGATCGAAAACGGCAAAAGCACCGGTTTTGCGACCAGACGTCGTGTGAGATTGCTGAACATATGTTTTGGCCTTTTCAGTCACCGCAACACGGTCAGGAATTAGCCGCGTCAGTATTGCTGACAACTGCTAACCTACGTGATTATGAGAAGAAAAGACCGGAATCTCCGGACCAGGAAGATTATCTGGGGTGAAAAAAGCTTAGCGAATCGCAGCCAATTATTTAAGACGACGAAATCACGATTCATCTTTAAAGACTTAGCCCAAGAAGTCTGTAGAGGACCTGGCCATCGCACTTTGTCATGGTAACTCTGGAAACACTTTGCCCTCAAAGTGAACAGTAAGCTAAAACACACGCAGCTGGGAGCGGAACCACAGTGACGCACGTAATCTGCTTCCCGCCGACCACACCAAAAGCTTTGCCGACCGTTCCTGCATCGCCATTTTTTATGCCAGTGGTAGGAAGAACCCATTATACTCCAAAATAACTGCTGATATAGCATCTTCTTGAGCCCAGTATTCAAGATCCTACGCAGCTTGTTAGCGGTTTCGATCGACCGGGCAGCCCCTGCGGAGTCGGCTTAGGGGAACCTTCGTGAATGCTTGTGTCGAACTCCTGAATAAGTGAACTGAGTGTTAGATGTTCAAGAACAATCCGGACCACTGGGCGCTTCCCGGCCCGCGTGTGTTCCGCTGACCTAGCTTTCGCTCGTGGGCATCGTCAGCACTCTTGTAGCTCAGTTCTATACAGTCGTTTACTTGTAAGGCTCGTGGACGTCAGGAATGTTGCAAAAGAGGACACCAATGAGGCGCACTGCCTACCAATAGAGAAGGCTCCAGTTTATTAAGGATAAGAAAATAATAGGGCTTTTAGAGGCAAAGTCGCCGTTACCAGGTGATAAGGACAACTACGATAGAAGCGGCGAGAAATGAAGGAAGCGTGGTTGAGCAAGCATAATTTAAAAAATCCGGTGGGTCTTGGGTATGCGTATCCTCCGTGCCGCAGGTGGCCTTAGGCTAAATACCGAGTGAGGTCAGGGTGGAGTTAGTTTCACGGTTAGGGGTAGGTGTGCTATGGATTCGATTAGGGATGGGGTTTTGAGGGTTAGGGTTAAAGTTGGCACATGGACATTTTTTCCCTCATGAAATTTAACGCAAGGCCACCTATAATATTGGGAGGTGGGGTTTTTATTCTCGTGCTCAACTGAAAATTCCAATATACGTTGACCAGTAGAAAACGAAGAACATCTTCATGGCAGTCAAGGCAGTCTATGTATGAAGACTACCACTGCCTACTACCCATGGAACAAAGTCATTATCAAAAAACCGTAGGGCGCTAGCTGCTGGGATGAGTATCTGGGGGGCCCACAACCGTCAGGTATTCACTGACAAACTTCTGCGGGTTAAAATCGGCGTCAGCCCTCTATGCTGTGAATCTCACATAAAACAGTTAGGGCCGAGGAATATTTGAGTGCATGACAGTTGTCTAATGTTAAGCTGAAAACTTGCAGTCCTACTGAAGACGCTGTGTGATCGTCCACAAAGCAACTATAAGTAGATCAATAACTATCTGCAGAACTGTAGTTGTCATGCAAAGGAGTAAAACGTGGCCTCAGTGCCATAGTTTCCGAGCCCAAACATTTCTTGCTACAAAAAAGAAACGGTCTGTAGAACATATAAATAGATCCGGACGCCCAGACGCACTAGGTTAGGAAACTCAGAGGATGTTCTGGTCGAAATCTGAATTGGCAGTAGGGAAGGCATGGGTCACCGTTATTTTTGATTCTAAGATTCATGTCAGACACAAAAGGTATTTTATGAAGGAGATTTAAACTTAAGCCAACTTTATTAAATAAAGTCAGGAAATCTCGGACCAAAACAAAGTTTCCTACTATCCAGTCACTTTCCGATGCTGCAATGTGTCGCACGCAAAGGTCGTACGTTTGCCGACAATCGTCGTGAAGGAGAATACACATAATCGACAGCCGGAAAATCTGACATTGGGAATAAACAAATAAGTGAGCCCAGGGATGAAAATGGGATTTTTTCCGGAATCATGGTGCCGATTTAGATTAGAAGATTTCCGGTTTACAAACGTGTGCTATTTTGTACCATAAAAAGTTACCAGTGGTTTGTTCTCCGGAAATTAGAATTACAATGAGTAAGCAAAATATACAATGGGCGCCCGCACATGCTGCAATTTTCTCTTTGTCACGCAGCGAAGAAAATTCTTGCCCGCTGCCCACTTTGAACGGAAGAATAAATTAGCGACAGAAGAGCTGTCGCGTGAGCTGTTGGAAACTATTTACAATGCCTGTAAGGCCACTCACTTCGCAATTTTCAACGATAAAACCGCGTCTAGAGGTAAACAAGGCAGGTGAAAACGATCCACATGTTAACAGGATAGTGATTTTATTCGTTGGGCACGAAAATGTTTCATTGGGTACAAGTTAAGGTTATTCACAGGGCGGGAATTCGTCAATGTTGGCTCTGAGCATAATCAAGAAAAAAGATCAAAGAATTTGGCCGCCATCCGCGGAAAGCCATAAATGCCGTTTTAAGTAGAAAACTGACGGGGGGACCTTTTTGTTTGCTAAAAGCGTGCATTAATCACTGACTACCATTCGCGGAGGCCATTTTCTTTCGCGATTTGACCGTATTTTTAGGTAAGCCTACGCAGGTTAAATCGAGTGTTATATGTGGATGGAATATCCCACGAGAACACACTGTGCAGATTTAAACTCTCTAGAGCTTTCCAGGTCTGATAGTCTAGATGGTCAACGACTTTGGTTAGGAGCCACCGTGGTGGTCAAAAACGAAAGTTGTTAATTACAAGGTGCTATACGATATTGTGACAGATGCCTTCGGTTACGATTGTTTTGACTTTCGCCAAATGGCAGTGTAATTTGCAACAAAATACCTCCACCCAGCTCGCAGAATGTGTATGATTATAATAGCGTTTGTGGATAAAACCTGCGCTTTGGGCAGTAAACAGTCCCGCCAGTGGGTTTCGAGCCACTCTCATTCTTGCCGATTGATCTGACCCTAGTCTCATTGAGACTACTTCTGTTCTTGTCAATAGGACTTGCCACAAGGCAAAGAGGTAAACTTCAATTCACCAAAGGTTGGACTTTGTGCATTACTGCCACCGACTGACAGAACGGGCAGTCAAACAAGTGTACGCCAATTGGAACGGACATCGCCCGTACTACAGGTGGTCATGCGCTGAATTACAGTGGAGGGTGTAGAAGTAACGTTAGGGTAGTCCGTCCCTTGGAATCTGACGCAGGATCACCTGTACTGCGTGGGCGTACCGATTCTCGTGTCTTAATCAGCCAAGTAACAGTACATTGCATTTGTTGTTAATTTTTCACTATTCTCCGCCTTGGCGCATCCCTCTTCGTTCTGCGCTGTTGCACATAAGATTAACAAAGCGACTTCGAATACACGGATTTTCTGACTGTTTTGGCTTTTGCCTAAACACAGTTTACTTCGCAGACGGTAAAGGAAAACTCACAAAACAAATTATTGCTTCTTCTTAATAAATGTTGTTTATCTAATGATACAAGGCTGTTTGCCATCGGGGAGGGGGTGGGCGGCTTCTTCATTAGAGAGCATTTCTCGCATATTTTATGAATAAATATGACTTAGGTCGCTTTCACTTTTTTTTACTCATGCGCATCTACCATAACACGAGGAATGCACGAAGGGACAGGCTCCTGGTGACTCAACAACCTCAGATGTCGTGAAAGGGTGCAGCATGGTCGCGCGCTCGCCTAACCTTCATTCTCTTCATGCTATTTGTCATAACCCACTGAACTGGCGGGATTGTCTCGTCATAAAACCCTCGTCTATGCACGTGGGCACACTACTTGCCCTTCTGTCATGAAAAAGGCGGCTTTAACATATATTGTACAGCTGAGGAAACACATTTCGTATGTTCGCACGGGGCCTTCTTTGTCATCACGTCAATCAGTTATCCGTTGAAGAACAAATAAGAACTGAATGTCAGTGCTAACAGGGTGAGCTAACCAAATACATTCCGCTCGTCAAAGCAGGTAACCAGCCCCGAGCAACCCTCGATGCTTCACCAACCGCAGGAGACTAGCAATGTGTCAGTACAGAGGGGGGGACAATTATGAGTCGGTCGAGAATCTCATTACAGTTAAAAAGAACTGAACATCAACAACTTCGCTCCATACAGCAACAGTCGGCGCAAAGTCAGGAATAAAAAATTAGGAAAAGGTGAAAAGGACGAAACATATAGAATTTGAATGACTTCATCACATTTCATGACCTCTTCGGCTGACCGCGGTCACTGTATATTTTCATAAGAATAACGGCTCAGTAACAAAACAACCTAGGACGATCAAACAGAGTAGCGACATTCATACACGGCAGAACACGCTGACCAGACATGTGGGTGGACATAGTTCGGGCGGCGGGGGAAAGGAAGCTGTATGGGTGAGCGTGTTCTGCTTACAGCAAACATCGTCAATCGTGATTACGGCTGCACCGCATGGAACATGTGGGCGTCATGTGTGGGGGAGGAGATGAACGGACAGGGGAGGGGGTGGGGTTATTTCCCTCACCGAGGCTTACCGTGGCAGTGTATCACGTGATCCAACCGCCTGCATAGTTCTGGTTTTCATCTCCCCATTGCCTGCTCGGTCGTTGCTCGACGTAGGACGTTAAACGCAGTCACTGGATCCACCACATGACTGGTGTCCACCAGGTATTTCGTAGTTGAACCTCTGTATGCATTATTTTCTGTTCTCAGAAGACATTTGGCATATGTGCAACTGTCCGAGTTGTCAGCTGTCTTTGGCTGTGCCAAATATATCTGTATGCGCAACTACACGTAAAGTCATAGATAGTCTGACATGACACGCGTATGCACAGCGTCTTTAGCTACTCCAACTGAAATTGCTATTGTGATGTTTATGAACAAGAAAGTAAGGGCGGTGCACGTCCGTTCAGTCGTGCACTGGAGCTTTCGCTTGATCGTTTTTGACATATTATTACCGGAAGGGAGGCAGGTGCTCATCGAATTTCTAGAGCGGACATTTCTTCTGTACTTTCTTGAATAGGATGACGATATTTATGGGTACATTTCTACGCATAGCCTTTATGAAACTGGACGCGTCATCGATAGTCTCTGAAGAACAGGCGATAGCGGCCGTATTGCTAAGGCACAGAATCAAGTTGTGTTCTCGCCGAATTGGATCAGAACTCGGGAAGTGCATTTACTGTCCTTTTCATGAGGTTCTTCGATACACTCCCCTTCGATTGCGACAGGGTGCTCGCCTCCGTACAAGAACGTCTGAGAAAAGCAGCGTGTCCATTTACTCCTTAATCGTAAATTTTATTTTTTGGATGTGCCGTGTATGTAACTTTGAACAGCATTGCCCCGTCTCTCGGGCAATTTACCATGATAAAAATTACGGTAAGGGCCAAGAGAAGGACCCCAAGCGTATGTGACATACAAAAATATATACTATATTTATATAAGTGGGTTTTAGTCCGACACGATTATTCCGGTTGGGTGTTTCAGCGTTCAAGTATGGGTCGTCTGTTCTAGACGGTCTGGCTCATTATATTCAACGAACTCAGCTCAGAGAGTTGATAAGCGATCGTTTTAGACACTTAATGCTTATTTCTTTAATTGCCCTGTTTATTTTCGGTTGCTATTTGGCAAAACATTAAAACCTTCCCGCCCGAAAAACGAATTTACCAATTATCTATATTAATCCTGTCATTCCTTTATGATACATAGGCCCCGCAAGTAAAAGCCCTGGTACCACCTTCCCCGTAAGACAGGCGTCTTTGGCTGGTCGTATGTGTTTGGGGTCCTTCACCCGATCGCTGCCAGTTACCTGAGTTTGGGTGGCCCCAAACATGTTTAAGACGCGGTCGGTTAGGAAACAGGTTCTGCGAGTTGAATGACATTATGTACTTGTTCAGTTAACCTTGATCCTTCAGCACATTCACGAAAGAGAAGTTGTCAGATGTAGTGCAAGCAACAAGATTGTGTTTAATTAATCCTAAATGTCGGACTTACCAATAGGCTATATAAGATTAGAGTGAATTCCTAAGTGAAAAATTTGGTCACAGCAGTTAAAGGTATTCGGCCTATGCATACCATGTCAGACTATCTATGACTTTACGTTTAGTTGCGCATACAGATATATTTGGCACAGCCAAAGACAGCTGACAACTCGGACAGTTGCACATATGCCAAATGTCTTCTGAGAACAGAAAATAATGCATACAGAGGTTCAACTACGAAATACCTGGTGGACACCAGTCATGTGGTGGATCCAGTGACTGCGTTTAACGTCCTACGTCGAGCAACGACCGAGCAGGCAATGGGGAGATGAAAACCAGAACTATGCAGGCGGTTGGATCACGTGATACACTGCCACGGTAAGCCTCGGTGAGGGAAATAACCCCACCCCCTCCCCTGTCCGTTCATCTCCTCCCCCACACATGACGCCCACATGTTCCATGCGGTGCAGCCGTAATCACGATTGACGATGTTTGCTGTAAGCAGAACACGCTCACCCATACAGCTTCCTTTCCCCCGCCGCCCGAACTATGTCCACCCACATGTCTGGTCAGCGTGTTCTGCCGTGTATGAATGTCGCTACTCTGTTTGATCGTCCTAGGTTGTTTTGTTACTGAGCCGTTATTCTTATGAAAATATACAGTGACCGCGGTCAGCCGAACAGGTCATGAAATGTGATGAAGTCATTCAAATTCTGTATGTTTCGTCCTTTTCACCTGTTGGAATTAAAGACTACTGTATGTGCATATGAGTGCAGCAGTTGAGAGGAGTAAAACGCACGTCTGCGCGTGTCGCACACAGGCTTGTCTCCGACTTCGCAGGTGACAAACTTCATTCAGGTGGAATATCAAACCTAGCTGAAGGCCACATCAATTAGGAGCCTTTTAAGCCTGAGTCCCGTTGCTGGGTGGACTGATCTCATACCCTCTTACGTCTCCGAAAACCCAGTGACCCACTCGAGGCGATCCAACTGATAATGACATCAGCCGCAGCTGTTGGAAGCCGCTATCTATAGTGCTTCACACACAGGAGGTTCTCCCTACTGCCACATGCACATGGTAACCATTTGAATTAACAGAGAGACGGTATTAAGGCATAGGGAGCACACTTATCGCCGATAAGCGCTTAAATATCCAAATGAAGAAGCAGATAATTTTTGAATTTGTGAATATACGAGGTATAAAATATTTCGAGACCATAAAATGGTCAACTTCAGATGAAGATTAGTTGTACTGTCAAAGCGTAATGACCGATAACTTCATGTGGGAAAAAGCTACCGGCGAAAGACGGCTAAAATTTGATACTCATGTAATGAACATACAAAAACCTATGGTTTTTCTGGAAGGACGCGGAATGTGCCTGTTTGTAATCCCTAGTAAGCACGAGGTGATTGTTATCGCACTTTTAAAGGGTGAATTCGTAAATGGCCTGCAACACGCAGCCTACCTTCCCTTTCATCTAAAAGCTCAATTCTCTTAAAATTAGAGGGAGTCTCCAGCCAAAATTTATGATGTGGGATCCGAAAATTATTCGTTAAATAAAATGCATCTCTATGCATTGCCCTAACTGGTACTTAGGGTTTTTAATTTGGTGTTATTATTATTTTACCTGCTCTCCGAGTGTCACAGAAAGCATTTATATTAGTAAAACGAAAAATTACTATTTTAGCATAACCACTGCGTTTTCGGACAGTGGTGCGAATTTATCTCCTGTTTTCACACTGAAAGCAGTGTAGCGCCATCGACCAGCAAATAAAATAAGTCGCTGCGTTTCAAAACTGCGGAAAACAACTAGAGGATGATACCACACTCACTGGAATGTGCACTCCATGTGTGCTTTTGCGCGAAAATGGGCAGAACGCAGGCAAACGCGACCGGAAGTCTGCGATGCGGGTTTTTTGGACTTCAAGCCAAATACATGTTGGCCACCGCTTGGTCGGAATTTGGACCGGCTTAGCAAGCACGCAAAATTTAACGAACACGTTAAATGAATCAGAGGCTTAGCCTGCCTTTGTGATCTAGTTGTCGGCCAGTGGAACACCGTACAGCAGAAGTGCTAAGTTATAAAATGTTAACATAATGTAATGTAAATGTAATTCTGAAAATGTAAATTCAGAAAATCCTGAAAATGTAATTCAGTCACGTTTAGATGCCGGCTTTTAAACGAACTTTTCTGCGGTTGCCTTCTTATGCCGAGATGAAGTAAGTTGACCTTGACAAAAAGGATCGAAAGATCCTTTGCTCTTTATGTAAGGGACTTTCTTCCAAATAAAACATTTGATAGGGAAGGCTAGTTCATCAGGGATTCTTTGAGACAACCATATAAACTTTTAGTATATTGTCCCTGTGAGGCTGCAGCAAACACGCAATACGCGCTGACATTTCGTAGATCTCGAGACGGCTTACCATAATAAAGGGGTCATTTTTAAGCAAAAAGTTATCCCAAGAATGTGAGAACACCTGCCGGCAGGGTTGAGGAAATGTGAAATTAATAGCATACACACCTACATCCTCGCACAAATGGTTGATTCGGGGCATCATGTGAACTTTAGTGAAGCCTTACGTGTGATTTTAAAGATCTCACCTAACCACCGGGGCAACTGGGTTAGCGCATGACAGCAACAGCAGAAGCGACCGTCATAAGGCCATGGAATCCAGTCCTGCGCGAACGGAAGAACGAACTGCACACTCCGCGTCTACTGTGGGCAAGGATCGATTAACTCCCAGCCCCCGTCCCCCCGCCTCGCCTGTGACATGGCTCTACCCAACTCTCACTGCCACTTACTGCCTCCTCCGTCCCCCTCCCCCCCCCCCATTCACACGTCCCGCTTGTATAGAAAGACGAATCGTAATCGGCTTCTCTTATCGCCCACACATTTCACTTTGTACCTCGTCCCCGTGCAGATGTATCGGCCCGACGAGATCATATCGAAAGCACGCGTATGCTCGAAAAATGACCTGAAGTGTATCAAATTGTTATGAAACCATGAGAGTACCAAAAACTCATATTCTGTTCCACCTAGGCATAAGTAAATTAAAAAGAATTAGAACTTCTGTTATTCCCTTCATGGAGAAGTGCATACTTTACATAAGCGTCGAAGTTCAATGGAAAAAGTGAGCACTTTCAAAGTGGCCTAGACCCATCTGACACCAGGTAGTCTGAGAATGTGCCAATCGTGGGTTAATTACAAAGGACACAAACTTCAGAGTCAACGTTTTTGCAACTTCTAGCTGGTCGGTTTGTTGCACAATGGAGTCGCTCGTATGGTCGAGAAAGTACAACGCTCTACAAAATCAAAATTGTCACTTGCGGAGTGTTGATTAACGCGTGGATAGCCACGTCTTCTTAAACGCCCACCCATTTTCTGTGAGGAAGATTTAGGCAATCCTTGTTTCGAAATAGAAGCCTTCCCCTCAAATAGAAACGCCCACCTTCACTTGTGGGGGGCACTGACTAGTCCGCCACGTTAGAATATGGCCAGCCCGTAAAAAGCATTTGATGTATCCGGCATGCACGCATGGAATGCCAGAATGCGCAAATGCGGTGCGGACTACGTCGTAAAATGTCAAGGGCGGGGAGAAGAATGTCGAACTACACACCCACAAAGACACCCTCGCATTCGCTGAAATCCCGTGACTGGGATTTGAGCATAACAATCGTTTAAACTGACACTTATTATCTTAAATTTATCAGGACAGCCTCCTACCAGCCCAATATTTGTAAATGTTGGCACATTGTCGAAAAAATTGTAAATCACTGGTCCATATCAGAAGATGTGTAGGCGGCTTTGTATAATGCGCCAAACGAGGGTGGTCGGTACGAGCTAGGAAGATTTTTAAAAAGACCTCATCCTCTTCGAGGTTTCACTTATCATGCTTAAAATACCGGCAGTTCGCCGGGAAAAAGCGATGTCCGTCATCTACCTCGATGAAGGTTGCTGCAAGGTCGTTAAATAAAACCTTCTTCGTGCCCTAACAACCAATTAGGCCCCCCGCTGCTCAAGCGTGTATTGCCTGGTTCCTATTGGGAGCGACTTGTCGGTCTAACTAGTTCAAGCTAAGATTTTATTCGTTCTACGTAGACACAAGCACCTAATTGTCCTTTTATCAAGAAGTCCCGCTCAGAAGTGCCACAGTTCGACTGAAAACGCAATGCCATACCTTTGTCAGTCCCCTCATGCGGTCAGTAATCAATGAAAACCTAGAGGTTTACACAGTCTATGTCCTTAGGCCTTCTTCAGAATGTTCATCCATTCTCAAAATCCACACGATTGTGAGATAGTGTTATCAGCCATGCATTAAAACTAAACGCTTCAAAAATGAGGAGAAAACTGCACACTCAGGGATCACTGACTTAAAAATGACTTCTATGAAGTTTATCGTTATCACGAAAGGAAGTGAACGTCCATGAATCCAAAAGGCGACGGGTGAGTGGTCACGCCTGCTTTTTAGCGCAGTTCGGTGCGACGCGTTTTCAAGGACCTTTGCATGCTGCATCAATGAGCGTATTATACGTGGCGTACTTCGGAAACTGAAAGCACTTGTGGCCAGAATTTTCTGATGGATTGCGGGAATATAATTTGATGAAAGATTTCAAAATCTCGGTGATAAACTTATCTGGCACTATGTTTGTTGCTACATTAAGCAAGGCACACGAGAAGCATCTAAGAGTTAAATCATCGAGACAGAGTCGTCGTCGGTTCATCTCTCTAAAAGCCCACTGGCAATCTTTTGTAAACTCTAGAAAATTGCAGAAAGGGCGGCAGTGGCGATGACCCTCCGGCTTGGAAAGTGTCTCCACCCCATGCCTTGTCACCTTTTGCTAGTCATTCTGCTGTTGTTCTCATACTTGACTTACGTTCTTGCGTTGGATGGCCTTCCGAATTAAATGTTGGGGTCAGTGGTGATGTAAGCCTTTAGAAAAAATTGGTTTAAATGCTATCAGTTTAGTTCATTTTGTTTCTGGCAATTCAACTAACGCTCATGATTTATGCAGAGCGAATAATTCGAATATTGCGTTGAGCACGACACCTGCACTCTTTACCAGTTCTTTAAATTAATATGTAATTAAAGAGGGCAGTTCAGGGGAGTAAATTTACCCCTACTCAAGAGGTAATGCGTACAAAGAGAAGTCCTCGTAAGAACTTGCATAGCAAATAGCGGTCAATTATAGGTAATAACTACCGACAAAGAGAACAGTAACTAGAGTGCTTTTTCATAAAGGCAAAAGGGAAACCGCATATTTCACCCAACAACCATGTCACATTAACGAATGCAAATGGCATGCAACTTTTAGTACGGGTAAATAACTAGTCCGCCGGTCATCGCTTGTGTGTAGTAATGTTACTTAAGAAATTTGCATTTATGCCGGCTATAGTCTCCGTAGAATTTTAAAATTCTGGCATTGAGTTGATCGTGTAAAAGAAGTTAGACAATGATTTCATAAAAAGCCGGTGTGCACCGAAATTCTTAAAGTTGTTGACTAGAGCTATGTCACCCTCACTCGAGATTCCACTCCTGCTTATAGCTAAATACTCGCCCTCCAGTTTGGCTAGCTTCACCTGAGTGGGTGCAAAGGTCTGAAGGTCTTCTGAGGCTGATGCAGAGTTCTAACGATTCAAATGTTTCCTCGAAATAAAACCAGTCGTTTGCCCCTCGTTGGGCTTATTAAACTACATTCAAAGAGGCACCGTTAACGGAGGTAAAATTTGTTTATGATATCCGTTTTGGGCGGATTCAAGCTTCCAGAATCCTTGCGTTTTCAAACTTCAAAAAATACTTAATTGCCAAGCACTGCTATTTCGTGTGTTGCTGCATCATTTGACGATGCCTGGAATATTTGAGCGACGGGCGATTTTAAGTGTGGCAGCAGAGAATAGACAGTACCCCTGCGGTGGAAATAAAACGCTGACCAGAATGCCCATGGCCGCAGTGAATACGACGGGATCCAATGAGAGAGGGAGACGATAAAATTTCTCAAGAGTTTACGATTTGGATCCAGCCCACCCGTGTCGCCAAACTCTGCTTATCTAGGCGGCTCCACAATTTTTCGTACGGTTTCCTCGATGTGGTTGCGGTCTCCGTCATGGTAGCATACTTTACTGGCAATTGCCGCGGCTTCTATAGGTGGCAGTAGCCTGACCCCCAGTCCTGAAAAAGAGCAAGTTATTCGGTCACTTCGTTTCCTTCCAAGGTAGAACTGCTGGTGCGTCGCAAATGGTTCAAGCGTGTTCGATTTATCATTTGTATGGAGTTTTTTGATTTCCCTGCTCAGTATCCACTTCACTCGATTCCCTCTGACACTTCGACCGTCATGCCCGACGATGTCCACTGTGTGTTCCACAGCAATGCGGAACAGACACGGTGACTTACGCGCAAATTATTTTATAGTGAGAATAGACTTGCGCAGCATCTACCGCACCAACTACACCTCCTCACCTGGACCCAGTGTCAAGATACAGTCAAAAAGATCAGAGGTACGAGAGGCCGCAGCTGGCTAGTACGGTCGGACCCGCACCCCCTGGTCCACAACAAACACTTGACTAGGATTTTCAGCAACAATAAATATTGAGGGCAGCTTGGATCCCAATGGGTGCGACATAAGCCAGTAATTGGCCCTGCTACCACGCCCCGAATGTTGGCGTTTGTTATGATGGAGTATTCCCGATAAAGCCTATCGGACTCCGGTCTAGCTCCCGTGTTGGTCCAGCGCATCTTACGCGTGGCCCGATTTGGGGCGCTAGTGACTGGCACGGCCGGACCCGCACCTAGGCATACAACTAAGCCCCCCGGTCCACGACAAACACTGGACCAGGGCGCGCGTAGATCCGGCACCGTCCGATAGGCGCGTGCCATGGACCAATGTGGCCCCGTTTTGGTTCAAAGCTCTGGCGGTGCAGCTAATTTGAGCGTGGGGAACACAAATAAGCGCAGCTTTGCACGCATCTCAGTCCATAGAGATGAAACATATTGCAACATGTCAGTCCACAAGAAGGCTGTACGACTCTACGATAACGACCATTTACGACTTATGCCATGTACTCTGGGGCCAACAAAAACTGGCATACAACTTATATCGTGCCTCTTTCTCAGTCTTCTTGCTTTTATGCAATAGAAGGGAATAGTATAGGTATTACACTTGGATGATCGTTCGTGCCAGTCGCATGACGCATGTTAATATAAGACACGGGAAGTTAAGTATAATGAAAGGAAATGGCTTTCATTCAGGAACACGCCTTATACTTACAGAGAAGAGTAAGGGGTAGATTAAAGACGCGTTTCTATGTCATCGAACATCCGATCCATGTCGCTGGTTTTATGTTCTTCACATGTCATGGCACTCAGTTCCTTCCAGTGCGTGGCCGTTCGCCCGGTCAATTATATTACCGGTGTGCACAAACAGCCACTTAGTTCGCACTCTGCGGCGGTCCAGCGATCAGTGCAGAATGAGTGGCCTTCATTTCACTCATTTTGCCTGCAGGTCCGAATGACTCCGGCACATATCTAGTGCAAACATTTTTAACCGCTTTTGTCGGCTACCCAGCTTTAGAAATCATTTCCGGAATCAGAGATGCTCTTTGAAATGCGAGTTGAATTAATTATCTCAAGACAAAAGGGAAACCATCGGATTTCTGCATAAATTAAAAAACAAATACATAGACGTTTTCATGGCATGCGATTCCAAAATGCTTCAGCAATTAGACGGTATTGTTTTGAAAGTGAGTTTTAGCTCTAAGGACATGCTTCCTTTTACACACATTCTTTTGAAATTCAAGCTATCTATAACAAATAATAACTGTGAGTAAAAACGTTGCGTTCTTCCGCCCGTGATATCATCCTAAATCAACACAGTGCAACATTCAACGTGTAATCACGTACATCAGGTAAATCAAAAAAGAGTGCAATGATCACTTTTATGAGTTCTGGGGGTTGTCAGTCAACAAGCATGCTGAAATTTTATTGTAAGCCTAGGGTGATTGGTAAACTGTCGCTATATTCCATGAATTGATAGTTGAGCCATAAAGGACTGGCGTTGGTGAGATAAACAAACATCTTTAGTAAGCGTAATTCTGCTAATAGCTCTTGGGACTGAGCTAAAGCAGGTCTATTAGTAGTTTTATGCTTCAAGCAGGCGGAAAAACCGCAATTATTTTTATTTACCAGAAATGTATACCAAAGTCTTATGCAAGTTTAAGTAGCTACGTGCGAATACCTAACATTAACATTCGGAAGTGTTAGCACGCACTCCGATAGCATGTGGACTTTTGTCCACAAAGACAAAACAAACTCTACTCACTGGTTTACTGCTGTTAATATTTGAAGGTTCGATGACAATCATCCAAGTTCTTCATATTTTTAGGTGGGCAAAAGGTACCATCTTAACTATCTGACAGTATTAAAAATAATTGGTTACGTTCCCAGGTTTGGGATATCATGTCCCTTGATTTCTGAAAAATGCACGGAAATATATCATTGAACATGACCAGTATGTTTGTAGGTGATTGGTTGACTCTTGGGGTGAAATTTTGAAGTTTCAGTAAACACTCCTTTGTATAGAGCAAACCTTATGTTTACGAAATTCAGTCATACCTGTTGCTTCTTTCGCCAGCGCTAATGTACTCCAGAATTGATTCGAATTATGTTTACACACAAAACGACCAAAAGGATCTTCATTACACTCGAAATACTAAGTCGTCTACTGCAGTTACTCACGGAATCTTTCCTGATCAGGTTTTTTATGTTGCGGACAGACACTGTATCATTACACCTTCTTGCAATATTGTGAACAGGATTATACCATGGAAGGTAGGGCAGTCTGAATGCTTCTTCGACCATCAGCAAATAATGTGACGAATAAGATTATACAAAATATTCTGATTAAGATACTGAATCCGCTCACCTCAAGAAAACACGAAAGGACAGAGCAGTTGTGATCGAAAAAATGCGGCGGCCCATCAAGACGCAGTTTCCTCAAGACTGCTTTTGGCATATGGCTGCAGTCAGCCTCAGTGTCCCTTACTGCAGTAAGTGCGGCTTTAAATGTCGAAGCTGGACCGTTGGAAGGCGACTGAGTCCAGCGTTCCTGTCCCGGCCGGCCTACTCTTCTGTGCGAAACGACAACAAGTCGGCGTTCTTCCGCCTTCTGAGTCAACTTTAAAAAGTGTACAGAAAATTTATCTTTATTACTTTATCTGAAAGATATTTTTCGAGGTAGAAAGACCTTTTCAGAAGGCTTCATTTCATCCGCTCCCAAAGGCATTAAGTCTCAAAGAGTCAGGGCTCCGCTTTCCTTAGCTATTTTGCATAACTTATTTGACAAGTGACAATGTGCAGTTGCTTTGGCAGATTCTAAATAATTAGTTTTGACCCATCCTTTGGGTCAATATGAATCATTAAAAATCTGCCAAAACAACTTCTTATTACGTGAGCCTGGTAGTCATCTGGTGGATTCTTGGTGGATTATTTGAGAAATCCTGCTTAGGTGGTCGGCTTACTGTATCAGTTTTGGTGGATTTCAGACGTTGCAGTAAGTTGGACGCAAAACTTGACCCAACTGTGATTAAACTCACGTCTCCCGGTGGGGTCTGTTAACTCAAGTGGCTAGAGCGTTGACTGTATTAACGCCTCCTCTTGCTGTCGTGGGTTCGAATCCCACCGAGGCGCCGAATTTTTCACAGTTAGGTCAAAATGAAATAGCAGTGTATAATAGTTCATAATTGCTTAAATGCGCGAATCAATCATGGCAAGATTCATGACTTCGACCGTTAGATCGCGTGCTTCGAGCGCCATGGCGGTAGGCGAATATGCCACTATTACAAAGAAGTAAACTCCATATACCACGAGAAGGTCCTTTCCGACCACGACGAATGCGGGCCGAGTTACGGCATGGCTTCATCTAGCCTTTACGTCCTTCAGTGAAAAACTGACCATATCTGTTCTGTAAAATAAAGTACAAACAGACCGAGTGATAGGTAACGGTAAACGGCTCTGCGTTCCCCTAAAGGCTTTGGGATAAGGAGCGATAAGCATTTAGTACATGATTTTATCAGTACGCTCGACTGACAACCCTAATTCTGGCGAAACATCTGCAGATATAGCAGGACACAGTAGCACAAAATTAGACACTAATGACACACACGGTTAATCTGAAGTAGGGGCTGACTGGTCTGACTGACTTATTATGGGGCACTTTCTCTCCGAACGATTAGGAGTACAACAACAGTCCGCTTAGCGTGTAACAGCTTGCTGATATCAGGCAGTTGCCAGACGATCCTATTGAATACTGCCAGAAGCCTACAAAGTCGCAAAGCAAAGCACCTATGACCTACAACAAATTCGAGATCCCTGTCTCCGTTACTTCGCTACCCGGGTTCCTGCCCGCTTAAGCGTTATGATGAATATTGGCAGGTCAAACGCCTCTCGTGACATGACTGTAATGGATATCCTCTTATATACTGGTAATTTGCGTGTTTCGTTCTGTTTCATTGCTAAGACCCCTGCACGGAGCGACTGGGAATTTTCAGGGAAGAATAATGCAACATTATGAAAATTTGACACGTCACATTCAAGCTGACACATACTTGATCTGAATGAACTGAAATGCTAAACGATGCATATTTGGTCGTCTACACTGCTGTTTCCTCAAAAGTCGTTTCTACGCGCTTGGCTACCCAACGGCGTGAGGAGTAATCGCCTAGTTAAAAAGCGATAGGAGTTTTTTGTACAGTTCACCTGCGATCTGCGTTGCGACTGTGATTTCGGACCTGAGAGAACAATTTAAATACCCCGCTTGGAAGGGCAACCGTATGATAAGTACTTTTCTTTTGTCGTATATTATTCCGTGGTCATTTTGTTTTTACCATTCTTTGACGCTGCTCTTGAAAATCACGTACTTTTGATAGATGTTTCCTCTAAAAAAGGCGTTACTACTCGACACATGTTCAAACTCTGCAGAATTTTCACGCACTCTCCCCCGTGAGGTGGTCCAACTGACGGCCAATCATTTCGCCTCATGAAGTACCACCGAATGCAGGTGAACGGGCAATAAACGTTCGCAATAGCGCGGCCACTACCTCCGCCGTCGCAAGTAGCCTCTGACAGAACCGACATGTCTGAACGTCCTCAATCCGCCTCCCCATAACTATTGTCCATTAATCGTCTCAGACTTCGCTGTCTCACCCTGAATTATATAAGGTTAGTTGTCCACTTTGGCTACGTACATTTCAGGGCAGGGTTTTAATTTTAACTTTGATAACCTAATGCGAATTACAAGACCTCACCACATAAAGTCAATGTGCACCTTCAAAACCATACACCACTAGACCTATTTTTTCTCCGGACAACGAACGTACTTAATTTGAGAAGTAGCACTTTATTTTAATTCAGTATTAGTGAGTGGAATTTATAGTTCTTTTAGGATATAGGGGAGGGTCATGAAACACGGAATCTTCTCTGGTGCATTTAATGATACTGTTGATATTTCAAATGCAGTCAACAGTAAGCCTGCGTCCATGGATCTCGTCTAAATGGTAGTTGTTCACAATTACTGTGATATTAACCAGGAGCTAGAATCAAGAGAGACAGCGTAGTCTGCAAATACATCTATGCACAATTTTAAGAGGTTTCGTTCTTTCTCCTTAAAGTTTTCGGCGAAAAACGCGCGCATACACGTTCTCCGAGATCAATTACTTCATCAAATTATGTATATATCACCCCATTCGCTGCCTGTGCACATGCGACCGTTACTGCGTTTTGATTTTTTCACAAAATAAACAGAGAAAATGAAGTGATCACATTCCCGAAAGGACCAGAACTAGCTGTGAATTAGATCAGGCAGAAACCCAATCAGGACCACAAATTTGTGTGTCCCTGACACGAACATTCTGGGAGGGAGCGGAAGCATATGTGACGAAATAAAGTCTGTAATGGGGAAACATAGCTGGGACTTCATGTGAAAACGTTAACTTATTTTCACAATATGTGGAGCGTTACCTTCATGTAAAGGTCAAGAATGTCGCAGATACTTACAGCTGATGGAGTGCGAATGAATTCTGTGTTGTAGAAGAGAAGGCGGCATTCCTGAGGAGATGAGGAGACTAAAGAAAATATCTGTTAGCATCCGAATTATGTCGAGCATTGTAGAAAACTAAACAATCCCCTCCAACTTCAATTGTTGTCGGTAGAAATCATTTCCCTGTTTCAAAACTAGGAGATAAAATACTGAGATCTTATAAATTTGTACAGCCTCTGTCTACAGACAAGCCTATGATGTACGGTGGAGTTTCCTCCAGTTCCGAGACACGAACCGAAAGCATGGCGCTTTAAATGAGGATGAACATAGACTCCGAAAACCGATACCTGGGCCGCCGATTAAGGATAAAAAACTTAAGAGATGGAAGAGATTGAAAGTGCTTGTCAAGAGACGGAAATATAAGTATCTCGGGGGCATGAGTTAGCGAGGATGGTTTCCGTAGGCATCAACGGATAGGCTTTGTTTCTTGATTACCGTTCGAAACAAAAAGACCAAACTTGTAGATAACTGAACCTCCATTAAGGAATAGTTTTGACTCCAAGTTGCTCCTTGGTACCGTACAGTGATTAAACAGTTAGCGGAGAATGTGCATCAAATATGAGGACATTTTAGCTGTCATTATCATTTCTTCGGGGTCAGTGATGCTCTTCAGAAGTATAAACTGTCACCGCCACATAATTCAACTCAGTTGTTGTATCATCTGCGTATATCAAAAATTATGTCAGTGTAAAGTATCATTTGTGCCCAGCGACAGCTTTAACACCCGGTGAATCCAGTGCCAACAGACAGTGAACACCGCGACAAGACGTTTTGATCCAGAGATGAGAATGAGGAAGCAGAAAACTCTCGGATTGTTCGGCAAGGAACAGTTACTCGTCTGAACTTTCCGGCTCACACAAGAGTCATCCTTTAACAAATCGGTGCATTCTGTCATTTTCTGAAACTGCGTTAGCACTCTCTGGTGCGTTAAGCCTTATACATACCAGAAGCACTATAAACGAAGTTGCGGATAGGACACAAGGGACACAAAATGGTGCAATGGGATAGTTGAGGTTCTGACTTGTTATTATGCTTCGACCTCGGCAATAAGCCTGTGCGTCGGATAACAAAGCTCCCACCCGATCATTTAATAGTCTCTATCCTGTTTCATCTGATTAACATTATTATGAAACAGTAAACGTAACGTATGGGCAAATCCTCCCAACAATGCGGACCCCCAGTCGGTAACAAATTCATGAAGAAAATTATCATTTAGAGAAGTTCATAGCTTAAACCAAAGTGGCCCTCTCAGATGTGGATGAGTAAGCTACCTAATACAAAATGTAAGACATTTTCCCTAGTCAAGGTCCACAACAGCAGGGAACTAGCACAGTGTAGCTTCGTTTCCTCGTCCATATGTAATTCGCCAATTTATCATGATGTGGTGGGGAGTGAATCGTTGTCGACAAAGGCTATTTGAATCCTATTCTGCATGCCGATTTGACGATAGACGGAGCAGTCTGGTGGTCCGTGCTACGAAGTGTTCCGAGGTGACCAAAGATTCAGCAATGAGCTCACGGTGAGTGTTGAGTGTGGGCAGGTCTTGAGTAGAACGACGACGCTGTGGATGGCTAAATTCGAAGCGGACGTCCAGCAGGTGAGCGAGGTCGAGGAGGTGGAAAACTGGTAGATAGCTAATCGGTGGAACTGCTAGTTGTGAGCAGCATGCGTGGGCCCACGTCTTGCAGTTAATTGAACGGTGTTTCTCTGGTACCCTGCTCTAGAGCGGCAAAGATCGAAGATTTGGCGACGGCTCTGTGTGTTTGCTGTTGGGTCAAGATACGTCGTCTTAGGTCGTCTAACTCTTGAGGTTTGGCCAAGTCGGCTTGATGAGAAGTGTTCGTAGTTCGAACCTGAAGAGAGAGATTTCAGACAGGGTGGTCCGGATGCAAAAGACGCATCCACGGCGCTGGTCGATGTAAAGAGGCTGAATAGATATGGACAGTGTTCGTGTTGGTTTATTGTTGCGGTTCATAAAGTGGAGCCCAAAAGGCCAGTTCAAGGTCTGCAAGTTCAGGGACAATGGGAAAACATGGGAAAGGCTTTGATGCTGACGGCGTGATCCCCTGATACCCAGTCATGCTTTCCAGAGGCTTTCACTTGTCTACAGAATTTTAGTTGCTAAAAAGGCATCAACTCCCCTTCCACGACAAACCGTCATGCTGGCAATTTTGTGGTGAGATCAGCTGGGTCTTCTGTTTGTTTCTGAGGCATTTGGAAAAGTTTTCAAAAGGTATCTGTAGCGCTGGCACTACTCAATATACTTATCTGTGGAAGTCTAAACCAACTTCGCTTGAGAACGAGCCTTTCGGCAGGCTTTTATCGAGCAGCTTCAAAATTTGGTCACTGCGTAGAAGTCGGCTCTGTTCCAGGAATGCATGCATGCCAGGCATGCTGGTGGATTCCATGTCCTGGATTCCACCGCTGTCCCGGCAAGTTCCCTGCGGACTGTAATCTAATAGAAATGAGTCATAATTTCTCCTTCGGTATCGTCCAACAACCTAGTTTCGTCAGCATGCGAGGGTCAAATGTGATCACAACAGTAGAGTAGGTTGCACCTTGCGGTTTGTTTTACTTCTGGTCGGCATCTCCGCCTTCCTGAATGGCGGCAAGTTAGGGCGTCACGCATCGTTCCTTGCGTTGCGTATCCTGTTCCACATCACCTCAACCGTCTCTATTTCGACAACTTTCTCTTACCCTGAGCAGCCAACTTCAGGATATATAAGGCGAACACATATGCTGATTAGAGCAGTCCTGATCTTTGGCTATTGCATTATTTACAAAGGAGGAATGTTTCAGACTACCAGCTTGGGGAAATTTACGCTGCTAAAGGGGAGACTGCGTTGAGTGTTATTGTATTTGTGCTGTCATGACCACGTTTGAGAACCACAGGTACGGTCAGCGGCGATGCAATAAGTCGATGTATATTTATGGCAATGCTCCTAGTCTATTTTCTGCGACGGGCTAAACGGGGCTCTACTGGACCGGGCCGGTTCGAAACCCGGACGCTGTCGAATGCCACAAGAGCCACCACCTTCACTGCGAATTGCCGACTGCGGCATTGCATGTCATCTAATCTAAAAAAAACTGGAGTAGATAGAGGTGTGAATAGGAATGAAGTTTGATGAGTTCTCAGCGAACTGAATGGTGACTTGTGTGAGACTTAGAGAATGATTAGGAACTATAATAGTCCCACGCTCTCTAAACGATTTTGCCGAAGTCTAGTGGTAATATCACGTAAAAAGGACAGCCAATGTGGTAGTTTTCCGAGGCTGGTCGAGAATAAAGTCCTTATCCATTCATGGGTGTGGTTTTCGTTGACGACGGAGACGAAACTGCTCTTCTCAGTGACATCAATCCCTAAAAAGTTCATTCAGAGCTCGCAAACAATGGTGCTCCGGCAGTCCATTCAAAAATTTGTTCCTCCTATTGACTGATGTGTGCTACAGAGACGGCTTCACCGGATAGGACGACACTCCAAGAAACGCTAATTTAGTTTGGCTGGGAATATGACCCTTTATTAGAGAGTGGTCGCTGTGCTTAGCCGGGTGTTGATGGTCAGCAGATGAGATATTGGCATTGGGTAAGATGCGAGCTTCATTACTTCCTTGTATAACTAACTACTGCCGACAGTCAACGGATAAAGTTGTCTGTCCATTTCTGTGCCTCCAAAAATCCCTTTTATTCACATAAAGACGGAATATACAGTAAAGGATGACAAGGAACAAAGTAAAAATGACCACGCTGGATAGTAAGTTTCTAAGCATAACAAAGCTACCGACGGATGACACAAGTGAAAAAGGTTAAGGACTTATTATTTTAAAAAATTGCTTCAGTATGAAAATGAGCATATTTTTACCAAGAGGAGAAGGAAGGTCGCCATAGACGAAACCATCATCGTCCTCCTGTTCGGTCTGACTCAGGCTTGGAAGGAGTTCCCTACTTTGCCTGCGTGCAAGCACCTGTATATGGCTGGAAACCTGCTTTCTGGTTCTGGTTTTTCCAGTCCTCAGTTTAATGTAGCGAGCAATGAGCTCATTTCGACCTAAAGGCGAAAAACTGGTCTGTAATTATGCACACAAGATCACGGGTAAGGCGCATACACTCGACAGTTTGGCCGTCGTGACTGACGATGTTTATGGTGATGATTGACTTGCGCACCATCTTATGCGCTTTCCCCTCCTCCCCAATTTGATCCCGGTGTCAAGACCAAGTCAAGAAGACCGGAAGTGGGAGAGGGCGCAGGTAGCTGGCACGACGTAAACCCGCACCCAGGCGTACCGCCAGACTCTCTGGGCCACAACGTAAAACTTACCAGGATTTTGCACAAGAGAAAAGGGGAACGGCTCGGATCCCAATTGGTGCGGCGTGCGCCTGGACCTGAGCATGCCGCCACACCCTACAATGTTGACATTTGTTATGGGCGCGCATTCCCCACAACGCCTGCCGAACTTCGATCTAACCCCTGTGTTGGTCCAGCGCATTTACCGCGTGGCCAGTTTTAGGAGCAAAGCGCACACGTGAATGGCCTTTCAACGGAAGAAAGTTATGGGCAAATATAAAGCGTGCATAAGTGAACTAACTAAACACAGCACTGTCGTCTTTTGGTCAGAGAAAACTGAGCATTCATATCCACTTAAGGCAGTATGTTTAATCAGAAGCCATGAAATGGACATTTACATCGAAGACTACCGTTTTAGATAAATTATAGCCCATCAGAATGTGAACAACTTGGTAGTTCTCTAGCAGAAGCGGTCGCAGCAGCCAAGTTTTGGCCTGCTCTAAAAGAATGCCCATACACTATCTATGCGGCGGCAATGTAGATGAAGTAGGGAATAAGTTAGGTTAACGCATCCAATGACATAGGACACTTTAAAGACGTTTAGTCGGGTTCAATGATCCTAAACCAAAAAGGTTATTAGTCCTTGCCCCCTATGAATGAGCTAGGGTCCGAAGGTGACCGACGGGACCGATCCGCACACGAAATGTTCGTTGATAGTGCGGGCGCCTACGCCCGTTTTCGAACCCTATGCATCGGCCGCCCGACAACCGCAATTGCTGTTTCAACGACCTCGCCTGCTGCAGTCTACAAGACGAACACATCAGCGTCCGCCCTCATCAATGATACTTCGGATCCCCGCACTGCTGTCGGCCAAGACTACCTCCATTATCTTTGCCTCAAACACCGCAACGAGGTCAAACATAACCACCTCTGCCACCGCCGCCAGCGACCAAAACGCTCCTGGCGTCCCGACAGTCGACCATACATCCACCACCATCACCACCACCACCACTACCACCACCCCCACCACCACCCCACCTCCAGCGATGTGGACTTGGTTTCAACCTGTCCTTATTGCGATCGCACATTCGCTTCTCACATAGGCCTGATCGGTCAGCTGCGAATCTATCGCACGAAAAATGGCATCAACATACACCAGAGGCACTCCCCTCAACTGCACGCCCTGCTCTTGTACATTCAGCCACCGCATGGACCTGCTAGACCACATGCGCATTCACGAAAACCTTCGGTATTCGACAAACGGCTACACCACAGCATCACATCTCTCCTTACCAAAGCCTGCACCACACAACAACATTACCCACCACTGGACAGTGCAAACACTCAACTAACACCTCTTATTTAAATGGGAAGTGGGCTTCTCGGATCCTTCTCCATATGGCTCTTCTGCTACATGTGTGATCCGAGTCTCAGACTATGACGGTACGCCAAGCGCCGTGGCTTGGAAAGTTGCCGGCCTACGCACCAACTCAGTCCACAGAGACCGCCCAGTTGTGTGCTTGTTTGGAGTGACGTATCAGTGCGCTGAGATTCAGGCTATAACGGCTTCTTCTGAGCGTGACCCCTGGCCCTCTCACGCATGCGAGGAGTGTGTGTGTGTGCATGGGTAGCGCCTCCCAGCCCAAGACTGATTATTTAGCCGGTCTTTGAAGGCTGACGGCCCAAGCCAATGTAGGGCTGTGTATCACCCTTCTGGGCCTCAAGTATTTTAATCGTCTGCTATGCCATGGTCACCAAACCATGGTCCTTGCAACCTGGTGTGCGCTGGTCGTGTAATGGCGCCTGGTTCCCTTCCGGTAGATGCGCTTGCGCTCCCGCCACGTATACAGGTCGTGTGCATGGCTGCCCACTCACCCTCGTCTTTCTGACCAGTTGTGGTGCTGTTGTTGGTTAAAGTCCTGGTCAAGCGTTTGTTGTGGACCAGAAGGCGTAGTTGTGTGACTAGGTGCGGGTCCGGCCGTGCCAGATACTTGCGCCCTCTCCTGTCTCTGGTCTTTTTGACTGTGTCTTGACAATGAGTCCAGGTGGGGAGTAGTTGCTGCGGTAGATGCTGCGAAAGTCTGCTACCCCCATAAACTAATCCAAGCACAAGTCACTATCCCTGCTCCCATCCTGCTGTGGAGCATACGGTGGACATCGTCGAGCATGACGTTCAAACTATTATGAAAACCTTATTTGCGTGAAACACGGGATGCGTCATCGAAGTCCTGAGGGATTCATAATAGTATACCTCTAGCATGAGGCAAGGCTCTTTCGTTTTTTTCATCTCCGTTGTTCAGTTTTTATTTTCAACCAGCCACTTAATCCAGATTGACTCAGTCGAAACACTGAATATGTAGCCTGGAGATCCACTGTTGACTGCTTGAAATTTGCTCGTAATTTGCAAACGATCTTTTGGAGTCAATATGACAGTTTGGCCATCTCGAAAGATGACGCCCCCGAGTGTCCCACAGCGTGGTGTGTGCAGACGCGTTGAGTTGCCCAGAAGTAGTTAATATTGGTAGCAGACTTGCGATGCATTCACCACACAGAGCGGCGACTTACATATTGTTATTAAATCTGGTTTTCCGTAGTTTGAAATTTGTCAATGGGAGCCAGCATATCAAACGGAAAAAGACGTAGAATGCGAGCAAATTAACACCTGACTTGCTTAAACCCAAACCTTACATTGTAGAAGCCGAATGACTAAAGAGCTAGATAGTTTAATCGGCAAAGAGGATGACACTAGAATGATCATTTCGGGCATCTATGTCGCCATCAGCCGATGATGTCCCAAAGGAAAGCGGCAATTTCTACTTCGCCATCCAATCAGAATAGATCTGTGTGTTTCACTTCCGTGAACCAGAGGTCACCTATCCTTTAACATTCGTATGTCAAGCTGAGAAGGAAAATAAGGATAACATACAGTATTTTCTTATGTCTTCTGGAAGTAACCAGCCATGATCGGACCAAGGAATGTGAAATCTCAAAGCTGTATTCATGGCAAAAATGGTAAGGTCAGTAAGAAGTGCTACCTTCATATATCCTCCTGTCACTCGCAAAGAGACTTATTTTACTGATTTTTCATTCTAGTCTGCTCGGCGAAATTATCGGTTTGATGGGTTAACAAGAAGCCGAATTAAAAAGCGGTTCTAACTCCTGTTTTCATTTGCTGTGCTGATCTAGTTGAGCTGACTCGAGACCGACAGTCTCTCGCCTAAATTAACAAAAAGCCCTGGCGGCGGCGATGGCGACCACTAACGGGGTAAACTCTGGGCTGCTTAGTCCTCTTTGTCTTAATTCTGTCACCGAGATGTCTTCAAATTGAGTCGAGCGGTGATGCTGAGATGGCGATAACTGAGGACATGAATTAGCGGTAGGCTTAGATCAAAATGCCTGCGCCAATCATGCCCAGCTTATCCAATCAGATTGAGCGGCTGCGACTTCCGCCTCGTGCACGCAGCCGGCCTGAGAGCCGCTTCCGCGTTGCGAGCGCTCCGTCCTCTACCGCCTCTGGTCTTCGCTTCTGAAGCTTGGATTTCGCCCTGGGGGCGGGAGTAATAGCGCGACAGATGGTGAGGCACTCCCACCCTTCCTAGTCATTGGTGTCAGAGGTTCTGTTGCACAAAGTGGATGAGCAAGTTTGTTACTTGCGTAACGTTAAAGGGTCTTTAGGAGAAAATATGACCCCTCTGTGAACAAGTGGTTGAAAGTTAAGCAGACTGACATAGGCCACTGTGAGTCTAATTGTCCATTTTAGGCCAGGAAATTGCATCAGCTGCTTTGGTCGGAAGGGCTGATAGAGTCTATACATCATTGTCTACAGTTTTTTGACTTGATACCACGTCAATGGCATCTACACATTGTCGCGTGGTTCGTGTGGTCTTGGGGGTCTGTCTTCAATACCGTATGTCATATGCTGATGCCAGTGAGCGTAAAAAGGATGAGGTAGTCTTGCGAGCAGCACATGCAGGCAACTGAAGCAGCTGCCAGTCAGAACTAATAAATATTTGAATATAATTAAGCGCGAAGGAAAGTCCATCAAAATAACCTATTCGTAATTGAATAGATAAGAGAATGATTTAAAATCTACGTTGTTAGAATTTGGCCTGCAATTTTTCGCGCGTTTCTTATTTTCTAATAAAGTCTTTAAACACCGGACTCTCGTGCTTTGAAAATTGTCATTGTAGTCGGCCAGATATTTCCTAAAAAGTAGGCGCAGTCGAGTTCTTTGGACTCAGTGGGTTATTACAAAACCCAGAAACTGATAATTATCTCCTGAGTAACGCCTTTAATCTGTTAGCCACACTTTTCCTCATTGGAATTCCTTCACAACGGTAGACAACTTTACATCTTCGTCGTCAAGTGAGAGTCTACTAATGGACGTCCGGCTATTAATAAATGAAACTTCTATTGCCCTGTCAATAATTTAAAACGTTGTACTGCCCAATTTTCAATGAGAATATTACATAAGAACAACGTTATTTAAGAGGCTGAAGAAAGGCAATAGACTCACGCAAGCCCATATAAGTCTTCATATAATGCGATGCTTTTCCGAGTCCTCTAACCTCTAGATGGAAAAACGCAAAAAAACTATGTATGCCTGTAGTCCGCAGTTGAACACTTGGATTTGTCATCTACGCTGTTTCCTTTCAATTCTAAATTTGCATGCGACAGTTCGAAATTCATGCCCGATGATGTCTACGTATCAGGGGGAGGTCAGGGATGGTGACTTGCGCATGTACTAGTTTATCGTGAGAATGGACTTGCGCAGCATCTACCGCACCAACTACACCTCCTCACCTGGACTCAGTGTCAAGATACAGTCAAAAAGATCAGAGGCACGAGAGGCCGCAGCTGGCTGGTACGGTCGAACCGCACCTCCTGGTCCACAACAAACACTTGACTAGGATTTTCATCAACAATAAATATTGAGGGCAGCTTGCATCCCAATGGGTGCGACATGAGCCAGTAATTGGCCCTGCTACCACGCCCCGAATGTTTGCGTTTGTTATGAGGGCGCATGCCCAATAAAGCCTATCGGACTCCGGTCTAGCTCCCGTGTTGGTCCAGCGCATCTTACGCGTGGCCCGATTTGGGGCACACACACACACACACGCCTACACACGCGGCAGTTTGTGCGTCGCTGCCGACGATGTCCGCTGTATGCTCCACAGCAGGGTGAGAGCAGAGATGGGGACTTGTGCTTGAATTAGTTTATAGGGATGGCAGGCTTGTACAGCATCTACCGCGCCAGCTACTCCCCACGAGGACCCGGTGTCAAGGCACAGTCAAGAAGACCAGAGGCAGGAGAGGGCCCAAGTGGCTGGCACGGCCGGACCCGCATCTAGGCATACAATTACGCCCCCCGGTCCACGACAAACACTTGACCAGGACTTTAAACAACAACAGCACCACAATGGGTCAAAAAGACGAGGATGCGTGGGAAGCTATGCACACGAACTGTATACTTAGTGGGCGCATAAGCACAGTGCCATAAAAATGCTGCAGGTTAAGTAATCAGTCATCGACTGGGAGGCACTACCTATTTACACATACGACATTTCGACCGTCGCAATCAACTATGTCCACTGTGTGCTCCACAGTAGGGTGAGTGCAGGGGCAGTGACGTGCGCCGGATCTGCCCGGTCTCAGCTCGCTGTCATGACCAATTCATAAAAACTGAAGGCGCTAGGCCGCTGCTAGCTGACACGGCAAAATACCGCAACTAGGCGTAACACCTCACCCCTTCTTCACATCAAAAACTTGGCTAGGATTTTCAACAACAAATAATGTGGGGAGCGATAGTGCGGAGTGAGCCCGCCACGCCCTGAATTTTGGCATTTTCGATAAAACCTGTTAGAATCTGATGTGGTCCTCGCGCTGGTTCAGCGTATCTAAAGCGTGGACAGTTTTGAGCGCAACAATTAGCATACACTGAACAGTAGATGTCGGAGTCTAAACGACCGATTCAGTGATCATATTCTTAACAATCAAGGCTCTTTTATTTCTTCCGGACTAAATCCTAAAAACTATTGCGGCGAAGTCATGTTGCCAATAAATTGTCTGTGGGCGGAGCTATTCGGTAAAAAATTAGAAACACGTGCCAAGAAAATATCGCCCCCGTTATAATAAAGAGGCAGTATTGAAGAGTGACGTAGCAATGACAAATAAACAAAAATTGAGAAAGGGTTGGTACTTAATATAGGTTTTCTCATGTATGTACGTGGCGGAAAGTAGAAACGAACTTGTGAATCGCGTCGACAAAATTTAGTCTCGGTCGGTAATTAAACAAACAAGCTCTAGTCTATGTTAGCCTAAGTTGATATTCTAAAACACTAGGCGAGAACAGCTGGTACTTGATTTTCGTGTCCATTTACAGCCTGTTCGACAAATTCCTGAGAATAGAAGGAAAAAATGTTACTTCCTCGTACTGGTTTATCTAAGGGCTGATATGTACAATAAGTAAGATATATTTGGCTCTCTTAGACGACCCAGCCACAAAACATTAGAAGATTGGCCAGATCCTACAGGGCAATAACACAGGCAGAAAATCAGAGTCGGTCTAGATTTATGAATATCGTGCCTAAAGTTGGAGAAGAGGGATTGTGGTACCAATAACTATTTGTTAGGTGATATACTGTATTGGTGAAAGCCTAGATTACAAACCTAATTAGCCCGTATCTTCGCAAAGTATGAAGATAATGATAGTGAATGGTCACGAAAACCCTGCATTTGACGTTATAATTTTCGACGGAAGAACAGCGACGAAGTCTGCTTGACAATGGTTAAAATCTCATACAACTACTTCCGCTAATCTGTTTAGAACGGACACTATAAAAAAGAGAAATCAGAACTTTGACGTCACCGGTGCACTCATAGCTTCAATAGAGGACGTCAGACGTACTTGTTAATAACAATAATTTTATGCACTGCGCAGGATAATCAGGAAATCCAAACAGTGGATGAATTACTGAAACTTAAATTATCTGGCGAACGGTCATCTCAGAATAATACTGTCGCTACTATGGTGACGGTCATTGTAAGGGTTAGACCCATCAAAACAGCCTTTATCAAATGATATGTTATAATTTCCGTTATTGAAACCGCTCTAAATTAAAATAACCCAACACCTCTAAAAGAACATTTAATGTAATAAAAGTTACATGATCATGTTTATGCTTAAAAGGTCGGACAGATAGAAAATAAGACAAGCGACACTCGATTATTGTTCCCAGCTAATATCGTTGTATGTGCATGTTAAAATATGATATGCAGACGTCTAGAGAATGCTCGAAATGTGATCTTGATTTCGTTCTGTCTAAATGGACTGTCCGTTTAAATTAAACACAACCAAACTATTTTCTATCCCAAGTACTTGCGCTTCGCCAGGAGTAAAACTGCTTCTCACATTTGCCTGTCAAATTTCCTGATACATTCAACGTCACATCCTAAAAATACTGGAAATAAGTGGTATATGAAGGAACCACGCATTAATAGGCGTTTAGTCAAAAACAGATATCATTTTCAACTCAGTCAAATCTATAGTGAACATATTAAAAAATCAGTGAAATAGGCAGTTTTGGATGATTTATACATGTGTTCTAGGACGACCTCGAGCAGATCCTCGGAGGCTAGATAGCACACGTTTACAAGACGTTATTAAGCAGTGACTTGACTTAACCATCACAAAAAGAGGTTTCAACAAGTGGTATTGCGCTTAATGGTCAGCTAGATACCTTGAAGGTCATCTACAGTCATGGCTTTTCTGGATTTATGCGAAACGTTCCAAACAAGTCGCCTAAGTAGTATGTAGTGCGTGTATGGTAGTGCCAAACTGACATTCTACACTTAACTTCATTTTCATCATCCTACAAAATTGCATGCACCAGATTGTTTGCGGCAGGCTAATGGCATAAAATAATGAACTCGAATAGCTGCGGTCATACCGTTCGTGAACGCATGTCGTATCAGCGTTGTGGTGCCATGAAAAACAAAAATATTGACCTATGTTAAAAATTATTTCGGCATTAGGTTTGGATGGCTTAACAGCGGATGAATTGGCTTCATTTACGAAGTGAACCCCAGCAAAATTTCGTGGTTAATAAGCTCTGAGGTTTCACACTGAAATCGCTGGTTTATTCTCATTGACCAACGCGTTTCCTAAGAAAGTTCTTAAAAATATTGAACCGCGTGAAAGAACTAGAGCCTTCTGGAGTAATATATCCTTCCGGGAATCTAAATGTCGCTTACAGCGCACTAGCTATTTTGTATTGAAGTTTATTTGGCATCACCAGATCAGGATTGTTCGGGTTATCTGCCGCGACACTATAGTTTACATGCTCCTCATCATAAAGCTGCAAAATATCTATGAAATCTGACATTGTTGGTACAATTTATTTAGGCCCCAAGACCTAGATAATATCTGGAAAGCTCTAAATGAGTAGTATTGTGCATTTGGAACCAACGTTGGTTCTAATAAGATCTTTTATTGTTCCCGACTGTCGGTGATTACATTTGCCAGTCTCCATTTCGGCGCCGTACACGGACACAGAAAAACTCAAGAGAAAGTTGCCGTTTGCTGTGCGATAGGCTGGAAGGCTGTAGCTTTCAGAAGCACGAAGCACTATTGTTTAATGTTAAAAGGGATGTTGACAATTCCCTAGCAAGATCTAAACTTGGAGCCGAATGGAGAATAGTCAGGACTTTAGGAAGTTTAGAGGTGTAAAATTGTTTGCCGCGCATTCCTGTAAGAAATTTCTTGCAATTAAATCTCAAAAATGATATTTTAAAACATATGCACATGCGTATGTAATAAAACGAACATATAAAAAGTCTTGGTTAGGATATAGTTAGCTGCATTTAAACAAATATAGTTACCGAACATTTTTCCGTCGTCTGACAAAATAATTTTTCGCCGCCCGCATGGAGGATAAATCTTCAAGGCTTCGTTGAAGCTTTTTTCTATGTCGGAGGACCAAACGCTGTCTCTGAGCCTTTTTTCGGTGCACATCCCTGGGTCCTCGCCCAGAGAAGCGTGTTCGCCAAAGTCGCCCGTCCCAGCAAGCGACATTTGTAAGCGATTGGCTAAATAACGACTTACAAATGTGAGAGCAGTAAAATATCCCGCTGTGATTATTTAATTTTTCTATATCTTCTCTCAAGGTCATGTTGGTCAGTTAAAAGTTCAGTCTTCGAGGTCTGCCCTATACCTGAAATGTTATAGTTTATTTATATTTTGTCTTTTCAACATTGGCTTGTGTATATAAAAATATTGCGTAAAAGTTGAGTCGAAACATGGCGCAAATTACTTTATTCAGATGATGATTCGTGTTGGTAAATATCTTACGTTTCTTCATTTGCAAGGAACGGTCCAAGCGGTGATCCCATTGCCACACCATCTACCTGCCTGTATAAGTGACCATTGCAATGGTCAATTTGCAATGGTCAATTATACAGGCAGGTAGATGGTGTGGCAATGGCATCACCGCTTGGACCGTTCCTTGCAAATGTTTTTATGGGCAAAGTCGAGAAAACAAGCTTGCAAGAGACCATTAATGACCTCGTCTTCTACCGTCGGTACGTGGACGATATCTTCTGCCTGACGGATGGTACCACCGATACCGAGGAGCTTGTCCAAAAGTTCACCAGTGCGCACCCCTCGCTAAAGTTCACTGCAGAGACCGAGACAGATAACGAACTTGCCTTTCTCGATGTCCTTCTGCACAGGCAAGAGGATGGGTCTATCCAGCGCAGGGTGTTCCGAAAGAAAACCTGGACGGGACAATGCGTTAATTTTCACAGTTTTGTTCCCCTAAACATCAAACGGAATTTAGTCCAGGGATTGGCGGCTAGAGTGAGACGCATCTGCTCACCTGAAGCTATTGAAGATGAGCTTCAACAGCTGCGGAACACACTTCGGGAGAACGGTACCCAGATAGATTTATCCTCCGAAATATTGGGGAACGCGTTGAAAAGCCCACTGTTGCGACTGCGGAAAAGAAAGATGTATTCATAAGATTGCCTTTAGAGGAGACGCAGAGAGCGAACTAGTCCGAGGGCGCTTAACTACAGCTATCACGAGGGCATTCCCCGCGGCGAATTTACGCGTATGCTTCACAAACTTTCCCCTCCTACGTTTGGGAGGTAAAGACAGACTACCGTTGGAGGCCACATCAATGTGCATTTATTCATTCACTTGCTCCTGTGAAGCAGGATATATCGGCCGCACAACGAGACGCCTGGTAAAGAGGGTGCGTGAACATATGCCCGACCGGCTAGACAGAGATGAGACCCGGTCGATTTCGAGTTCTATTCTCGCGCATTTAATCGATACGAACCACCGAGTCGATGCCAAAAAAGCATTTCAGGTTGTCTACCGGACACCAACATGCTTCTCTAAAGGCCTACGTCAACGGATACTAGCAACGGCAGAGGCAGTAGCTATACGGTTAGTGAATCCGGTGTTATGCTGTCAGAAAACTCTGACACGAGCGCTTTCGCTGCCGTGGCCAACGCCAACCCGAAGTGATGAAGCCATGCCGCCTCAAATCCCTAATCACGATGATGGGTACTCCGTGTACTCATCCCAAGATCATTACTCAAAGACTCTCTTACCCCCCTCCCCTAGCTCTGACGACTAACACCCGCCGACCTTCTCATGCGGGCGGCGTGGGGATGATGAGTGTTAGTGACTTAATAGCCCTTGAGGCATCTATAAACACTGTTGATTTTGTACATTTTCATTCGTTCATGTAATTGTATTGGCCTGAGGAAGAATTACCGAAAACGTGCGTTCACCAGCTTGACTTTTCATTTGTAACATGGGAATATTTGCGGAACTTAGACAATTTAAAAGGAAATGATTGAAGGTATGCAAACGCCCAAAAACCATTCAGAAATCATGCAGACAAAAAGTCAGGTCAGGGTAACTAAGTAAGGTCAAATAAACCCACCGATGATCGTTAGTTTAGAACAATCTAGTTCGACGCTCAAGTGGTATTGTAAACACTTATTCTCATCAGTCAGACCGCGCACTGCAAGCAAGGATAGAAACTTTGGAGTTTAAGGTGTTGCCTGTACTCGAATATTCGGAACTGGTATCTGGAAAATGAAGGCTTTTTGGGCAGTCGTCATGACGTAGGAATTTTAAACGTTGCTCATGTTCTGATACATAATGGGAGATCGCATCATTAATGAGCTTTCGCAGTTAGAGTAATTGTTGAATCTTTACATGTGTTACTAGCCCGGAAAGGTTATTGCCCACTCCTTGGATATTTTCACTGGTTCGTTGAATGTTTTGCTCATTTCCTCGTTCCAAAATAAATCACAGGTAGCTAAATAATTTCAACTCACGAAGGGAAGATAATATGCGCATCCCTAGTTCTTGTTTAAAAGAAGACGAAGGCACGATCACATGAACGGTGGCTTTATTTGTCTGAAGTTTCGAACTCGCGCAGGCGTTCATCATCAGAGACTGTTAGAGTGCATCAACGCGTGAACATTTATATCGTTGTAACGTGAGACGGAATACGTCCGTGGCTAGGTCTGGTCCGTGTTGCCCGGCCCACAATGGTCCTCTGGCGTGGTGACGGCGTTTATCCCGCGCGGTGGTGCGAGATGCGCCACCTGGCTGCGTGGGCGGAGTGCGTAATAACACGCAGGCTAATTAATGTGTCTATTGATAGAGTTGGTATCCGACACCCACGCCACCAACAGCTCTCGCCCCCTCTTGTCGCCGGTCCCCACCATTACCCGTGTGCTGGCGAGGTCGAACTCATGGATTTACTCCAGCGCGTGAGTGGCGACTTGCGATGGTGGGTCGCCTCTCCGAATGGTCCGTTTCTGCTCCAGTATTTTTGAGCTGAGATGTTGTCCTGTTTGGACTGTGGAATAGCGAGGACAGTTATGGTACGGGATTTGATAGACTACGCCTGACTGTTCACCCGCGTCCAGCCGATTATTCATCTTCCTGGTTCTCGTAAACATTGTAGCCGCTGGATAATGGGTGATGTCCACGCCTAACTCTACCGCAATGCTTTTGGTGGCCTCGGACACGTTCTTCACACGTTGCTGTACTCCGACAGTCTCTGATGATGAGCTCCTGTTCGAGTTCCAAAGCTAAGACCAATAAAGTTACCGTTCCAGTGATCGTGCCTTCGTCTTCTTTTAAACTTTAGTTAAGCTCGTGTAACTTAATGAAAATTTATGTTGGCACAACTGAACTCCGTTGCCAACGCGACAATATATACAGACGCACAATAGTTGGTGCACAGAGAATTAGCCAGTTTAGACAGAGGTAGGGTGCGGAGAAAGTTGTATGAAGTCAATTCTCTTCTCGAGGCAAAGTACGTTTCAGTAACAGTGTGCAGTAAGCTAGAGAAAATAAGAAGAGTTCGTTGAAACATTTACTGAAATATGCACAATACTATTGGAACAGCAACAGATTGTTAGCTTAGGGCCTCAAGATGACGTCCGTCAGATCGCATTATGATAGTAAATGCCATACCGATCTAGCGCACTCCTAAATACTTCTACAGATATTAAAATAACGACATCCACAGGAAGGAAATACGAGGTTTCGACCACTCTTTCGGAGGAAGAGAACTTTCCTGCGTTCAGTCTGACCTCCCATGCCTGTAGTTTAAAATGATGACCTCGCAGGTTTGTTGGAGCTGTTAACCATAAGTTCTAAAATACCAGACGGCTTTCTTGACTGTGCGTGATGCGAATGTTTGTGTCAGGTCACCTCGTAATTGTCTGTAGCTTAAAGAATTGGAATCAAGACAGGATAAAAATTTCCGTGGAGAAGTAAGCGCTGTCCGGTCACAAGTTAGCATTTATGTCCTTGAACTTTTCTGAGGATGCTAGGGCACTTAGTGGTCTATGGTCTCCAGCCTTGAACAAATAACTCCAACTGCAAAGTTTAAAAGACATGGTGACATCAGAACCCAATTAATTGATGCAGTCGTTGGCGTATCAGACGAACTGATTAGGACGAAAATGCAATCTTGGAAACACCAGTTTAAGCACCACCCCCGCCGACTTCTGGTCACCGACACGGACAATTTGCGAGGAGTCGCTTTAGAAGCCATGAATTCACCTGACGAAGTTGCCCCTAAGACCAGTTCGGCTGAGTTTTTACGCTAATCGAAGGTGTGGTGTACTACCGGATATCTTTTCAACGAAGGTATAAACTTCACAATTTCTGTTTTACAAACGGTAGAGTAAATTTTTCCGCGCAAAGCCTGCCTATAGAATATCCCTGCTGGGTATACCATAATAACTTATGCTGATATAAACAACACACTGTCGATCGCTTAGTTATTATCCCTGTTATTCTGCAGCGGATCGAAATGAGGCTAGTTGGTCTATAATGATTTGCAAAGACCTTTTTGCCGCCTTAATGAGGCGACCTAATCTATTCAGAGTTCTAAACGGCGAGTGAACGGCCGACTTCAAAAAAGTCTGCGAAAAGCATGCGGAACAAATGGGCTAGTTAGTCTGTGAGCTCCCTCTACAATTTGTGTAATATATCATCTAGACCTGGCGATAATGATCCATTCAGCATCAACAATCATTTATAAACAGTGGTTTTGGCAAAAGATACAGTCTCGATCGTTGGACATTCCACCCACTCATGTGAGGGAGGAATCAATTCGCTGTCCCCCTTAAGAATAGACTTAAAAATATTTTGAAACTTACTTCCTCTTTGTGCTGCCTTTCATAATTTCTTCGTGTTTCCTAGCCTTCATCAGGCAGTTTGATCTCTCATACGCGGGCTCCTTCTTTCGCAATGGAATAAAACTCCATCTCCGCACTGGCACGGTTCAGGAGGTCATTTACGAACTCCTGCAAGTTCTGAAGACAAGTCGCTTAACTAGGTTCTTCGGCGATTTATATGCATAAATCTGCGTACGGTGCCTCCCAGCCTCCCTTTTATTAATTTCTCCTTTAGCGATTGCGTCAGCCACTGGGGTCTGTTATCCAGCCTCGTCCATGAAACGGGCGGTAGTTTTTGAGGAGAACGTGAGATAACTTCTCAAACCTCTGCCAGCCACCCAGTGTGTTTCCGGAAACCGTCGATTATTAGTAAATTCGACCATCATGCAGATCGCCGCGACAACTATTTTCTCAGACACTGGTGGGCTGGTCGAAATTTCCACAAGCAGCAAAACGTTGTATCTCCGACCTAGGGGAAGCAGACACCTCACTGCGTCAATGCTGTCCATCGATATCATGAGTACTAAATGTGGACAGTTTAAGTGTGGCCCCTCACGTACCCGTGTTGGAAAAGCGACGTGGTAAATAACGAATAACCTGAGCGTCATGTCCAATAAACTTCGGTCAAGAACCAGTCCTGGAACTCGTGGAAAAACGAAACTCCAGTCAATGAGTGGTGCATTAAAGTCACCCACGGTCAAGACGTCAGGCCGAATAGAAAATCGTTCTAGCTCTCTTATCAGATGAAAATCAGTCTCGGATTTGTTGACTGCTGAACGATAGGCCGTCAGACCTTTGAGGATTTTTGATCCCGACACCTTTATAATCAGCCAGATAGCTTTTATTTTGCACTCGGGCTTGTCTGTTTTTTTTTTCTCGCACAAGCAGTTCGCGTTTTGTGAACGTGATTACTTCGCCTTCTTGGCGGACTCTCCCATCTCTTCGTAGCAAGTGAAATCCACGTAGTACCGATTCGTATGAATCCACGTTGTCAAAAGACCGGTTTTTGTGAAGGAGGCGGTGTCTGAGGGGGCGAGGTCACAGATGCGGGCTTCCAAATAATTGTCTTTAGATAGCATACCCTGTAGGTTGGTATACACAAAGGTGAGTTTTTTTTTATATTTTTGAGGATTTGTTACGGGGCGGTTTGGTTTTCCATTTTACGAAACAGCTGTGCCCTTAGTTCGATTATTTCCATTCCTAGAAATATTGGAGACGTTGCTCTACCTAATCGTTAAAAGGCGGTATATTTTTTCCTCTTTTGCCACCATGTTGTGAGTTCCTGGACCAATTTTTAGGGTTTTATTCACACTGCCGTTATGTGATCTGGTTTAAAACTGCCCACTGTTGGTATTTTTAAGCTAAAGCGCCGTAAATGAATAATTCTAACTTGTTCCTGAATAGTCAACGTTACTTTGAGGTTTTGGAGGCATGGATACTCCCGTATGTTGACTGAGGGCTTCCTAAGTCGAAATTATTTAAACACCGTGACTTCATTCATGGGTTGTAGAAGTTCGTTAAGGAGACCTTCGAAGACCGCCATCAGCAAACTGCTTGCCGAGAAGAACCGCCTGAACGAAGCCTACGTCGAACGCCCCACCGATGACAGCAAGTCAGCCTTCTACCGTGGTCGCCGGTTTGTGCAACAGCGACTGCGCGAGATGCTGGACGGCTGTATGGCTCGCGAAGCCGAGGAGATTCAAGGGTACGCGGACCGCAACGCATGGAAGAACTTCTTCTCCGCAATCAAAGCTGTCAACCATCCGCCAACCAAATGAACTGCACTTCTCCTCTGCTCCGATTGAAACACCCTACTCACTGAGAAGACACAAATCCTACAGTGTTGGGGCGAGCGCTTCCGAGGCCTCCTCAACCGCCCCTCCAACATTTCCGAAGTCGCCATTGCCCGTGTGCCTCAAATGGAGACCGCCGCCGAGCTCGATCTCCCGCCCTCTATCTAGGAAACCATCATGGCCGTACAGCAGCTCTCCAGCGGGAAAGCGCTCGAATCGGATACGACCCCTGCTTAGATCTACAAGCACGGTGGCCCCAAACTCATGGACCACCTGACGGTGCTCTTCCAGCAGATGTGACGTCAAGGAGAAGTCCCGCAGGATTTTAAGGACACCACAATTGTATACTTCTACAAGCGGAAAGGAAACCGCCAAATCTGCGACAACTACCGAGGCATGTCCCTGCTGGACACCGCCAGAAAAATCCTTCTTTCGCATCCTTCTCAGCCGTCTGAGCAACCATCTGGAGGAAGGTCTTCTGCCGGAAAGCCAGTGTGGCTTCCACCGTAATCGTGTGACCACGGACATGATCTTCGCCGCCCGTCAACTGCAGGAGAAGTGTCGGACGATGCAGACCCACCTGTACTCCATCTACGTAGATCCGACGACAGCCTTCGACACGGTGAATCATGAAGGCTTGTGTAAAATCATGTAGAAATTCGACTGTCCTGAAGGATTCACCCAGCTCCGCGATCGCATGATGATGCGCGCCACGGACAATAAAGCTGTCTATGAGGCATTCGCAGTGACCAACGGAGTGAAGCAGGGCTACGTTCTCGCGCCTACGTTCTTCAGTCTCGTGCCATGCTGATGGACTCCTACCGTGATAAACGCCCGGGGATCCGCACCGCCTGCAGGACGGACGGCCATCTCCTCAGTTATCGGCGAATGCACTTCCAGTCGCGTGTATCACAACCACCATCCACGAACTTCTGTTCGCCAATGACTGCGCCCTCAATGCAATTACTGAGGGAGACATACAAAGGAGCATGGACCTCTTCTCCACCGATTGTCAGAACTTTGGTTTGGTCATTAACAAGGAGAAGACGGTGGACATGCATCAACCACCAGCCAAAGCAGCCCTTCACAATGCGCAGTAAATCAGTGTGAACGGAACTCAACTGCAAGTAGAGGACAACTTCACGTATCTGGGCGACACGCTCTCCTGCAGCACCAAGATCGACAACAAAGTGGCCGCCGAATTTCGAAGGCCAGTCAAACCTTTGACCGTCTGCAGAACACCGTCTAGAGCCGTCACAGTCTCCATCTTAACACGAGGATGAAGATGTACAAGACTGCCATCCTCCCAACGTTCTTGCATGGAGCAGAGACTTGGGCAGTTTGCATTAAGCAGACACGCCGACTCAACCACTTCCACCTCAGCTGTCTTCGTCGCATATTAAATCTGAGGTGGCAGGACCGGATCCCCGAAACTGACGTACGGAAGTGGATAAGAATTCTCAGCATCTACGCCATGTTAATACAACTTCAACTGTGTTGGAACCGCCACCTCGTGCGGATGGACAACGAGCGGCTATCCAAACAGCTCTTCTATGGAGATTCCACCACAGGTTCCCGCCGCCGAAAAGGTCAAGTCAGGCGTCACAAAGATACTCTGAAAACCTCCCTGAAGCGTTTGCAAATCAACCCGGCAAACTGGGTAGAACTCGCCCGGGACCGGCCTACGTGGAGGAACACAGGGAAGACAGGCAGGGCGACCTGCGAAGCAAACCGCATCGCCACCACCAAAACCAAATGATAAGTACGCAACTCTCAGCTGCGCCTACCTCGCAACTCCAAAACCCAAACACCTCCAACGTGTCCATGCTGTCAACGGACATGCTGGACATCCTCGGACCAACTGCAGCACTCGGACTACACCAACTGCATCTCCCTATCCACCTCTCCCTCGCCTCCCACATCGTCAACTAACTCTGACCGCCCAACCGGGTGGTTTGCGCACAAGGGCTGCAGTATTTATAGGATGCATTCGCCATGCTACTGCATGCCAATGACTATTCCCAGTTCCCTCCTTTATCCGGGACCGTCGCACTTGGTGTGTTGGTCATTTGATGACCGAAATGCGTGTCGTTAATTACTGTAATTACATCAAGTGTATTGGATATTGGTGTAATGACTGCTGGACCAGCTGACGCACCGACCCTGGCGTTGGGAACAGTGTTCACCCGTACGCTCCCCGCGTGGTTAATTAGTCCGCCTAGGCGAAGTCTCAGCACCAAGTATGAGAGGGGAAGGTCGCTGCACTTGCTAATGCACTGGGGGCCAGTAAACCACGACTAAAGCAGCTCGCGGCTCACGCGTTTGTCACCTCTATCGAGTATTTCGGCCTCGTCGAATGTGTGGCCAGAGCTCGTCGACTGCTCAGAAAACTGAGAGATAACGTCAGTTCTCCGCGCCGCTGCAGCGTGTGCGGTTATTCGCCTAAACTTTTCGCGTCCAGACTCTTCAGACTTTTCCTGCGGTGGCAGCGGGTCTTTCGGTTCCATTACCTGACGCTTGATGGTTGCCTCCGGTTCGTGTGCAACTCCAGTCTCAGGTGGTGCAAGAAGGCGGCCGACGGCTTTCAAAACGTTCTTGACAAACTGAAGCGCCCGCCAAACCGCCTAACCAGTGCCTGTAGCACCAACCTCCACTCGCCGCATCCGCCTCATCTGTCCACATTGCACTCGCACATTCATTCACAACAGGGGTCTATTAGGCCACATGCGCCTCCATGAAAACCTGTGGTAGACCACCGCCGGCTGCATCACATCATCGTACCCTCTCCCACCAGCATCTCACGGCACATCAATCTCAAGCACCCAACCGACTGTCCCACGCAAGTGGGTAGCGTGCGTCTCGGCTCCTTCTTTATGCAGCCCCCAGCTCCACGTGTGGTCGGAGACTAAGACTTCCACGGTAGGTCGAGCGCCGTGACTCGAAAGGGATCCGACTGACGCCCCAACCCAGCCCACGCACTCCGTACAGTTTTGTGTGTTTGTGTGGAGTGACGAACCTGTGGGCTGAGGGCCCGGCTGAATCGGCTCCTTCTCCAGCGATCGGTGACAGTCGCATGTATGTGAGGAGAATGTGTGTACTATATGAGTAATGCCTCTCAGTCGACGACTGTTTGTTAACCCAACATTGAAGGCTGACGGCCCAGGCTCTATGCAGGGCCACGTGTTGCACTCCTAGGTCAAAAGGTCTGTAACCGTGTGCTATGCCAGTATCAGCGAACCATGGCCTTCGCAGCCTGGTATGCGCTGGCAGTCCCCGACACCTGATTACCTGCCGGTAGATGCACTTGTCCTCCCGCTAGGTACACATGAAGTAGGCAGGGCTGTCCAGTCATCTTCGTCGTTCTGGCCCCTGTTGGGGTGTTGTTGTTTTAGTTGACGAAAAATCCTGGTCATTTACGGTGTGGACTGGGAGGTGTGGTGGCACGCCTAGGTGCGGCTCCGGCCGTGCCAGCCACCTGCTCCCTCCCCCATCTCCGGTCTTCTTGACTCTGTCTTGCCATCGGGCCCAGGTGGGGAGTGGGGAAGAGAGAGTGCTGTAGATGCTGTGCAAGTTTACTATCACTATAAACTAACTCATGCAAACGTCACCGTCCTTGCTCGGCCTTGCTGTGAAGCACACGGCGGACATCGCCGGGCATGATGGTTACACTCACGGAAGAGAATCAGGTCAGCCGAGACTCGCTCTTCGGGAGCATTGATTGGGAATTTTGGAAAGTCCTGAAGTAGCAGACCTTGCCCTCTGATATGAGGTTGTTTCCTTATCGCAACCGTTTGGCGTTCCGAGAAAGTCGTCATTAACTGACGATGACAAAGGTCGAGTTTTATTACACTCTGCCTTCCACTTGGCTTCGTTTGCTTTATATATGTCAGTTAAAAGGGATGTAAATGGCTCATACGCTTCAGCGTAGACCCTGTCTGAGATGCGCCTGCTAATGCTAGTCCGATGATTTAGTCAGTGTTTTCATCGGTTTTGTGAGAAATCCGGCGTTAAGGGCGATACGATTTATTTGAAAGATAGGGCCTTAAAGAATGTCCGCATGCAAGTACATCAGATTTCTTATGGTTAGCACTAGGTTCGAGGCTGGTCTCACTTAAAATTTGACCTGATTTTCTGGGTTTTAGTCTGTCCAGATGTTTAGCTTCGCGACTTCCCTTTTATACCTGGCATTCTACTGTAAACCCACTATTACGATACTTAGGAACCCTTTTCTTTCCATGACTGGGGCTTTCTGCATGCGGCTTAAGTAACTAGCATAATTCTCATCTTCCTAGTCCATACCTAAGAAAACTTATAGGCTTCTTATTCGCTTGGCGTGAGGCCATCTGGTGATTATTTGTTTATCCTTGGGACAAATACAGTGAAACGTTACTCTCAACCGACTTACATCTTCATAATCGACCTCATAGTTACGTAGTTTAATGATCCACTCACTTGTCTCTGGGTCGGTGTTACCGGTTTTGAGTCCAGGCTACTCACTTTTATTTACTGAATATTCTTCACGTTCGATGTTCATGTTTAGCTGGTTGTGATATGGAGTATTTATATAAAGACTATGAGCAAAAAACTAAGGAAGATTTTAAAAAGACTCAGCAATGGGTACCCTAAAATCTCTGCGACGTTGCTTAGAATTCTGATTAAATTCTGCCAGAAAAAGACGATGCCAAAACGTTTCGTTTATCTAGATGTGACTTACGGGATGCCGCTGACCACATTACTGAGATAATGAAGTAATATACCTGTGTATTCTATCTCCGGAAATTGACAGACCGACATTTCGGGAGTTTTTCTACACCAAATTAAAATCGCCTGCATCAAATTAAGTTAAGAAATGCACAACTGTTCTGGTGGATGCGCGTCATTTTAGTTCTGGTTAGAATATTATTTCATTTGCGTTTTTGAAGTAGCAACAAAGTATTTCATGTAGAATTAACGTCACTTTCATATAATACAAAATCACGTCGTATATTATGTAGACTTCGAAAAGAGCAACCTCGATATATTTGGAAATTCACTATTAAGCTAAATTTGTAACACCGCAAACATCGTCGTCCACTGCGTAATAGGGGAAATACCTACAAGAAACCTGATTAAGCATCAGCTGTACTAAGCGTGCCTTAGATCTCACAGGCAACAGATTCAAGTCCCGTTAGCAAGGTTAGGCAAACGACACTAGACTGAGAAAACTATTTTCGTGTTGCCCCTTATGTTAATCACAGAGTTCGCAAATTGGCAGTCAGCCAGTGATTCGCGTGAAAGCTCACCATTCGACTCATGTTTTTTCACCGAAATCCGCTTCTTATGTAAATTTCTTACACGCTGTTCTCCCTTGAAAAGATAAAAATATTTAGCCTTAAAAAGGATTTCGAGAGTAAAATAAATGCAAGAAATTTATCCACTTTTGCTTTTAAATCGACACCAAGCAGCTTGACTACGAACTGTGCCGTGCCGTAACTAAACAAATTACGATTGAAATACATTAATTCAGTTGTGTGGGTAAACCACTTTCCGTAGGCTCTTGCTGAACTCCACGCAATATATTCAATCTTCTTTCAATTGGTGGCTGAAAATTACGGTTTATTACCGCAAAGTATCGTTTTTTCCTACTAGCCTTGCCCAAACTATATAAAAATAGGGTAAAGGAATTGCTTGTATGTGCAGTGTAAATTATTTGTGAACTAATTCAACGAGTTTTCAAGACCTTGTAGAAGCCTCGATATCTAAATAGGAATAATAACAGCAGCGATCAGGCAGGATAGCACTGGACACAAAAAACGATTGGAAACTAACGATTACTTGTATAATGTGTTCTACTACCATATCTAACTGACTACCGGCAATATCTATGGTCTTCGTCTCTTCATTAGCTTAGCAGGTCTTCTCGTCGATACATATAATTACTGCCATATCTAAATTAGTAACGCTGTGGGTGGTATTCTAGCAGTTTACAGGAATGAGAAGTCCTAATGTTTCGGTTGGTTGTTTAAAACTTCCAAAAAAGGTGACCAAATTTTCACTTGCCTTCTCATATTCCCTTACTCTGAACATCAGCTAACCACGGTTTTTAAATATGCCATTTCACATGAGTCGCCTAAACTAGGCATGCAGAACCAGTGCTTGTTTTTGTCGTACAGCTTACATCTTAAGGAGTTGTGACCAGAATTACTTTTTGGAGAAATATGACTCAGCCTATGAAAGTACTGCAAACCATTCTCCTTAAAAATTCCTGCGTTTCGACCGTTTCGGTTGACGTATATTCATGGTTGGGGTCCGCTTTAGAAAACTTTACCGCGAATCCGTTCCTCTTTATATGAGCCAAATGAAAAACGAGTTGACACTTCCCGTCATGTAATACTAGCCGTTTCCCTAAAAACTACACTTATCTTGATATTTCTTACTTGACTAAACTTCTAAATTGCATCAAATGGGTCGCGCAGTGACTGGTAGTTTCGCTCAAACGCAATTTTGCGGATCTTCAAATCCATTACAGACGTAGGCGCTATCGTAGTTCACGTGAAAATGTTTGACCAACCGCCTGATAGTTTGCGGAGCCATTCTGCAGAAGGCGCCAGCTTCGCACTCCTCTCTCGCGACCTCCTCGTTTGTTCCCTCATCCCAATGTTCAGGCGCAACTAAATGCTCAACACGGTGTTATTTTAGCCGAGACCTGTGCTTGTACAGGTTGAAAAAGGGCTGTCCGGCAAAACCCATAGGATATTCGTTCGATCTTACTTGGAGTATGCCGAATAAGCCTGGCGTCCGTTGTCCAGGAGGGATTATCAACCGCTGGAAAGAACGCAGGTGAGGACTACAAAGATAGTAAAGGACCATGGGGGTCTGTCACACGAAACCAGACTGGCTGAAGTTACTTTGTCCCTTTAAATTACGGGGAACTGAGTTGCATCCTCATTCAGACCTCGCAAATCATTAGGGGCAGTGTGTTCCACATTTTGACGACTTTTAATCTGCAAGAACGGACCGTCTGTGTGGCCACATCCCTTTAAACTGCAGAGAAATTTGGTCCATAGGGACGTCCGACGGAACGCCTTCCCCGCGGAGGGTCTTTGGATCCTGAAACGGTCTCCTTGCTGCGGTGGCGTTTTCGGACACTGTTGAGACGTTTAAATGCAAACTTAATGCTTATTTGGAGAGAAACGACTGTACATATAATCAAGACTGTTTCGGAGGCCGCAGTTTTCACTTAACTCACACAGACCGATGACCTTACACTGTCCAGAGAATAACTGCTGTCAAAATTGGTTCTATGCCGTTTTTTGTTTATGAATAGGGGACTGAAGGGGCAGAAATTACTTTCCCGATTGAGATGACTTACTTGAATTGCAAGAACCTCGAATTAGACTTCTTGAAGACACTACAAACCGAAACTAAGGGAATAGAGTGCACACAAACATTCTCCCCGAATTCCTATAAATATGCTAGACTATAAATAGTATTCATATTTAATGCTAGTTTACAGGCATCATTTGAATGGACATACAGCATGGGCTGGGCAAATAGCGAAATACCTCCCAAAATAGTTTACTAAAGTTTCGGATAATAAGAATGCACTTTGGCATGGGAACTGGTCGAGAGGGAAATAACTGCAGTTGGGGGACGAACAGTTGTTCGTCGTTGGCTGAAGTACCCACCGGTCGCATGACAACAGCGGATTTAGCAGCCATTTCTTCGAGACAAGATATGACACTCAGACTAAAGTCCCCGAATTTTATGACTGCGAGAGATGACTTCAGTCGATTTAACACTCAGCATTTGTGAAAGCTGCTTTAAATTAAACAAGTAACTAGCAGTTTCGTTAAAAAGAGATAATTTTGCATAGACTTTGTTTTTGTATACAGATAGAAATCGCGCTAATAGAAAAAAAACTGGTGAGATTCACTTTCACGTACAAGAGAAAAAATGACTCGAGGTGATTATTACGTCGTAACTAAAGTCCAAATGTCTGCTCAGTATAAAAACAGATTTGGCCATCAGAACTTCTGTGGTGATTACTTAGAATGGAAGTGTCACCACGAAGCGAGAGTTCGAAGTTAGCTACGGAAATAGTTGCTCACTCTCCAACCCCATGAATTATGTTTCGACAGTAAAGGAATTTAAGAAACTGAGGCCGAGGCGTCCTGTCTAGATGGGAATTGGCACTTAGAACAAAAGGTGTGGGGACGTGTTCTCTGGGTCTGAAAGAATGGGACTGAACCCTCCGATAATTGACATTCCGCAAAAAGCAGGGATAGAATATTCATACCATTCTCACCGAAGACCCAACGAAAAAGCAAGCCGCAGCCATCAAGAAAAAGGTTAATGAGCTTGCTCGTCTGAAAGTCATAGGTCCAGATGACTCAAAGTTTATGACCCGCAGTGATCCCCATGTCGCACACGCGTACGGTCTCCCAAAGGTTCACAAAATTGATGCCCCACTGAGGATTATAGTACCGCTCATCGGACCCCCTACCTATAATTTAGCCAAGTGGCTGTACAAGCATCTGAAGCCGCTAACTCACGGATCTCGCTACAGCATTAACAGTTCCCACGAATTCCTCAACCGGATCGACGGCCTCAATGTAAGCACTAATGAAGGCATCTTGTCTTTTGACATCGTTGCCTTATTTTCTTCTATACCGCACGACTTGGCAATTGACTGCGTAGCCCAACGGCTACAGGACAATCCTGTTGGTATCCCAGCGCACCACGTTATAGAACTGCTCCAAATGTGCCTTAAGAACTATTGTAAGTTCGACAATAAGTACTACCAACAGGTGAAGGGAAGTTCAATGGGCTCCCCAATATCCGGTCTACTCGCCGAACTGGTGCTACAGCGACTAGAAGATGAGGTTTTTCAAACTCTTAACCCCAAAATTTGGCTCTGCTATGTAGACGACACCTTTGTCGTAATAAAGAACCACGAGGTCGAAAGGCTACATCAGAGGCTGAATGAAGTCTTTCCGGCCATACAATTTACCCACGAAGAGGCAGTAGGAGACAGTCTGTCGTTTCTGGACGTACAACTACAAAGGCTGGACGGTGGTAACCTCGCAACCAGCGTCCATAGAAACGGGTCTGATTCTGAGATCATCCTCAATTATGGAAGCAATCACCCTGCGGCTCACAAAAGAAGCTGCGTCCGAACCCTCTTCCACCGGGCCTACCGGTATTGCAGCAATGACGACCTGCTGAAGAAAGAATTAGGCTTTCTATATCGGCTATTTCGATCTAACAGATACCCAGTCAGTTTCGTGAAGAACTGCCTCAGACGTCAGGCATAATTTCGAGACCCCTCCTCAGATGGAGAAACCGTGACCCGGAAATTCTTCTCCCTGCCCTATATGCAGGGGACCTCAGAAATGATCGCCCGTCAGTTAAGTCAGTTCGGTATTCGCGTTTCCCACAAGCCTGCATCCTCGCTGCGCACAGTCTTAACTCGAGTAAAGGATTCTATCCCCAAAGAGGAACAGACTAACGTCATCTATCGCATCCCATGTGCCAATTGTCCATGCGTATATGTTGGTCATACAGGACTACGCCTGGTAACTCGTATTAATGAACACAAACTAGCTGTCCGTCGCCGTGATCCACTGTCCCTCGTCTTTGCGCACGCACTCCAGTGCGACCACCGTTTTAATTGGGATAACACCGAGGCCATCGCCACGGCCAACACAAAACGGGCGAGAGAATTCCTAGAGGCATAGCACTCTAACGCGGACAGCATCAACCGCCACGTTGATCTAGGCGTCCATTATGAGGGCCTAAGATCAGGCCTCACTAAGCCGAGCCCCACGCCGCATCAGCAGCCGCTAATCCAGGCGCCCGCAGTTCTGCCAACCTGCCATTCTCCCTCCCCTCCAACACGGGGAGCCGTAACGGTCCCCCCCCCTTCCTAGCCTCCCGGCTCAGAACCCAGCACGACTCCCTACCCGCATCCCTCCTCACACGCTAATGGTTCGTCCGTCAATGTCTGTCCTGTCTCGTCTATTAGTCTAGTGTGACTGTCTCACTCTCTCTTTTCTCTTCATTTCGTCTGACGACGGGTTGGTGTCACCAATTCGAAAATTCACGAGTGCAACTCGATTTTTTCCGAAGAACCTCTTCCTTTTTCATATTCATATCTGTCTAGGTTAAACCCAAATCGACATCGAAAACACAGGTCTTGATAGATAAAAGTGGAATTTGGAGGAGGAAAGAAGAGCGCCGAGGGCTGAGCATTACCGTGAGATGGTTAAATTTGCACAAGATACCTGCAGATGGGGCACTGTAATTTATTAAGGCTGAAGAAAAACTGCGTATCAGGCTAATCTTTTTTCTCCAGGGAGCAATCATGTTACGATTGCACCAGGCATTAAGATGTCGAGCGTTGTGAAAGGTAGAGAAAGCACTACGTAACCTGAAGTAGGAACGCCATTGCTGGACGAAAATATCAGGGAAGTTGTCGCGGCGTCCTCTGTCTGTGATACAGACAGAAGAGAGATTTGCCTGTGTGCTGTAACGCGAGAGCTGCAAAAGGATATTAAGGTTGTGGCTGGGGACGGCGAATATGGAGGTGAAATGACAGGGCAGAGTGGCGGGAGCAGAAGGTAGAGGGTTATAAGCACATCCAAGACAAAAGCTTTGTGGAGGTCTACGCTCACGGCCTCCACGACCGCTGGATGTGGAAAGTCTGCGTCTCTCGGAAACATTTGTCTGTCATCGTTCTCGTCCAGCTCTAATTCTGGAGAAATAAGTTCGAACCTTACTTCACCCGCAGTGAGCCTGCCTTTTTTTGACGAAAGTCATTAGAGATCTAACAAAACTCCAGAAAGTGTTTGATATTCCCGCAGCAATTGTTATCTAGCAAGTGTAATCCTTCATCTCTAATTCGCCCCCTGATGCGTCATATTTGATGTCGAAAGCGGAGGTCCTTCGCCCTAATACACGGTCTGACCTCCAGTTCTGTCACTAGCTAGTCAAGAAACACCTTGGCGACAGGAAACTCACGAAGCTTCTGCGTCTTATGCGTTTTATACTCAAGACATTTAGATTGAGGAGAAGCTTCGTAGAAAATGTCTATAAAACGTCTACCTACAGTTGTGCAGACAATCCTTGCCTCCACCCAGACTATTTCACCGTTTCAAAGCTCGCCGACCTTCATGATCGTATAATCGAAGTCCACTGCTCTGAGCCCCTAACGATCTCTACTATTTATCAGTCTCCGACCTCCGACCTCCTCTGAGATCCGCGAGCCTAAGCCAGAGCTATTTACAGCTGTCATTGCCCCTTAACTTCAACAGCCCCTCACCTCTCTCACCAATTTCCGGGTCGTGATGGCCGATGCTCCCGTTGCCGACTGCACTCCGTTGCCATCTGCTGGGAATACGTCAACTTCGGTGTCGAGGCCTATCGTTATACTCCATCTAGTGCCCCAAAACGAGCCACGCCATAGATGCGCTGCACCAACACGGGGGCATATCGGATTCTGGCAGGCGTTACCGGCGTGCGCACCATAACAGATCCCAACATTTGGAGGGTGCGATGGAAGACCCAGCTGCCGGTGTACAACGCGCGCATTGGGACCCCTGCCTCCCCCATTGTTGTTTTTGTTTAAAATTCTGAGCATTTTCTGCGTGGACCAGGGTGTGTGAAGTGGAGTGCCAAGGTGCGGACTCGGCCATGCCATCCACCTGTGCCCTCCCCCGCCTTCAGTCCTCTTGATTATGTTTTGATACCGTACCCAGCTGGGGAGGAGAGAGTGTAGTAGATGCCGCGCAAGTGCGCTGCCACTATGAACTAGCTCACACGATGAGATAAATATTCTTGTCGTTCGAGGTACCCCTTACTCCATGGTGTTCAACCGACTTATTGTCCTTGATTCCGATCTCGAAGGTTCGTTTTGCAAGCTTCTCATTCATCCCAAATGCAGCGTATACACCCAACCGCACGATTCCATCCATCATATCCGCAACACTGATTTTCCTATGTTTGCTCGGCCGCGTCATCTTGCGCCTGCACGTCTGGCTGACGTTATGGCCGAGTTTGAGCACATGCTCCAGATGGACATCGTCCGTCAGCCGAAAAACTCGGTTACGTCTCTCCATACAGTCCCCAAGACCACTGGTAACTGATTCTCTTGCGGTTACTACCAAGCCTTGAAGAATGTCATCATCCCTGACCTCCACTCCGTCCCGCATCTCCAGAACTTTGCCAGTACACAATTTGGTAAGTTTGTCTTCTCCGAAATCGGTCTTGTTCTGGCATTCCGCCGGAACCCCAGCGTCCCCGAAGACGTTTTAACGACGATCGTTACCACAATCTTTGACCGCCTCGAGTTAAGCCACAAAGCTAGTAAGTCTGGTGTGTCAGGTTATAACGTGGACCTTTAGCAGCGTAGTCGTTAAGTGCTTGTTCACGTCATAAGACGGCATTACAAGCGGTAGTAATTTTACTGAGGTAGAGGGATTGCATATGATGACAATGCTTATCTCCCGAAAAAAATCATAATATTTCGAAGATAAGTCAAAAACACAGAGTTGACTGATCCTCTGGGTTCACTTAAACGCCGACAAGTCCTCCAATTAGCGATATTGTGAATAATAATGACACCCAGACGATTTGTGACGAAAACAACTTTATCGAAGGTTGTCGTGAAGACAATTCACTTACAGATGTTTGGTTAGTACACGTTGATCATCACACCAAATGACTAATACTAGAAGCTTCCGTGTGGGAAAGAATGTTTAGACACAAAATCAATAAAATAATTGACACGAGATCGGCCCACTGATATGCGAAAAAAGCAGTGATAGGAAATCAAGCACGTGGCCTGGCCAGTTATAATTAATCGATCAACATTCTTCCTTCTCTAGAATTTACAGCCTCGCATATACTACTCTGTCCGTGACAGAGAAAGACAATTCGTATTAGATCCGTAATTATCCTGGTTTCTCCCTCAGTGATGACGCACAGCTCTTAGGAAATAATAAAAGCGGCTTCAGAGCTTGCTGCTGAAACTAAAATAACCACCAGTGATCTCGTCCTTCCTGAAGACTGACTTTAACATTTTCAGTCCTCTTCCACTAGACAGTTCAACCCTTGTAAGATACTGATTTTTTCATTCTTGTCGCGTAGACCGCCCACGGGCAAGAAACAATCGTATACCACGTTCGATCTCCACCTAAGAAAATTCCCTCCTTTATCCGTTTTCAGCAAAAAGTTTTAAGAGTGCCTTCTTGTTAATTCGCTGCTGTATTCCGCTCGTCGAGAAAAAGGCTTTTTCAGGTCTAACTTACTTAGAACTTGGACTCATGAACAAAGACTGAGTTGACGCCTTCTAAGACTTCTTAATTTTGTTAAGATCCCTTCATGGTATTGATTAAGACTTATTTTATAACATCACGGCAACTGTTACCATATGCAATCTAGGGTTTATGCCATACAAAACTATTAATATCGATCTAGCTACCTCTGTCATTATTCTGTTTTTCACCACAAATCTCGGGAGTAGTAAATCTGTCCCCATCACTACCATTCGTTTTCTGGAAAATTTAAAAATTGAGGAAACAGCCATAGGATATGTTCACCGGTTCTCTGGCAGTCTATTTACCAATCACTCAGATTTTCGAATTGTCTTCAAAACAATAATCTTACACGGTAGGGAACGCGGATCTGTTGCGTTCGGTGACCTGATCAGTGACGAGCTCAGTCACACAAAGCATCCTTTGTAGGTCTCACTTGAAACTACGTTATCTAATTTTCCGTTTTCTGTATGGAAATAAAAGCCTCATCATGAATGATCTTCTAGGGCCTTCGTTAACCGGCGTCATCATTCTGCCGTTGGACCGACTTCTTTTTTCAATAATTTCCAACGTTTCCTTAACATCCCTGTACTCACTCCAAGTATACATTGACATTTGTGGTCGTCAAATAGGTTAGGCAAATAAGTACGATTTTGAGAATATCGCAATTCATTATCATTATTTGATGAAAAATAAACAGTAAGGCAACTGGTAATTACAATGCTTACTGCAAGTTTAGAAATTTTGCTGTGCTGATACCAGCCGGAGTCGATAATGGGAAGCCACGGGTTTTTGAATTATAATGTCAATAGCTGTGACGAATTGCTGTGTATCGATAGAATTCGTACACATTACGATAAATGTGAATACTGCAAAGAGGAGTTCTCCGAACAAAGCACAATAAATCATTCATTAACAGTCAAAAAATCATGGCTGTGGTGAGAATGGCATGCCTTACAAGGAGCACGTATCCGGCCGGGAAAGCCGAAAACTTGTTACTGTTTTACAACTTCATTTTATGCTGGATGGCAGTGGACACGACGTTCTACATGACCCAAATAGTCGCGTGTCTGGTTGGGTTGTAGTCGGTCAAAAAAGAACGTCAAGGTACGCTCGATCAATATTTCTCTCAGTACTTCCTGGTGTTTCTTCTATAGACCTATACGAAAGTCAGGCTGAAAAACTAGCGCCACTAAGTATTTTTAAATAATGTTCACTTTTTTCACCTTTGCTATTTGCAAATTTTTACGGAAACTGTCCGGGAGACAGTGACATGTTTTTTTTCCTCTTCTGACCACTTTGAGATTACGAGACTGCTTTGGTCTCACGATGCGTCAATTAACCTGAGCTCTCTCCATGCACTTCGTCCATGGTATAGACAGGGATCACAAAGCCTGTTTGAAACAATAATGGAAAGATGCAAAAGTTATCTGGCTCTCACACTGAAAGTTCCAAAAGAACACGCAGAAAGAGACTTTGAAAGATAAGAAAGTAACTGTTAATGTTCGAAAAGCCATATCCAGGAGGAAGTTACTACTCTGCTGCGGACAACCTCGAGTTTTCAATAACGGAACGACTTCAGAAAGTTTCACCGTGGCGAGCAGAATGAGGAAATGATGACATTCCCACCACCTCTCTTTAACTGTATGCTCTTGCGGCTACTAATGCTTGGCCGTCAGAATTAACTCCCCTAAACTATCTCAAATATCCGACCGACGCATAGTTCTGTAAGTCAAAGAAAGCATGCTTCTAAAAAGCATTTAATAATAGATTGCATAAATTCGTCCACCGACATCCGCGTGACCAGCAACAGAAATGATACAGATAGATTTCCGTTTCTTTGTTTCATAATGAGTCATAGTACAATGACCAGCGCAGGCAATGGCTTGCACGTAGTCGTCAGTCCTTGTTGGTGGCCATTGCCAGGTACCTTTGAGGAAAACATCTACACACTTAGGAAGCCCAGTCTTGTACAGCGTCCAAATAAACGATTAAATGACAGTCCCGATTTCCAAAGCTAACCAGGTACTGGGACTGCTGTAGTTTTCGGAATGAAAAGGTCACGGGATCGTCAACTCGAAAACAGGCCTACACGGCCCCAACGACAGAGAAGTCTGGACCGTTTATTGGATCTCAGTGAACAGCCTTAACCGCTAGTACCTATGCGGCCTTCCTAAGATTCGGAAAGTGAAGTACATTTCAGCACCCGCAAGTAATCTAGATGCTTAGATGTTTACCGTAATGAAGCAGCTCTAACTCTAGTGCAGTGGTCACTTGGTAAGTTTGACTAATACCTATCAGCTCGAAGTACTGTTTACTGCAAATTTCTATAGATAGAAATGACAAAAGCTACTTCCTGCTTATGTACTAATACAAACAAATAATGAATTGCCTTCCGGGGACTGCTCCGCAGGGCCATTAACTGGTCCTCAACTTTAACCTCTGGCACCCCGATGCTAGGCCCTATCTACCACCTACACCCTCGTAACCCCCTCGATCGGCAAACTACACCAGGTGAGGGTATCCGACGTTTTGCATCCCCACACCCAGTAATTCTGCTCTTACTTCATCTGCCTACCTCTTTAAAAAGTCTTACGCGGATGGCGACTTGGAATTCCGTAGTTGGCCAAAGCTAACTCGGGTTGCTCTCACACTATACCAAACCGTGACTCAGTGAAGTTCGACAGCCTTCTTGGATGGCTAAGCAGCCCTATTAAAGGGCAACGCTGCTTACTCCCTCGGGGGAGAAGGAGGTAGAAAAGGTGCCCTAAACAAATGCTTGGACCGCCTTACTCGCACATAGTAACTGACCGATTTACAACTCACGATCAAAGCAATTTGACAATAAACAACCCTCGTCTCTATCTCCTCTTTCCCGCCCCACAGGCCACTAGAGTGACTGCTACAGTGTTGATACCGCTGCTTTCAGCGAAACCCGTTTCATGTGACAAGACCAACTGGAGGAGGCGGTTGCCAGGTCCACCTTCCTTTAGAGCGGCCACGCAAAGGCAAAACGACGCGACACTGGCGTCGCCTCTGCCATTCGGACAGATATCATGTTATGATTATCCTATCTGCCGCAGGGCATCAACGAACGCTTCGTGAGCCTTCGCCCGCCTCTTTGGCCAACCGAATTAGCCATCATCTTCAAGGCTACGCCCTACCCTCAATGACTATCTTCAAGGAGCGGAAGACCGAGTTCTACGAAGATCTGCACGCCGCCTTGAGGCCGGTTGTCTTTGGTGGATCCAGTGCCCTCGTCAGGGCAGAACCTGCTGTCAGAAGGGGAGTGATGGGTCGCCATTGGATCGGCGGTTGCAGCGGCCACGTCCTCTGTCTCCTGCAAACCTGCTTAGAACACCGCCTCCTCCCGATCAACACTTTCTTCCGCCTGCCTACGCCAAAGAAAGCGGCCTGGATATGCTCCCGAACGCGGGATTAGCAGCTGCTGGAATACGCTTTCGTCCAGAGGCCAAATCGGCAAGACGTGCTGGAGACCAGGACTATCTGCGATGCCGATGACTGGACAGATGACCGCGCCATCGTCTTCGAGATGAGGCTCCGAAGACAATTCCACAGGAAATCACAAGAAATGCGACCAACACGTAAATTAAATCCTGTTTTATTGAATTTGTCTCTTCACCTATTACATTTCAGCAATCAGTTAGCTCAGCAACTAGAAGAGCAACCGGCCCCGAACAAGATCGCCACTGAGGAGACTCGATGCTGTCAACTGCGGAACGCTATTCACTCGACTAATTTTGATGTCTTTGGAAGCACAGCATGTTGGCATCAGGGCTGGTTCGATGACAATGACGCAGACATAGTACTTCGCTCGCTGAAAAGCACAGGCTGCATAAGGTCTACGTGGACCATCGGACAGACGGTTATAAAGCGGACATCAGAAGAAGAGGAAGAAGAAGAAGAAGAAGAAGAAGAAGAAGAAGAAGAAGAAGAAGAAGAAGAAGAAGAAGAAGCGATCACTGGAACAGGAAGTCTACTGGCCCGACGTTTCGGATTCTCACCCGAACCTATCATCAAAGACGGTTGCAGATAAAGGTAATAGAGGCACGAAGACTGCCGTATTTATAATACGTGGCTGCCGTGGGACCACGTGCGTACTATTATCAACAGCTCTTGTGATCACCGTTGGGAGGTCGTAAGTAAGGTGATGATGGCTCTTCAGTCCGCGTTCGAGTCATTACTGGCCTCAATTTCATCATCCGTGTTGGATATTGACGTGCTGATTACTCGGCAATTTGGCCCGCTGTCACCAGGATAGTTGAGCGCCCGCGCCCGCGCCCTCCAGACGTGACTGATTCCCCTGCTCAGGGAATGCCTCTGCACTGAATATGGTACCGGGAGGTCATTGCGCTTGTTGATGTATTGCGGGCCTGAGAACCATGAGTCGAGCAGCCCGCAGCTCACGCGATTGTCAGCTCTTGCGAGGATTTTGGCCTCTTGAAACCTGAAAATATGGTCGGTATCCGTGAAATGAGCTGCCGTCTGAGAGCTGGCGTCTTTCCTCCTTACCACTGCTGTGTGCTCAGCCATACGCGTTTGGAGTAATCGGCCAGTTTCTCTGACGTAGTTGCTCTGTCCGCAACGGCGCGAGACCCGGTCAAAGACTCCAGACGTTTCCTGTTGTGGCAGCGAGTCTTTCGGCCTCATGACTTGGCGCCTGATTGCTGCTTTTGGCCTGTGTGCAGCCCAAACTCCACGTGCAGTGTGGGGGTGGCTGACAGCTTCCGAGACGTTTCCCACCTACAGAAGCACCTTCAAAAATTTAGGGTCGGTTGGTTTCTTCTACACCGCATCCCCGATATCCAACTTACGATGGAGGAGGAAGAGAACAACCAGCTGGCCTTCCTGGATGCCCTCGCTGGCCGCAAAGATTGTGGCGGCCTAAAAACCAAAGTGTTCAGGAAAGCGACAAACACGACGCAAGTAGTGAATTTTAATAGTAACCACCCGATCATTCATAAAAGCAATTGCGTAAGAGCGCTATCCCGGCGCGTTGAGACGCACTGTAGTGAAACGGAAGACAAGGTTACTGAATTGCAATATCTTCGACGGGTAGTGAGAGCAAATGGTTACCCGCGCACTTGGTCAACAAATTCTTACGCAGACTAAACCAGAAACCAGATCCAACCGACCCTAAATTTTGGAAGGTGCTCTTGTACGTGGGGAACGTCTCGGAAGCTGTCAGCCAAATTGCCGAGTAATCAGCACGTCAATATCCAACACGGATGATGAAATTGAGGCAAGTAACGACTCGAACGCGGACTGACGAGCCATCATCACCTTACTTACGACCTCCCAGCGGTGATCACAAGAGCTGCTGATAATAGTACGCACGTGGTCCCACGGCAGCCACGTATTATAAATACGGCAGTCTTCGTGCCTCTATTACCTTTATCTGCAACCGTCTTTGATGATAGGTTCGGGTGAGAATCCGAAACGTCAGACCAATAGACTTCTTGTTCCAGTGATTGCTTCTTCTTCTTCTTCTTCTTCTTCTTCTTCTTCTTCTTCTTCTTCTGAACTGCTTTCTGGCACTCGCCCATTCGTTTCTATCGACAAAGCGGACTTCTTTCTAAATCGTTGCCTCAAATAGCAGCGACTGAAGGAAGTAGCAGGACGTTCGGATGAATCGCAGAGCCGATCGCAGTAAAACAAATATTTTCTTTCATCACTGAAGAATTCTGTTGCTCTCAGCCGGAGGCAACTCGCCGTTTTTCAACTCCGATGTTACAACGCTTTTGACCAATAAATCGCAGATTCTGAAGCGCTGGGTCGAGAACCTCAGAAACGTCCTCAGCCGCCTATCCACAGCCTCCAACGCCACCACTGACCGACTTCCTCAAGTGGAGTCGAACGATGATCTAGATCTCTCGTCTTATCTCTCAGGAATAATCAGGGCTGCATACCGGATGCCTGGAAAGAAACCACGGGAGCTCGACGAACTTTCTCCCAAACTCTACAAGCATGACGGCACTCGACTGATAGACAATCTTGTAGTGCTGTTCCAGGAGATGTGACGACAAGAACAAGCCGCTCAAGACTTTAAGGACGCCATCGTTGAACACACATGCAAAGGCAAGGGCAACCCCCAACTTCGTAACAATCGCGGAGGAATATCGTTGTCCAGTATTGCCGAGACCTATGCTCTAATCCTTCCCACTTGTCTCAGCAAAAATCTGAAACACGGACTTTTCACGGAAAGCCTATGCGGCTTCCGATGACGCCACAGAACCATCACCTGACTTTCGCCAGCCACTGCAGAATGCCAGGAATTGAGGACATGTTCTTACACTATCTCCATAGACCCGATAAAAACCTTCGAAGCATGAACTCCGACGGACTCTGGGGATCGTGCAGAAATTTTGATGTCTTTAGCGCTTACCGCACATTAAATGCCAACTGAATGACGGAATAATGGCCCACATCCTGGGCAGCGAGTAGTCTCGGAAGCTTTTGAAGTAAATAATAGTGTGAATTAGGGCTATATACTCGTTTCTACACTTTTCAGCCTCACGTTCTGCGCCATGTTGATGGACATCTACCGCGAGAAACGGCCAGGAATTGAAATAGCCTGCCGGTTCGACGGAAAACTTCTCAGTGCACGGCGTATGCAAACACGTTTGAGCGTCCACAACCTACTGCTCATGGATAACTGTAAACTCAGTACGGCGGAAGCAACCATGCAAAATAGCACAGCCCTCTTCGTCTCTGCACGCACCTACTTCAGATTGACCGTCCAGACGGAAACTACAGTGGTCAGACATCAACAGGCGCCAGGCACGGATTACAGAGAATCCATATCGTGTCAGTGAACATAAACTCGCCACTGTGGACAAGATTGCATGCCCAAGTATCATCATCTCGCGGGATGTCGTAATCAATAGTGTGGCACATTGGAGCTCCAAAACCAGCCAGCCATTTGACCAACTACGGACTTCAGTGTGGGATCGTCGCGGGCTTTGACCTAACACCAAACTTAAGATACACAGTGCGGTAAGCCAAAGGAAACTACTCCGCGAGCTAGAGACATGACCGTCTACACTATCCAGGCAAGAAATCTAACCTACTTCCACCTTCGCTGCCTCCGCAAAGTACTAAAGTTGAGGTGGCAAGACAGGATCCCCGATACGGAAGTCTTGGAAGGGGCCGGAATCTTCAATACCTTCTTTGTGCTGAGGCAACTACAACTGCGTTGGAGCGGTCACCTCGCTAGAATGGACAACGAGCGTTTACTCAGGTGACTCTTCTACGGTGGCGTCGCCACGGACGCTCGCCGACAGGGCGGGCACAAAAGACGTCAAATACGCACCATGAAATCCTGACTCAAGGATCTGGAAATCACTTTGGGGACGTGAGACGATCCTCTCAGGATCAACTGGTCTGGAGGAGAGCAGCGAAGACTGAGACAGCAAGCTACGAAGGCAACCACTTTGCTACTGCCAAAGCCAGAATATCGACTAGTAAGTCGCGGACACTGCAGACCCTGAACTCCAACACTCCACCACTTTTAATGTGTCTAAGCTGCCACCAGGCATTCCGCACATGGATCGACCTCATGGGGCGTCTTCGAACCCAGTGTAATAACAGCATGGCACCTTCGCATACTGCCTCCTCAATTGCCTCCATCTTCACCCCTACCCCCTTCACCACCGCTACGGTAATCGTCACCACCGATGAGCGAAATCCCAACACTACACCGCCGTCGATGCCGACACACACCACCACTTCCAACATAGCTGCTGTATCCACTACCATGACGGCGACGATAACCACCGCTCCTACTGTTGCCACCACCTGCAAGAACACTTTCGATGTCCCAAAAAGCGCCGTCCTATCCCTCGCCACTATCGCCCCACCGCTAGAAAATCCGACTCGCACCAAATGTTTCCTGATTGAGATTGCACATTCACATCACATATCGGCCTGGCCAATAAACGGTAAATCTACCGCGCAGAGAATATCGCAGTAGCGCCAGAAGCACTAACATACACCTGTCCACCCGCCCCAACTTCCCGCACTGACCATGCATATTCAGTCACCGCATGCGCCTACTTTGCCATGGGCGCATCCATGCACGTCTGCGGTAAAGCACTGCAGACGAAACCACATCGTCAAATATCTAGTCCGTGGACCATACCCTACATACGAATCCATGCCATACCACCCGTCACAGGCACAGAATTGGCATCTTTCGCGTAAGCGGGGGGCGTGTTTTGCGACCAATTTTCCATGTGGCCTCTAACGCGTGTGAGGCCCAAGTAGCCCACTGCCTTTGTGCTAAAACCTCTTGTGTTGTATGGGGAACCAGGTGGTGTACTGCACGCGTGGACGGGTTGTTCTAGTTCTGTCAACTGGCTTGAAAAGTCGACTGGAGGAAGGAAAGGAGAGAGAGAGAGACCGATTCTGGGGATTCCATTCCCATGGCACTCCAGCGCATTGCTCTCTCTAATAGATCTGACACGCTTGATACTATCACGACGAATTAAGCGTTGTGAGCTGGAGGTTGGCGACTGACGACACAAGTTAGACCTCGCAGTCCTCTCCATGTGTTTTTTTCGTGGAGTATCCGAGCAGTGGACTGTGTCTCAGGCTCAGTGGCTCCTTTCACACATGGGAAATCCGAGCAGTATAATTCCTTTGCGCGAAAAGCGGGCGTGTTGCGTGAGCGGTCAGATCGTGTGTGCTACGCACAGACGGCCTGCTTAGCTCTGTCAACCAGCGGCGAACAATGCCCGCAAAAGATAACTAATCAGCTCAGATATTGTTCTCATGTCTGGGGGAGGGAAAAAAGGGTTACGTCGACTCTGCAGACTGCGTTCCAGTGGTACTCAGCGTATACTCCTCACGTAAAACCATATAGTGCACTTTCAAACTGCCACGGCATGCTAATAACTGTGGCCTGAAAGACTGCCATCTGGCGCGACAACTCGATCCTCCTCTCAGGACGGAGATTCGGGCTGCGATGATTCCTTCTTAGTGTTGACTCTATGGCAGACCCATTGTATCGGGATCTGAGCCGCCACCTTTTTGCTTGTGTGTAAACCTAGTCCATCATACACGGACCAGGCGTGTGTGGCACGCAGACGGGCGGTTTCGCTCTGCCAGTCAACGCGCCTGATCCCGCCTCAGGGTTTCTGGACTCTGCCATGAAACCCGGCTCAGATGGGGGAGTATGGTAGATACAGTGCTAGTCTACTATTACTATTAACTAAATCACATGCAGGTCATCGTCCCTGAGCCCAGCCTGTCGTGGGGTAAACAACAAATTCGTCGATAATGACGGTCAAGCTGTGAAGAGGGTACAATTCTCTTATCACTCTTCAAGATAGCTAAAGGTAAAGGGACATTGTAGCCGTAAACAGTGGCTAAAATGTTCAAGGATTTGAACGGCCTTCAAAAAGCACCCCGTACTTTTTCACTACTTTCTGTTTCCTTGTGCTTGCGGGCCCAAGCATATTGCGCAGACGCAAATATAAATGGCAGCCAGGCCATTTGAGCGCTGATGGATTTTAGATTCAGAAAACAAGATTTTTATTTCTTTTAACACAAACCTTTTCTTACAGATTCGACAGCCTGTTCATACACGAGTCTTCCAATTACTTGTTCATCCACTTAGAACTTGAAAAATGCACTAATTCAAAGCAGTCTAAGCGCAGAGGGGAAACTTGACATGTGCAACTTAGTGAATCTCATACTGCCGCGGTAGCCCTTAGGCCTTAGACTCACACATCTCATTTTGTGCTTGTGTTCCGTATCCTTTTCCTAGCGCGTTATTAAGCGGCTCTTTTCATCAACTACCCTGTGGTCCCAACTATACCCATGCTGCGTTAATATCGATTTTTTGAACACATTCAACTTTCCGTGAATTCATGACTGGCTACCTGTGTTACGAGCAGTTGATAATGGGCCGAAAATTTTTTTGGGTATCGCTAAATCCTGCTGTTCCCGGTTGTTTAAAATTCCTACTTAGGATGAAATGCTTCAGAGACAGACTTCGTGCCTCGAGTAAAAACATCATATTTGTCCGAATCGATGCTACAAGTTAGGATCAATAATTTGATTTTTGAATCGCTGCCCAAGCGTGTGCGCTTCATATTAGACATTAGTTCAGCAGTTGACAAAAATGTGGTGGATTATACTCTATTTGTATATTTTAAGTCCCGTGAGGTGTGCAGATGACAAAAAATATAATCCTAACTACGTCATCTTGAAGCGTTATGCCAAACTGACGCCGAACAAAACCAGCTACCAGATGAACGACATCATATTTGCCTGCGATATATATGCTCAGATACTCACTCCAACTGTTCACAAAATTGAACGCCCGGAGGAACAAAATGTGCAATTCAGAATTCAAGTTCTGGAGCATGGTCCTCATGGGGAAGACGTTCTCTTTGAAAGCGATTATGGGAACCGCGTGGCTATGCCGGTTGTTTTACAGAAATACAAGAACAGGAATGTTCAAGTGCACGCAGTCTGCGTTACCAGGGACATGACTTTCTACAAGATAAAACTTTCCGTTGAGGGTATGTAATTTATTGATTAACAGTGCATTTGACATTCCCAAATCATTATTGGGGTATGAATACTTTTTAACACAACCGTAGAAAACCATTCTTTTCAAAATTCTATCTTTCGCGTTATATGGCACAAGCCGTCATACCTCCCCAAAGATGTAAAATACACGCTAAATCAGATTAGGAAAGAAAATCTAAACATCACTGACTGTACAGATGAAGCTGAATTTGAAAGATACGCATCCTTGGAATTACGTCTTTTGAGAATGGGAAATCAGTTGCATGGAAACGGTATAATATAGAGCGCTGAAGAAAACTGCTGACTTAAAACGAGCTGAACAAGGCAGGTAGACGCTCATCATTCTTATCAAACAGGGAGAAAGAAGAGATTATCAGGCACAGGCTGTATACTAGGATGGACTATATCGGTATATAGGAAAATAGTAAATGGTACAAAGAAAGATGTGTTACAACAAAGCGATTCTCCGTCTGGATAGGGAGGTGACGTCGTCATGCCAGCCAAACAACCGGTGGGGATTGCAACTCTGTGGGCAACTGCAGGGGAGGGCCTTGGGAGGTACCGATGTAGAGAGAGAGTGAGCATTGCGATAAGTTATAGGGAAGGGTACCGGCTATGTTCGTCGACAAGCGGTTCCACCATCTCCATCTTGGACCCGCGCCAAAAGTGTTCACACCACTCAAACAATCGAGTCGGGCTCGTTGGGCGTTAAGCATTGGCGAGGGCTTACTAGCCTTGAAGTTAACTGGTCGGTTTGCATAGCTCCGTCTGGCCGAAAGCCAGACTATTGCTGCAGAAGCGTAGGGTTGCAGCGGACGCCGGAACGGCGTCACTACATACCTCTATGTTTGTCGGGGTGGTCAGCATAAAGGGTGTGGTACATAAGTCTTGACCGATCTCTTGATTTAATCAGTTATTGATGACGTGAGTTGGCGAAACTTTGTTGTCGGTGCACGACACCAAAGTTAGGACGTCGGCCCATGCCTCGGATGTGACCACAGATCTGCCCCCAATGAACTTGACTCATCAGTTCTATGCGTTACTTGCCTCTATGTGTTCGCAGGAATCTGGTAGTGAAGACCATGGAGAATTGTTCGTGCAACTAGCGGCTCCCCTTGACCTTTGCCAATACAGCGCTTGAGTGTGTGTATTCCTCCTTCGAACAAATTTTCCATGCGTTTGCAGTAGTTACTTTGGAGGCTGAGAAACAAAGTTCTGTTCATGAGTTCTTCGCACGAGGTTGTTGCGGTTTCCTGTGTTGACGATTAGATCCTGATGCTGACTGAATTTTGGCGTTCCACTCTCCTCCTTCGCCCCCTCAAACCCGAGCTGCACAGTAATTATCTACTTGTCCGCGTCTTTTCATTCATTATTTCAATAGCAACATTATTGTACGGGTTTGGAGGGAATTAACGGAAAGCGGATGCAGGCTCGCCAAATTGTCTTTTGCATTTTTCAATGGGAATTTTCAAAAATTGAAATAAAAGCACCCAACGAAGGTAGGTAGCAACTATGTGGACACGAATTCCAGCGGGGAAGGGTGTACAACTTTGCCCAGAAGGCTGAAGCATATGGAAGGTAGCGTGTTCAAACCAGAGCAAGCATTCTACCATATGCTATGTGACTTGGAAATCTGTTTTGTGTTGAATAATTTACTAATTTCACTAAGGTGGTCTTCTCCACTAGGAAACCTATGTAAGACCACAATACAAATTTAGAAAGTTTCGGATTTTCTAACTGAAATAAGGTAATTTCTTACGCGGTCGTTCTTGAATGACGTTTCTTGGGTAGATTATGCCTACTTAAGTACTTGACTAGGCTGTAATGATGCCTAACTCCTAAACACACGACGATAAGCGGTAGTCTTTGTTCCTTCAAGTAAGAGCACATTCCGAATGTACAAGAAACGCTGCTGTGTATTGAGGGAAAGTGCAGAGCCAAGCTTTGAGATGAGCCCTTGGTCATCAAGTGCATAGGTAGGACGGTAGCAGCAATGTACTTAAGTGACGGATGATGGATGCCGTGTCCAAACCACTTACGCGTCATTATTTGGTGATAAGAGATACCTTGGCTATGTTGGCGTAAATAACAAGGATTGTGTCATTCGCGGCGAAATCGATGTACCTACTTCCAAGGACCGATCTTAGGCCTTTGTGGTCGAAAACAATTTTAGCGTCGTCTATCACGCGCATTGCCCAGGAATCACTGATGGAACGGCTAGTCGAGACACCATAGTCCTACTACGACGAACCCACAGATGACTTCAAATGCTGACATAAACGTGGGGTATTATATTTTATCCATTCATCACTAGCACTGACATTAAGCCAACTCAAACTGTGTATTGAACTGGTGACTTAATGAACCTTCTGAAGAAGACAGCATTCTATTGAAGGACGCATTTCAACTCAGATGATCCATAGCAAAGACGCATAACATGAGCAGGCTCGTAACTTTCATGCTGAGCATGATTAACAAAGTTACGCGCCCCTTAACACCAGGTATTGTAACACTAAGCAACAGGACGTCCTAAAATAGTTTTTTTCTAAGTTTCCAATAAAAAAATGTTTTTTTCATTTTCAGTTGTTATTTGAGAAGCGACAAAAAATTCAAGACCAAAACTCTAGGAAATGTATAAGAACAGGCAGGACGAAGGAGTATGAACCCCCCTTTCGGGAAAAGTTAATATAAGGGTTGGGGTCAGGGCCAGTGTTGGGGTTAGGGTTAAGGCTAGGGTGAGGTTTGGAGCTATGATACGGGAATATTCAACGAGCCTGAGATTTTACGCAAGACCACCTGCATCCAGGCTAGCAAAACGGTAGGTTCCTATTCCTGTGTTTTACCAAAGAAAGTAATGTTTTCTTCATTGAGGTTCAATAAGTACCCCTCGATAGGAGGAGCAGAATATCATCTTGTCAATACATCTGATAAGATTAAGATCCCAACCAGCTTTTCGAAACATTATGAAATAACTGTCATCAGGGAAATTTGGATAGACATGCCTGGCAGAATGACAGATAACACAAACAATCCTTAAGTAGTAAAATTTGGAGCCTTCTAACATGCCTATCAAAAGAACAGTTCTCTCCAAAGAAAGACAGAGGTTTTTATCAGACTTTCGATCGCTAAGTCTCGTAGGTAACAAAAAAAACTCCGCGGTATTCACTCTTTTGCATTTGATGAACAGTGTAACAGGGTGAAAGGCCATCCCACCTTGGCTGCATCGCTTTGTCAGCACTAACTGCTGGTAAAAGTGCCTGCTCGGTCTTGGAAAGAAAAAAGTGTTCAGAATACCTCGGGTACTTCAGTGACACAGTGGTCCGTATTTCGTACGGAGCCTGTCGCAGGAGCTTGAGCCATAGTGAGATCCTAGCCCTTACGACCTTCAGGTATGGTTCCCAATAGAAAAAGAATGAGTTGGGCGCCCGCTGTGAGGATAGTGTATTCTGCACAGAATAACTGGAGAAAGCGTTGGGGCAACGGTATAGAGAAGGACTCCACTTGACTGTCAGTAGACTGTGGACCTTGCTATACGTGGTTTTATGTTGGCATACATTTGCAGTCTGTTGCAGAAATTACACTGCCAACAACAAATACATCCCAAGACCTCACACCTTAACTCAGAATTCGTTATTTTGAGAAATTTACTTTTTGCTTATTGCTTAGTTACTACTCTCATTTCTGTTGTCTTACAATAGCGTAGGATGAGACTTTCGGCATAAATCCAGGCAACTTCTGTGTTTTCTTTCATTCTGTCAGCTTACTGTATAGCGTGCTACCCCACCCATAAGACTCCCTTTGCCATAAATCACGTATGGCACGATCCACAATCTACTGCCTGTTAAGTGGGGTCCTTCTCTATAGCGTTGTTGGCCTCGGAGAGAGTTGGCTGCCCGGCGAGGGTAGTACGTCCGGCGCCGGAAGGGCTGCGTCCTGAGTGAGAACGGCCTATTGAGCGAGCGCACGTCTGATTAACGGGTTGGAAAGCTGTAAAAGTTTTTGCTGGTTTGCACGTGCCGGCATCTGCGAGGGGCGCAGCGTCGCAACAGGCGTCCTGAGCACGGGAACTACAAGCCCATCGATGACGGTTGATGATGGTTTGCTGCTTACTTGAACTCTGCATTATCAAATTTTAGGATCAGCGTGCTGTAAACTACACTTTATTTATGCAAACTGCCATACAATTTGCAGTTTTGAAACTCTTTGACGTCATCGAGAGGCCACTTACAGTAGGTGGGCTAACTCACGATATCTTTGCAATTGCCACAGCAGAAACCGACATAGATGCCTTCTTAAACGCTGTAAATCAGGCACATCCCACTATCAAATTCACGTTGGAGATCAAATCGGTCGGTTCGCTTCCTTTCTCAGATGTTCTTCGAAGCAGGAGACCTGACGGGAGTGTCCGAAGAAGCGTCCCACCGGAAGAAAACCTGGTCTGGACAATGCACAAACTTCGCTAGTTTCATGTCCTTACAACAAAAACGAAATCTATTGCGATGTTTGGCACAAACAGCAAGAAAAATTTGCTTAACAGATAGCAAAGAGGAGGAACTTAGAAAAATCCAGGACTTCCTTCGTGAAAGCGGGTGCCCGGACAGGTTTGTTGCAAAGAATATGGCCGAACGACCGGTAAAACCCGCCACACCGAGTGCCGAAAGGAAAACTCTGTTCCTTAAAGTCCCTTTTCAGGGGGATGCTGCGAATGAAATCTTAAAGAGACGCTTTGATCAAGCTGTCTCGCGAACCTTCCCATCGGCAAGGGTTCAAGTATCCTTCTGTACTAACCCTATTTTACGCGGAGAAGATGAGGATAATTTGCCACCCCTGACCAATTCAAGGTGCATCTATTCATTCACTTGCTCTAGTAGAGCAGGTTATATTGGTCGCACGAGTCGGCGCTTATCCAAGAGAATACGGCAACACCTCCCCGCATGGCTGGGAAAAGGCGAAATTAGGAGCATAAGCAGTGCCATTCGCGCGCATGTTGTCGATTCCGAACATCATGTAGACGCAAATGAAGCATTTCGTGTGATCTATAAGGTCCCATCAGCTGACCTTAGTGACTGGGACAGCGCGCGTTAGCAACGGCAGAGGTGGCCCCATCAGGTTGCGAAAACCAACCTTGTGCGCACAGAAAAACCACGTTCAGTCTCCGCGCCTACAACTCCCCCGCGTCCTTCCACTCCCACCCCGGCCCTGACAGTGACTACTATTACCCTCCCCCCTCCCCCACATTCCCACACCCAGCCTGTGGTTTAAGGCGAATTTTAATCGATTTATCTTGTCACTGACCTGTTTTTACTTCTACCCCCTTCCCATATAAATGTACTGGGCCGAAGAGAACCTATCTAAAGCTAAGCATGCTCGCCACCTCGTCTTCTGAAGTCATGGCATGTCAACCGAAATTCCGAAATGCGTTTCCGTTTCGATAAGATCAAGTAAGTAGGGTTGTAAAAAATAATCATAATGCAGCACAATTCTATAATAATTCAGCTACCTCAGGATGCCGGCTTTCAAAAGAACTTCTTTTCGACTGCATGCAAAAACTATACCCTGCAAAAATGGCTACTTAAGTAGCATGAATTTTTCTTATTGATTTTCGACACCCTTAAAAATCCAATTATATTTCATGAAAAGCAAGCATAAAAATATTCATTCTTTTGCTCATTCGGTAGAAAATTACGTCTACTTCAAATTTTATACTCAAAGGAGGCGTATATTCCGGGTTTCAAAATTTCTGATTCCTGAATAATTTTGAACCCGACCTGCCGTCATACCTGAATTCAGGGTTTCAAAACTGCAAGCCGTATATTTCCGTGTACGGAGGACCATAAATTTCGCCACGGTGTTAAGAAGAGACCATATGGATTTCATAAAAGTTGGCAGAGTATTTGAGCCATTTTGTTAACTTTAAAAGCCCCATTACTAAATGCTGACACATGACGTTCTATGGAAGGCCATTTCACGGTATTAAAAAAAATCTTACAATTGGAAGCTTTCTTAAGACCGGATCATCCCCTCCTTTGAGTGTAGAATTAGAAGAAGACGTAATTTTCTACCGAATGGGCAAAAGAATGAATATTTTATTCACGTTTTTCACGAAATATAATTGAATTTTTAAGGACATCGAATATCAATGGGGAAGATGCATGCTACTTAAGTAGTTATTTTTTTACAAAGTATAGTTTCTGCATGCAGCCGGAAAGGAGTTCTTTCGAAAGCCGACATCCTGAGGTAGCTGAATTATTAAAGAATTATGCTGAACGACGATTAGCTTTACAGCCATACTTAATCAATATTTTCGGAACGAAAACGCATTTGGAATTTCGGTTGGCATTTAATGAGCTAGTAAACCTACTGTATGATGCTTTCGTGCTCTAAACTCTTACTATGTATATTGTCCTAATTGTTCAAAAGGAATTTTACGCTGGAGCATAGAACTTGGACTGTTATTTCTTTTATCTGTCGTATAGGTTGCTTCCATACTTCTTACAGATGGGTACCTAAGGACGCTCCATTGCCTCCTATTTAGTCTTCATGAAGGTGAAAAATCGCTAAACATACAATTTCTCGTTGTTACATTTGTAGGCCTCATCGGAGCCAGAGCAAGTGTTGACGATTTTGACGTCGTTTATCATGGCATGGAAATCGAGTGCGCAGAAGAAGTCAAGTCCTCGGGCCAGAGTTTCTGGCTGTACGTGAGTGGTGTGCCACAGACTACAATGGGACAAATCCTTAAGATTACCAAAACGAAATTTACTACCGATAAAACTCCCACTACATCATATGCCTGCTGTTCAACTTCAGTGGGAGGAAGACGACGAGTTTACACCTATTACTTGGCGGGTTAGGTCGTCCCTTCTTTATTTTTCACTTCTTAATATTGTCCTCTGCAATTAAAGAGCACTTTTTCCCTATTGGATATTTAATAAAGTTTTGCTGTGGCAAACGGCGAATACTCTCCAACTAAGTGTAATGGAACTACCATGATTCTAATTACTGAGAACAAGTCTAACATTACAAACCATAATAATCTGTGATTGAATCTAGCCTCATTAAATACAGCTGTTTGTCTACTTCATAGAGGATGTTTTCTGAAACATTATTAGGCTAAAAGCAGTCTGACCTCAAGAGTAATCGGAAGATATCTCGAACAGTCGCAAGTAGCCTCTCAAACCTCTGAAGGTGAGACAGTCAAAGTGAATTTTTGTCGTAGGTGGTTCCATGCCTAGAGCAATTATTGGTAATGATTGAGTATGTAAGTCCACGGTTTTATTGCCATAACATCTCTACTTATTTGGTTTAGGACTGCATGTTGCACCACGACTCTTATGCAGTAGGACGCCTAGGAATAGGATGAGGATTTAGGTTTGGCGTCCAGACTTTGCGGTCAGGGCTAGGGTAAATATCGGGACTAGTGTTAAGTTTGACTGTCGCACACCGCCTTACCTAATCCCGCCTTCTTTAATCAAAGACCTCGGACCACCTACTTACCTCCAGTTTGAACGCCCCAAATCTGCATCTTTTAAATTCCGCGACCAGTTTCGGCGCCTCGTTGGAGTAGTAAAACAAACACACGGCAGAAATGAAGGGTTTTTCAATTCCCTTCACAGACTCCGTTAGTTGCCGCGTCTACCTGTCCTACTGATAAAACTGATACTGACGTCCTTACCGTATTTCAGGAGTCCATATACTCTCTCTACCTATTAGGCTTGCTTATTGGTTGGGTAACTTTTAATTTCCACTTTATCAGACTACCCTGGAAAGTAATTTGCGGTTCAGCTATCTAACTCCGAACAGCAATGCTACCTTAGGGGTGTTACTTTTGCAGCGACGTGTCGAAAGAGTCAGGTACTTGCCTTTGTAGAAGCCTGTCTTTGCAGTCCCTGGCAGTAAAGCGATCGCGAAACCTGGTATATTCTTTGTGCCTAGAAAGATCCTGGAGGGCCAATACCTGCTTTCCAAACCTTGCAGTAAACAGCTGCAAAATGTTATATGCTCACGTTAATGTGATATTTCTTGCTTCTGCAACTAACTACTATCATCTTCACAGGGCTCTAGCAATCTTTTGTTTTCTACATGACTGATTTAAAACTTTTACGTCATTATGAGAATAAACTCGAATTAGGTCACGTACAAACTGTACAGGGTAAAACGAGGCTGGCAAACAGGCACGAGGAGCATCGTCCTCGGTTTGCAGATATTGGCTCCTGGGAGGGGGCGGGGGTAAGCAGACCACCGCAACAAGACAGGCAGTGAAGCAGTTACAGGTAAATCAACGAGGAATGAAAAATACAAAGATGACTCCTGCCTTATCCTCCCCTTCCAACCGATTTTGTCACTAAATAGTTCTACTCATACATTCCAGCCTCTTTTAAAGCAAAAGAGACTTTTAGGGGCACCATCATCATTCCTATCACCATGAAAACCTAAAAAGAGGACCGCTGTTTTTTGTTTAAAGACCCTCGAGTTCGGAGGGTACTGATTCTATTTACCACGCCTGGTTGGTATCGCTGACCCCAGTCCATTTTCGTGAAATCCACCATGTAAGGAAAAGTTATCTGCCATGTTACTGTTCATGCTAAGAACCTCTGCCTAAGTTCACTATTTAGATGTACTTTTACTGCGTATACTGCATTTGTTCTCACTTCCAAATTGCTGTAATAGCATTGCTTACCACATTTTGATTTAATAGCAGTAGAGTTCGGATGTATGATCAGAACATACTAGCAGCTCTGGCTGTTGGTTTGAAAATCTATAACTAGGGGATTATCGATCGTTTTCTCCAGACTTTTTCCCGCTTCAGGCCTTGGGTATCAGACCGTTTGTCAATTAGCGGAATGAACGAAAATAGGTTAAAAACAGTTAGTGTTGGAGGCTCTTCTTGCAAACAGAACCTATTTCGGGTTTCCTTATATTTCTTAGCTAAGCTTTGCTTGTCCTGCAATGTCTCACAGCTGGACATTTATTTGGTCAGGATATGCCTCGTGCACACTGCAACTAGTGACCAAAAGAACAAGCTAAATCTTCCATTATGAGAGAGTTTATCTCGACTTGAGGATTTTTCTTGCTTCCAATGGGTTTTGTTTGTTTCAGGCACCTTTACGCAGGCTGTGGCCCCGGCAAAACGCTTCTATAATCCGGGAGATGTCGTCACATGTCACATATACACCTCCACATTTCCGGACGTAAATAGAGCTCATGAGGCCCTAAAAGGTGTCGGAATTCGCGTAACAGCTGTGTTGAAAGACAATTCTATCCAGACGCTTGAACGTCTGCGTATCGCTTCGCTTCCTTTGCCCGATTACCCTAAGGGAGTCAAACAATACCAGATACAATGTCTTCTTAATGGCATTCAAATGACGCGCGAAACGGTAGCTGACACTCAGTGTAAGAAGCTTTTATTTTCTGTTTTCCTCTGGCCACCTCCGTATGCAGGTTTACATGGAAAGACAAGACCCCCTATTTCCATGAAAGTTTCCATAACCACGATCATCGATAGCTAATGAACTCCTAAAAACGCCTCTGAAAAGGTTTTTGGGTGGTTGCTGAGTATTAACGGTGGTGACATGGATATAAACCTACTCGGAACAGTGTATGGTGACTTACTGGCCTCTGATTATGGCTGTCTTCTGTTGCAAGAGATAATAAATTACAGAAAGTGTCTTTATCTTAAAGGTTCCCTTCTACAGTCAGCTAATTGTATTCTATGTAATCTAATATTTGTAAGAAAAGAGTTCAGTCTCTGTCGAGTAATATCTCCCGAAACGTGATTATTTGAATTGAGGTCATATTGCATTTCAGAAAAGTCAGATAAGGCTGATTGCCGGAACTCTTAAATTCATAAAAGCATGGTCGAATACCCGCAGCTTTCGTAATCAGTTCGTCAGTTGCTTCTGGCCATTATCATATTTAATGACTTGAAGAATATCGGTAAACGAAAACGCGTAATGATTTATAAAATTCCCTTTGGTTAAATGTCTGCCAAATAACTTGAAAATTTCATATTTAGGTTCAGATAATATAACATAATGAGGGATTTACAAACACAATCTACTTGCATTGACATGATGAGTTTAAGGAGGCCTATTTGGGTTCATTTTCTTAGGTAGGAAAAAGCGTCCTGTTTCTTTCCAAATTAGAGCACTTGTACTTAAATAAACACCCAAGTACTATCGGTTGTGCAGGCTCATTCATCGGAATATGCGTTCTCTGTGTGATTGACTGAGAACTGGATTTTTATCATGGTTCGTAAAGGACCAACCCACAATCATTCATATTCTGGTCCAATTTATTTTCTCCTGTTTATGTTTGCCTGTATGTGCCGTCAAAGATTGATTTCTGCTATATTAAATCAGCGTTTATTGTTCTTTTTTGAAGGTGGTGAGCAGTTTCTTTCGAGCAGTATTAGCAGACTGGCGACAGGGCTGAAGCCCATAGCCCAAATGGCAGCACGCCTGACTTAAACACGCCAATTACCGACTACCACGGATTCAACTCTCAAGCGCTCATCCACTGTTGGTTTACCGTTTACTTGCAACGACTTTTAGTTCTCGTCTCTATCGGTAATCCTTGCGATTGCTGATCGCTGCTAATCATTCGACCGCCTGCATGAACTATATATCCTAGGCTCCAAGATAGAACGAAGTAGTTCATTTCCTTCCTACAATGGGGATCGAGCGGTCTAGGCCAGTCCTTTCTTTAGCATGTTTTTCCGATCTTCCTCATATAATTAAAATCGAGTGAAATTCATGCATAGCATTTGTTCCGACGACATTTAGGCATTCGTAGGCGACGCAGTCCACCGCTGCCCCACAGAGTTGATACAATGAATACTTACGTATGAATTTGTTTGCAGTGGGGAGCATCTACCACACATTCGCTCCCTCTACGGCCAGCGGGTTTCTGTGGCAGTGGCTGACGTGACACGAAGACGTCACACACTCCAACGGCATTAGCATCCACGTCCCAAGGCGATAGGTTGCGTATCCGCCGCAGGCAGACCAAGCCAGTTTTGGCCGCTTTCGTACAACACACCGGTAAACAGCGGCCTTCTGGGTGCCTGACGTTTGGCCCACCCACGTTCATAGTCTGTCTCAACTAAAGGTCTTATTTACTGAAACCATGCGCTGCGTTAGGCCTTCGCGAATTATCAGAGATAGTCCAGAAACTCCTGATTTCGCCGATGAGTGTTCTAACAGTGGTCCACAGCCTGCTGGCAGAGGAGGTGATCACAGGAGGTGGTTATTGCTATCTGGAAGATAGTGGAGGCTGTGACGAATATTTCAACGCCGCCCATATGGTGGGACGAAAGTCAACTAAGAGCGGTGTTGGCTAGGGATGTAGTAGTGATGACTGAAAGCAGTGGAAAAGCAGTCAGTCTAATACCGCCATGATTCATCGGGTAGCTTTGGACTGGATTCCGGGCGTTAGTGTTAGGTCAAGGATGGCTAGACTTAGGGGAGTTACAGCCAGGAGGATTAGTGTTGGTGTCAGACTTTGGATTGGGGTTAGGGCCAGAATTAGGAGGGTATTAAGTGCCCTCCTGGAAGTTGCGCAAGGTCCTAGCGTAGTTATTCCCGTGTTCAATCAAGTTAACCCTTGTACCAGGACCACGCGTCCTCACACAACGTAGACCGATTAGACACAGGAATGGGACAAAACTAGTCTGCGTGGTGGGAGACCCCAACCTGCACACCTATCAAATGAGTCAAAAGTCATTTTCTGCCAGATCGAACGTTTTATAGCAAAGTTGATATTAAAAACGATAGATGAGGAGAGGACAAGCATGCCCGAGTTGTAGGCCGCCAAACATGCACTTCGCGTGAGTGAGAGGAATGGCTTCCATTGTTGAAAATTGATCACGCTCTCACGCCGGATTACGCCGAGGTCACGAAACAGTCTGTAAGTTGCCTAGTTTGTGTGAGATTTTAGCAGATTTCAGTGTTGGAAGAAACAGTACCCCCTAATTAACTACGAAGACGTAATGAGCGTTCTGTACTGCCATCTGGCTTGTACGAAAATGCGTGTACTTGAACTGTCATATAGGATGTTAGAGGACGAGACAGTTAATTCGTTATCTTTGGAATTGTCAATTTGGACATCCCTCGCGCGGTTATGAGGTGCTACCGCACAATACGTCTCATTACGGCAAATACACTCTACGGCCTCAAAGCAGGCAACAAGCCGAGGTTCTAGGTAAGGTTGGTTGTGGGAGATAGGCTGTAGAAGTGCTGTCGAAAGTGCAAAAATCTAGGGACAAATTCCGTCGCCTTCCTCATAAAAACCATGAGCTCTGTTACTTTGGTAAGGCCTTCGCATTGTAACAATTCCATGGATGGAAAGCAGTATAAAAAGATCGTGCTAACTACATAGATACACTTCTTAGTTCGATGGGCAGCCCAATTAGTTGTTTTTATTATATTTTATAAGTTATAAACAGTCTTTCCAGTTTCTCCTGTCTCTGTCGGCAATGTTTTACTATTATTATCATATTACTTGGTTCTATTTTTCTTGAATTGATAGTTGCATTTGCCAGTTACATAGAACCATATGAACTGGTTTATCAACCTAAGAGTCTAATAAAGTGCGAAAATAAGAAGATATACGGAGAACGCAAGACAAGGGTGATCCTGTTGTCCCTCCCCATGCATACCAGACTTCCGACAGCAAGTGATGACACGGGACTTTCAACCGACATAAGGATGACACTCCATCCCGGACTGTTAGTGCTTTATGATGGGCTACTGACTAACAAGGGAATTTTTCTTGCTCTCTGTGAAATACAACATGGCAACGAACTGTACCACACAACTCCCATATTTCTGAGTAAGTCCCCGTTTGAGTGCTTTCAGATTACCTGTCAACAAATTTTGGAAGGATAATGATCGTAAGCGTTCTAGCATGCCTTGCAAGTCCGGCTTAAGTTTTTGTTCCATCTATGTTTTCAATCGTTCCAGCTGGCTGTGAGCGACTGGTTTAAAGGCGGATTAGCTGTAGGTTGCCCCTCCTGTGAGATGTTTGTTGTGGACGCTCACGCTCCTCAGTGAGACGATTCCTCTAAGGCTGCGCGTAAACTAACAGTTTTCCAGTTACCTATGTATCAATAAAGGTGTTGACAGTTGTTAAGCTGCTTTCCTGTCAGCTTCGTTAATGACGCGGCCAACTGCTTCATTTAGAGTTCAGAATTTGCGAATCTAGGTCATCAAATTATAGCTCACACAGAGAGCAAAGTTCACGTTCCTGCCGTTGTTTCGTATTTCTGAAAGGCGGGAATCACTTTTTCGTGCTGTGAGTCAGCAATCGGCTTACATTGAACATGAGTCTTATTCCTCCTGTCAGTCTCATTTGAATCTACCATACAAGCACGTGCCTGCGTTAGCTCACTTGATTAGGATAGAAGTTTCAATAGAATCCTTAGAGACTATTCTGCCTCTGATTATACTATCAGCACCATGGCCTGCAAATGTGGATGTTTTAAATGTGCGAAAAGCATAAATTATTTAGGCTGCGCAGTCCCCAGTAGGAACAATGTATGGGTTAATTGGTGTTGAAGGTCGTCTATGAGGTTTGTTAGGTGATGTGGCGGCTGAAAAGTCATTGGGGGGTCTTGAAGCTATTTGGAAAATTAGTCCGTTTATGCTGAACATACAAATTGCCAATTTTTAATAAAAAATAGTCAGCGACAAGTCTCCTAGCCATTTTTTCATAATCTTAAATTCAGGTCTCATGGTTGCATAAACATCAAGCAACGTGTAGGAGAGTGCGTCCGAATTCCTTCTTAAACACTCATCGGCTTGATCATTGAGGAGGGTTTCCTGTGAAGTTATGAGGTGTTCATAACCAACAGCCGCGTCTGATTATTTAGGATAATACTTCTAACATCATGCAAACGCTTTATAAGCTCATAATAATCAGGTTAAGGTTCGTCTGCAGTATCTATTGAGCAAATTACTCTTTAGGAAAATCCACAGCAAAAAATAACAATTACTTTGAATTGACTTAACGATATTTGGACCTCTCTGATGTCCCATTCACTGAGATAAAACTCTAAAGTGTTATCAACCATTAATAAACTGATATTATATGATACTCCGGAGGATGCTTGTCATAGACCTGTGTCTTTACACAATATAAGTCTACCGAGACAGTCCGCGTGAGGTAGCTACCTTCCTCAGCCAGGAAACTTTTCGAGCTATCTACCGCGCCTGTCAGTTGGATGGATGTATCAATGCGCCCTTTTATTTGAGAAGAGCTTGCTCTGTGAGAAGAGCTTGCCCTGGTTCCAACTAGACGGTCATTCAGACTACAGTAAATTCGGCTTGTGGTCGACAGTCAGAAGGTTTCTGTTTGTCAAATACCAGTAGCAGTCAACATATCTAAATTTTTTTAAAATTCTCAAGAACTACGCATAATATGACGTGATAATTCTCAATTTAAACAGAAAATTCTGAAGCATTGGATCTTCGTTCAAAGACGAAGACATGGAATTTCAAAAACTGGTTTTATTCAAGAAAACAAATGGACCTAGTAATGAGACGTCTAAGCGGCGGCCATTTAGATGATACGGCAGTTCGGACAATTAGAAACTTGACCAGGTTTATCACGTTAAGACATAGTGGGTTTTTATCGGATTCGAACCGGCCTTTGTTCCATCGAGTCTGTTTCCTTTGTCAACAGTTCCACTAAAGCTCTTTAACAAAATTTAAACAGGATTTTGATATACGTAGTTAAAACATTATTTGTGGACGAAATCAAATGTTCATTCTAATCACAAACACCCTCACAGACGTTCAGGAGGAAAATCACACCACCATTGAAGTTCTAATTCCCGCCGGGGCGCCGATTTCTCGAACAACCTTCCTCCTCCAGGGTTCAATGTTAAAGTGCGTGTCCAAATTTCCCATTAGCAAGCCGTGGACTCTCCTTGCGGGCAGCAGTTATAAGTGTCCCATGGACACTGTTGAGAACGTCCTAATTATACCAAGGATGGATGAAAACTGTGTAGTCGTCTACTCTTGCTCTGCCTTTGCAAACGCTGATAGGACAGAAATAGTCAGTATTCGCGTCACAATTGAGGTCATTGGTAAGTATCATTACGCTTTCCTATAATCCGTACTCGAGCAGTTTTGTTCTGCCGTCTCTTCCCCCCTCTCTCTCCCTCTCCTGCTCTCTTGCTCTAAGCTGCTATCCCTTCTAAAAGATGACCAATCAGAAAGATTCACAGCTGGCACTTCAGAAAGTTCATACAGCCGTCGACGATGCGTGTTTCCGACTCCAACTAAACCAAACATCAAGATACGGCTGTATCGTAGGAAGATATAGTTTTTACGAAAGATACGCATGCAAAGGACCGTTCGCCTGGGAGAGTTTAAGGGAGTAGACTTTTACGTTGAAGAGGCCCATGGCAGCTGCAGAAAAGTATGTTAGTGAGTACATTTTCTAGTCTTCCCGTCTCGTGGTCTCTTACAGAATCGAACCTTTATTCCAAGCATAACCGAACAGGGTCGAAGAACTCAAATAAGGAGGCCTTTCATGGAATCTAAAACAAGTATAGCAAAAAATTGATCCTAACAGTGCTAATTTCCGATAAATACCGAGGCGACCTTTCACAGGCATTCTGACTGCAGGATAGCTATCCCTTGTAACACAATTCCCTTACGACGAACACTTCAAGGGATTTGTATTTGCTGCAGCATAACAAAGATTTTCCCTCCTTCATTTGATGCCAGAACTTGAGTTTCCTGGATCTGCTATTATCAGTTTACAAATAAGACTCCCGAAACCGTATACGTGAGGAACGTTAGATTTTTTGTTTTGTAATTATAGGCAGTTCAGGGAACTGTTTCATAAGTGGACATGCTCCTGACGAAACGTTGGCATATTTTCAAATTGGCGTTTGTAATGATGTAATGGCTGTTCGAAACGGAAGCCTTAAGCCTGCCAAACGGCTTGCTGGCTGCGGAGATCTAGACTAAATACAGTTCCGGATTGGAAAGTTTTTGGGAAATGTATTTCTTAACTAGTAAAGCCTTTTACAACTGGGGCTCGACGACTATAGTCGTTGTTGTTACTATAGGAACAACATTATGTTATTCTGTGTATTCACGAGTTTTGGGTTGGTACATCTGTTGAGATCATATGGTTGATAACCCAAAAACTACCTATTGAGAAGTCAGGGAGGACGAATTGGGCTGAATACCCTTTACGGATGAGAAAGAGCGTTCAGGAGGCTCAGAAAGCAGTTGTCGCAAGCTGTCTTTCCAGATCAGTTCTTTGTCTGTGTCCGCCGTTGACGTTATTAGCCCCCAAGCGCTTGTACGCCTTCGCTCAGCCTAATTTGGCGCCTACCAGCCAATCAGAGGAGGAGCAGCGTTGATGGACCTCAAGCTCTCGCGAGGCTTATAACAAGCCCAGCGCGACCCCACCAGCAAATCGACAGGGAGCGTGAGGCGGACAGAAGGAAAGCTAGGCCAATCGCCGGAGAGCAAGGAAGTGTGGACTGCCACAGTACCTCTCGGCTAAACCGAAGGCAGCGCGTGACTGAACCGAAGGAAGTGTCCATATCTAAAAAAACAAGAGTAAACAAACGCTCAAGAAAATGGACATGACCTCCACTAAAAGTCATATATACAGGGGCACAGGGAAAGAGTGAGTATGTCTTGCGGGTGCAGTGTTGGAGATAGATGAGGGGGGTGGTTGCAGTTGCAGTAACGGACATGGGTGAGGAGGGAGTATACGGGACGGAGGGATGGGGGTTTGTGGAGGTAGAGCAGGGGAAGGAGACCACAGGGCTCATCCAAAAGAGTGTCCGTAACAGCATCTTTGAGACGGTCCAAGCTCACGACCTCCTCGCTGATTCCGCATTTAATGCGAAAGGTATTCGTCCCACGAGAGCTAGTCCCGAAGATGGCGTCGTAGGGTGGTTCCAGTAGCTGGAGGACTCGATTTCATCGGAGATGGGCGTGAGAGCATGTCGTCAAGTCCTTTTCAAGGTAAAACTTCGGGAGAGACTGCCTGGGTCGACTCCGGTAGAGTGTCCACATGAATTGCCTGAGACGGTGCAGGAGGTTGATAGGAACCTCGGCTGCACCTCGCTGGGTTGGCGAGATCATCTCACTAGGAAGTCAGACGGTGGTACCTAACAAGACAGAACAGTCAAGTGACAGAATAGTCAAGGTCCGACAAAAACAACGATTATAAAACAAATGATCAACGTAAGTTCTTAGCGCGGACACCATCTGTGCCTGGGTAAGATCCGGTAAATTAGTCCTTTTTGGACACTGTTTTATCCTCCCTCACGAAGAAGTCATTTATTCGCAACGTCGACCTTTCGCATTTCACAGCAGCCTCTCGTCGTTCCCAGCTGAACGGTACTCCGAACTAGCTCGAGCTGCTCACTGCATGTGAGAATTATGGTGGTACGGAAGATATGGCTTAGGAGCCGCTCCTGCGCAGACAGGCACATTCGTCTATTGCCTGCGTTGTGTGGGCTGTGCTGTGTCCGTGTGAGTCCTTATCTGTGTAGTACTTGCACTTCACACACGCCAGGCTGAATATCAGAGGTGAAACACTGCGCTAAATCTCAGTCAGTCGTCGAAAGGTTCGGACAGACCACTAGCTCATCGAAGACGGAGGGACGCATCATCCCCAATGCTAATTGAACGCATTCGTCGTTATCATAAAGGTTATGTGTCTGGGACTGTCGCAAAGTGCTTCAAGTAGTGGTCTGAGAGGTTGTCAAGGGAAGTGGCAATTCGGTCCTCCTCCAGAACAATGCTCAAATTTAAACTGTTCCTTCTTACTGTGGCCTTTGTGACACTCGCTTGTTTTAATTCTCAGATCCTCGCATTCTTTGAAGCCTGCTTTTCGTGAAGCTAAGAAACGGGTTATATGTGACATGTGTTGACGGATTGTTTATCACCTTTGGCCACTGTGCCCACGTCCATCTTCAATTGCCTTGACTTTGTCCTGTCATAGCAGTATGTCGGGCGTGCGAATCGACTGCGGGAGGAACACCGCAGAATTCTGCTTCACTGTTAACCTTCCTTTTGCCTATCCCTACGGCCCACACGGATCACATTTTACCAAGACAGGCTGTATGAAGCTAATCTTTGTGTTTCTGACTTTAAGAGTTAGAATAAATGGCCCAGTTAACTGGATGTTAAGAAAAGGGGAGTTTAAGAATGTCGACGTTCCATAATGTCCAATTTCCTATATGACATCTTGAAAAAAATGTTAGCCTGCTAGGAAAATAAAATTAGATAAAGTTCTATTGTGCTGGCGAACTTGGCGTCAGCTCGCTAAAGCCAACTAAAGAAATTCAGCAATGGTCTATTCTTTTATAGCAAACGTCGTCATATCGGTTGACGAAAAACAGGTCTATGTGCGTCCCGGCGACAAGGTCAGCTGCAGAGGTGTTGGATTCTCGGAGCTGCTAGGTGAAACCGTTTCAATCCCGTTAGCTGCAGACTTATGGCTCCATGATCGATATGGTACCCTTGTGTATTTGTACACTGACGTGATCCCGGGGCTAGCAACTGACGGGCCCTTCGTTGTTTCGTGTAAAACCAGTCCAGGCCTTGACACTGATCTCCTGCCCCTGCTTTCAGCGGGTTTGTATTTTTTCATTTTCTTCTCTAGTACTTTTCCATACAAATTCCATGCTTTTGCGGAGGCAGACGTCGTTTAGCTTAACTACGGGAGTACCAGAAAACGCGTTTGCTAACCAAATTCTAGACGAGATGCCGACGTTCTAAATTTTCAGCATCTTCTCTACCTACTTTTCTGTGTACTTCGTTTTTTCTAGTTAAAAAACTACCTTAACAACCCGTTGTTATTCTCGTTAACACATATTTTGCTAATATGTGCAAAAGCACTCTTACTTTATGTGTGTAATCAAGCCTGCAGTATGTAGTTGACTAAGTTACAGAACCAGGTAATTCTTTAAGTAAATCCTCAGTATCGGATCTGAAGAGCTTTGTTGAAAGCCGCAACCGAAAAACACTCTAGTTCAATGAATTAGGCATAAGAAGGAGGCATAGCAGGATGCTGTTTTAGATGCTGTGAAACCTTTTGACTTGCGTATTACAAAGAAAACCTGTGAGAGACCCCATATCGGTATAGTTATTAGTCCAGCAAATGAAAAGTCCGTGAGTATCAGAATACCGGCTACCCCTGAACATTCATAAGTGGCGTCTGCTCAGGGTAACAGCTTCCGTCCGTCACACGGCTTCTGAATTTTCTCTAATTCAGGGTCGCTGTGCATCCGGATAGGGCGGCGGTGGCGGTTCAAATGGCTTAGGATTTCTGCCCCGCACTAATTTCCAGAAGACGTATATCAAAGACTTGTCCTCTGTTAGTCTTTTGTAGAAGAGGGTTATTTCTAAGTGAACAGACGATAAACGTCGCGGAAGGAAGCATTTAGATTACAATGCAGGGTTGTCATAGCCTTGTTTACTTTCATTTCCTTCTGGAATGAGAATGACATTTCTTTTTCTGTGTTCAAAGAGTCACAAGATTTAGAGATTCAGTATGAACCGCAGTTTGGAAAGCCACTGATTCCGGGTGAAAAAATTCGATGTTTCACAAGGATACTGCTCAGTGGAAAAAGGGAACTCACCGAGCTAAACGGCCTGCTCAAAGTAGAAGCAATCGTTGACGGCGTGTCCATTGTTTTAGCCGATCGGGTGAAACAATTCAGAATCCCGGAGTGGATCGTTGTGAATGGGCGCAAGGTTGACATCGCGGGACTTAAGATAAAAAACCACTGTACCTTCGAAAATGAGACGGCGCTGACGTGGACTGTTGAAATGTACAGTAAGTCTAGCAATTATTGTGTAAATTGGAAATAGATCGCAATCCGTGTCCAAATAACCACACCCGAAAATTTTTAATATGCTCGTAATCGAGCTCAATTAGCTTATTATCAACAGAGCGATTACTTATGGGGTCTATATTTTGATACAGACATCTAATTTAGCTGTTTACTCTGGAGATTAGTTGTTACACTAGTCGGAATAGACCAAGGTATCCTGAAGGCATAATGGCGCCCCTAGTCAGAGCCATTCGAAAACATAGGCACTTTATTTTTTATGTCCCTACGAACAATTCAAAGTTAGCATATATATTAAATTCGGCTTTTAACTCGGAATGCTTGATGAGTATAATCAGTAACTATAAGAGTTTTTAAAGCAGGTGTCAATAACGAAACCCTTAAATAGAAGCTAGGCAGAAAGGCTTTAGATTCTAATTATACTAAAGTAATGTTGATTTACATGCGTCCATTCAGACAGAATCCAGAATTTTAGATGCAAAATCCACGCTGTTAGCAAGCCTACCTTGGTGAGTAGCATCGTTTCGCATCTGGGTCACAAATTTTACGCCTATATTGTGTAACACCTGGCCAGTCGAACAGATTAAACCAAAGTCTACTTGAGGAAGCTCAATATCTGCAGTAAGGTAATCGCAATTTATTGACTTTGCACAGTAACTGAAAGTTCATCCTTTACCCAACTTTTATCTTATAATTTCTTCGTCTCCAAACAACGCGTTCATTGAAAATCGGGCCATTTGTTCGAATATAAAGTCAGAATTTCTTTCAGAAGTAACCTGTGATTCTATTAGCACTGCATTAAAACGTCTGGTTCAACTCAAATTAAGCATCACGGGCATCAGAAACAACCGCTCAGGTAATTAAAAACTATACTAAGACGACTACCTAAATTGTGATTTCGCGTACCCCTAAAAGGCCTTCAGATTGCTGAGTTTTTTAAAGTAACCTTAAACAGTATGGTCTGATTCGCTGCCATTAATGAGGCACATATGCCCTTAGCGTATACTTTGAAGGTTTTACAATTGAATTTGACAAATACAAAGTCGATGTGCGGCACAAAATATCTGCCATCTCATGAAATGTTAATTAAAATTTTAAGTATGTTTTAAACCCGACAAGATTATTTAAGTAAGATTGTTGCATTAAAAATCTTACAACATAATCCCAAAATATTTCGGTCACTTCGGAAGTTCGTCTTCTGAACGAGCTTCTTTTTGGTCACTAGTAAAAATTACGTTTCAAAAAATGACTACTTAAGTGAAACGCAATGTTCGCATTGATATTCGATGCCCTTGTAAATTCAAACATAGGTTATTGAAAATGTGCACAAAATAGCCTTTTTGTACTTACCTAGTAGTAGATTGTAGCTTTGAATTGCATGCTTGAAAAAGAGTCTATTTCGGTTCCTAATTGTCTTTCAATTCCCGAATGATTTTGAACCCGTCACACTCGCATTCGGGGTTTGAAAACTACAAGTTGTATGTTTTCCTCGTACGGAAAAGCATGCACTTATATACGCTGTATATAAGTCTCATGAAATTTTGCGATGAATGTGGACTATGTTCTATATTTTATTATCATCGTTAATAAATGAACTGACACGCTGCTTTATGAAAGGATATTTCATGTATTTAAAAATCTTATAATTAAAAGCCTTGTTAAACACGAAAGATACACTTCCTTCAAGTATAAAATTTTAAGAAGACGTAATTTGCTATCAACTGAGCACAAAAAATTGTTTTGTGAATTTCTTCTACACTGTATATTTGAATTAATAAGGTCGTCAAAAATCAATGGAAAAGTCATACCAATTAAGCAACCATCTTGCACAGAGTGCAGTTTTTACAGGCGGCCAAAAAGAGTCCCGTTCAAAGGCCGGCATCCTGTCGCGACTGAAATATTTAGAAATTTTGATGCACGGTAATTAATGTTACAACCCTACTTAACTGTTTTTTTCTAATCGAAAACACATTTTGACAGCACGGTTACGCTGGCAACAAGTAACCCGGGTCGATCTGTCTAGTTATCGCACTAAAGACAGTGAAGAAGCCAGGGATCGGCGTGGATTTTTTCAAGATCAGCGTTTAGAATAGAAATATCAGCCAATGATAGTGAGACCATCGTGCTGATGGAGCACTGCTTTCGGTTGATAGAAAACACCATCAGACTTTCTGAGCAGTGTCTGTAGCCCAGGTACTTTGATTGTAGCTTCTTCTTATTTTTAGGTTGGTGTCTTTAGCATAAACCAAAGACGGACGGAAAGTAGCAACTTTCAGTAAAAAATGAAATAGATGGAAATTCCTGTAGAAATTTGGGAGCAACGCATTCAGATTTAGTTAAAAACGCCTTTCTCTCCTCCAGAAAGTTTTGAGGGCTTTGACTTTCTTTCGTCGTAGCCATTTGAAAAAAGAAGCAGATAGGTCCATTCGTTTGTTTCTCTCTCTCTCCGTCTTTAAGCCTGTGATCAGGTTCATTACGTTACGATCGAACCGCTGCTTGGCGCTTCCATCAGTGTCGGAGGCACTGTCCGCTGTGCGACAGTGCAGGCCTGTGAGCACCGCTTCGTATACTCACTTTATCTGACCGACGTGACCGGGAACTACGATGACAGTGTGCAGCCTTTCTTCAGTAATTCCACTCCCCTAAAAATTACCCATGATATGCTCGGAAGCAAGATTATCACTTGTGTAACCAGAGGTATACACCAAAAAGAACTGCGAGCTACTCGGAGAGTAATAATTGAAGGCCAGCCTTATGGAATCCAGCTCATCCGGAAAAACCAAGGCGATGAGAGTCTGGACATCGATGTGAATATTGTCAACGCCAATGAAACCCTGCAGTGTGATAGTGGGGGCTATCCGAGACCAGAAATCATCTGGCAGCATGTGAGCTCGCCAAAAAACCATCCTACTCATCAGCTGACAATCCATAGAGACAGCCTGATCACAACAATCTTCGACCCACCTGGCTACTACACCTACACCTGTCACTCCAGAAATGAGTTGGGAGAAATTTCCCTCAAACACACCTTCTACCTTCGTAACAGCAAACACATATCTTTTGGACAGCAGACCATCGTCTTCTGTTGGGTCCTTGCGAATCTGTTGATTTTCGCCTTCCTGGTTTGGATGGGCCAACTAATTGTAAACAGGGACCTGATCCAGTTTGCCGAAGACTGACCTAATCCGGTTTCTATATTGATATCCCCGACTCTTCTCCAGTCTCTCGACAACTCTTTTGTGTTATCAAACTCGTTAGTAAAATTGGAGAACCTTCTTCGTTTTAATATACGTCTTTTAAACAAATTTGAGAGAACAGATTCACTCCAACACCTCCACCGTGAACCAATAGTACTCGACGTGGAGAAGTTTAAAGATTCCGCCACTCCATTTTATTAGAAACAGTCAGCCAACCTGCCTCACACATTATTCTAGTAACAACAAGATATACGTGTACGGGGCACTAAAAATATTTCATAAAATACCCTCGTATAGCATGTCGACTCCCCTTTCTACTTTTCCTATACTTCTGATAGTAATGATCTTCTGGTATAACTTTTTTCAATCCGGAAGTGCATTTTTGCCGGCAAAAATGTGCTGCTGTGCAATAGGGTCGCGTTTCTTGCTAGTAAATCAAACGGCAATACAGCGCTCCCCGAAACCGAATCCAGTTAATTATGCTAAAGATGTAGCTTAAGAATTCATTAGAATGTTGCCAATGCCCAAGCCTCAATACATTTATGTCATGGGGTGAACTCTGTCAAAATTAATTTAGGGCCCTTGAAGAACGGTCTGTTATCTACTCTGAAAGGGTATCACATCAGTCTGGGTCGCGTACAAGATCTAACCGGCCTCACCTTCTGAGGATGGAGATCGTGAGCAGGTAACCATGTCCCAGGTGACAAATGAACATTCGTTTTGGTCCTGTCACAAGTGTTGGTCACGATATGGCCGGCTGAGAAGAACAGAAATCCGCCCGAAAATGCAACTTCTCTCTCTCTCTCCTCTCTCTCTCAGTTCTGGTCAATGCACGTTTCTCATTCTGTTATGAATAACTAGCATGAACTCTCTCAATGAACGCCTGAGGTGTCTACAGGCAATTAAAATCGCTGGTATAATCTACTTGAAAGGCGGTGGTCAAAAAAATTAATGTCTAAGGTCGACTTCAGGCTTTTTTCAAAGACACTTAAAACTGTTCTGGGTACGCCACTGAAAAAATCCATCTTAATTAAATGGGAGCAGTTGAGCATGGGACACGAAAAGTGTTATTATCAGTCCAACCATCAATTTTGGCATGTCTACCGTGAACTCAGCAACAGGGTGGGTGCTAGGACGGTAACTTGGGCGTGAGTTGCTTCAAGGTGATGGCAGACTTGCGTCGCATCCACCGCACTCTCTCCTCTCCCACTGGGGCTCAGTCTAATGATAAAATCAAGAAGAC